ACTTTCAATGCAAAATATGTCAAAGACGCATCCATAATTCTTGCGCCTTTGTATGAGCTCACAAGCCTGAAAAAGAATTCAACTGGACGAGTAAACACCAGCAGGCTTTCGAAAACATGAATCAAAAGCTCAAAGAAAACCAACACTTGGCCATTTTAAACTCGGCGCGAAGCTTCTTCTCGTGACCGACAGCTCAGGGCGAAGTGTTGGCGGGACCCTCTACCAATATCAAAATGAAAAACTAGTTGTTATTGGTTATTTTTCAAAAGCTCTCACGGGTCCTGATCTGAAAAGAAGCATGCGGGTAAAGGAACTCTTTGCGTTAACTTGGGGAATCAAATATTTCGAGTTTTACCTCCTCAATACAGAGTTCGATTGTGTTGTAGACCACAAAAGCCTGCTCTTTCTTTTCAAGGAACAACAACAGTCCAATTTGGATATCAAACTCACCAATATCCACTGCTATCTCCAGCAGTTTGATTTCACAATCATCCACAAGCCGGAAACAGCCCGATCATGGCAAGTGCGGATTACTTTTCTCGCCTTCCAAGATCAAAAAGCTCCGACTTAGAGGACGATTCGGTGAACTTTGAGCTCCTTCCAGAACGCGTCTGTATGTTCCATCTCATCAAAAATGATGAAAATGAGGTTATTTTCTCTTTCGGTTCCGAGAAAATAACAAAAACAAAAATGAGGGAGTTGCAAAAAGAGTGCAACCTCACCAAAAATAAGCTCATTAAAGTGGAGAAATACAAAAAATCAAGATTCTCGCTCAAAGACGGAATCTTGTTCTCCAAAAATAAACTTGTTATCCCAGACCAACTTGCAAATGAATTCATACAGTACCTGCACTGTATAACGGGACATGCTGGTGCGCAGCAATTAAACCAAATGTGCCAAAAATTTTTCATAAGTAATATCCAAATGAAACTTAGAGCCGTAACGAGCTCTTGCCCCACTTGCATTCAATTTAAACCGATCAAAAAGCTCAAACCATCAATGATCGAGCGACGCAACTTCGAGTCAGTTCCTTTTGAGAAAACTTTTCTCGACCTTGTCGACTATGGAAGAGTTGACTCATCAAACAAAAGGTATCTGCTGACTTGTTGCGACTCGCTTACCGGGTTTCTAGACGGTTTACCATTGGGAACAAAAAGTGACAAAACTGTCGCGCAAGCGATCCTCACTCTTGTTCTCAGACACGGGATCACCGAGGTTGTTGTTACTGACAACGGGCGTGAATTTGGACCGCTTTGCAAGCAAATTTTCGAGCGATTCCAAATCCGCCACGTTACAACAACTGCATACCGATCCTGTTCAAATGGGAAAGTTGAAAGAATCCATCGCGAAATTCACATTCAACTCAAACAATTGAATGCAAATGATCGCAATTGGTCACAAAAATGGGAGCAAGCTAAATACTATCTCAATAACCTACCAAAAGCAACACTAGACGGGCTCTCAAGTAATGAAGCTCTCTACGGTAGGCCTTTTCATGTTCCTTACAAAATTGGAACATCAAATGATGGTGCCAAAGAACCATTTATCAAAGCCCTCAATGGTTATATTAAACAACTGCACCCTGCGATCCAAGCGTTCCAGGTACAGAGGTACCAAAAACTCCTCCGAAAAGATAAAAATAATTGCCCAGTTCTTGAACTTGGTACCCAAGTGCTAGTCTGGAAACCAAATCTTTTTGACGGAAAATTAGGTACAAACTGGAGCGGCCCATTTTATGTTCATAAAAGAATCTCAAAAGATTCTTACATTCTAAAATGTTCACTCACACAACGTGAGTATCGCCGACACATAAGCCTGATCCGACCTCTAAAAATAAGACCGGCGACTCAACAAAATTCGTCTCGATCAATGACGAAAACGATCAATCATCCATTCGCGATAAAAACTCAATTGTGTCTCAAAAGAAATCAAGGAAGACACCCAAATAAAAATTTCCCGCTCAACTGCGTCAAAAAGAATGCAGAAACTAAAGAGGATCCGAAAAATGAAAATAATGATCCTGTTGCGCCCCTCAAAAATGATCCTGCAAATTGGTCAAAAAGATTACGACCCCGAAAATAAGTTCCTAAAAGAGGAGGGGAAGGGGAGAGATGCATTGTTGGTTTGCACTCTCATGAGCCCACTGTGAAGAGAGAGCTTGTTCTTGCTCTAAGTTTACATTTTTGAAAATCTAAATTTAGCGCCATCTCAAAAGCACTAAAACTATTTTCAAAAATAGCGTGGAATGAGATATCTTGCTCTTGATATGTCTACGCACCCGTTCCATTCTAGATCCCTGATCGATCTCTAGAATTCGTTTACTAAGGGGAGAAGTTATTACCGCCGGGACAACGATGCACTGAGTTAACCAACACCGTACCCTAGGAATGTAAAACGATTATCTTCTTGGACCTTCGATAAGAATTTCGACTGTATGCTGGAAGTCCATCACCACCCGCTATAGCAACGTTCAAGTTCAAGTGCCATGAGCCCGCATCAGCTCATGAAAAATATCCGTGGTAAGTCAGCTTAGTCAGCAGAAGGAACCTGCTTATCAAACCCTGCCACAGCCCGCACAGCACAATTTGATGGCTACTGGACGCGTTGACCTCTACAACTGTTGGAGTCTGCTCCCAATGGGCCCAAACGGGTTCAGATTTACCTTCAGAAGCAAGTTACACGACTACAGTAGAAGCGAAAATTGCCCGCTTCGCATGCAGCTTAGTACTCGAACCCTGAGTGTCATCTGGTTCAGCTCGTGTGGAGAAGAACTGATGAAAGAGACTCGAATGCTCACAAAAGAAGCAATAAAAACTCAAAAATTATGTACTCGACAGCTTATCATCAAACGAGTCTTCTCGTGTGGAGAAGAATTGATGACTGCGATTCAAATGCTCACAGAAGATGCACCAAAATTATCATCAAACGAGTCTTCTCGTGTGGAGAAGAATTGATGACTACGATTCAAATGCTCACAGAAGAAGCACCAAAAATTATCATCAAACGAGTCTTCTCGTGTGGAGAAGAATTGATGACTGCGATTCAAATGCTCACAGAAGAAGCATCTAAGCATCCGATTCTGCTCGTGTGGAGTAGAACTGGTGACAAAACTCAAATGCTCACAGAAGAAGCATCAAATATACACACAAACCAAATATCAACCGTGGGAAAATAATTAGGCGCGGCACAGTTCGCCTTGGGGCGGCCAATAAGCACCGCGCATGGCTTTGAAACGAGACTCCCTTGCCCAGTCTCAAAATACACAAGCCAAACGCAAGTTCAAGAAATTTAAAATGCCTTCCCAGGGAGCAACTACCAACCTTGACTGCCACTTCTTCCGAATGAATGACAGTGGCAAGGTAATGTTCCAACGGTATGTACTACCGTCAATCTTTGGAATTCACGTGCCAACAATCTTCCTTGACCCGAAATGGTCTCGACTACTCGATTTAACAGGAAGTATCCGGTATGCAAAAGAACGAGCCCTTGATCGACTGCAAAATCGGGCATTTCCTGAAGAAGCATTCGAAAGTATTATAGACTTTTGGAAAAACGAGTGCATGAAAGGGGAGTCCCTTCTTCGCTGGCAGACAAAGACGGCAGCTGTGGTTGAATTACTAAAGTCATTTAGGCCGATCCCGCAGTTTGCGAATGTGGTCATCAACAACTACGAAGAACACTTTTTAGCACGTCGAAAAGTCTGGCGGGAATTAGCTAACTATCCAAACTTTCAAATTGAACTTAAAGAAGCTAATTCCCTATTGGAGACTTTCCTGTCAGACTTACTCGCTAAGTTCGCCCTGCCTACCCAGTCCCAGAACCAACAAGATGAAGCCTTCTATAACGACTTAGATGACCAAGCGCAAGCAACGATGACAACCGAGCGCAACCAGCCTGAGATGCCAGCTGCCCCACAGAATGATATGACTGAGCACCTGTCCAGACCCTTTGTGCCGATCTCGCCGACAACATCAGCCGCAACGTCTCTGTCGATGATGGAACATCCAAGAGCCCCGGATCCACAGCAACTGCCACCGACGACGTTCCCTACTAGCTCCAAAAAAGACATGGTCACTCAGACTCAGTTGACAACTGATACCTCCCGGACGGCTAAGGCACCAGCCCAACCTCCAACGTCAGTTCCAGCGCTGAGTTATGGCCCGATGAGCTCCGCCCCGGACGTCCTTGGCAACCAAACACCTGGCGATCCGCCTCTTGACGACCCCTTTCCTTCAGCTCAATCTTCCAGCAACACTGACAGCGGCAACATGGTTGAAATGCTAGATGACAACTGGCGTGATCTGCTCTTTGGTTAAAATCAGGTGCAAAAGTCATAAATTCTAGGAGGGAGGGATTTGTAGTGGATTAATATATGCAAGTATGACTTCTGCAACAAAGTTGATTTCCGCCGCGCGCAATGGCCATAAAGCCATTAGCGCGCGCATTTCAAAACCACTACCACCCTCTGAATCCGCCACCACCTTCTGTCGTAAAGCGCACTCACCCGATTCCACCGCCACCCTCGGCTCGTGAGGCCCGATGAAAACTCGCCACCCGGAACGAAATGCTATAAAAAGAAGCACCCTTTTTACTCTGTGCCAGTCTGTACCAATCTGCGCCAACATCTATACCACAAATTTCTGAAAAACGAATACTGCTCCTACTGACTGTTCTGTCAGTACAATAAACGCTCCGTAGTTGTTTTCAACTACCCCCACAACAAAACGCCTTAGTCTCCAACATTTGTTATTGCATATATAAAAGCACTACATAATTCTAGTTATACACATGTTCCTGACCTTGAATGATCACGTGGCTAATTTATCTATTCTCAAGATGATTTGAAAAGGCTTAGCTCCTTATCAGAGTCATCTGACGCAAGGCGCTCTGTCCCAAATACAGACAGTACAAAGCAGCAACTCCCCGAGCATCAAAATATACTTTTCGAGTACTTTTTCAACCATTAGAAACTAAAGAGATTGCGCGTTTAAAGAAGTTCTATGGATAACAGCGGCCTTCCAGAAGACATAGAGCGACTGCTGTCGTGTCCTGTCTGCTTGGATGTTTTTACTCAGCCAGTTGTGATTCTTCCTTGCCAGCACAACTTGTGCCGAAAGTGTGCGGAAGACTGCTACGACCGTCGAGGACGCGTGGTTGGTCTAAGGTAGACTTTTTCTCTGGGAAATTGATTTCATCGAGTTCAGCGGTGGAAAGTTTCAATGTCCAACATGCCGTTACGAAGTTATGGTCGATCGGCATGGTGTCTATTCTCTCCCGCGTAATTTACTTGTTGAAAACTTGATCGAAATGTACGCGGTATGTCGAACTAGAAGTGTTTTGCGATAAAATAAACACAGTTTTTGCTTAGACTCAAATCGCCAAGAAACAACAAGCGCCGCCAGAACCGCCAAAGCCAGAGCCTGTGCGCGAGCCGACTCCTCCTCCTGCGAACAGAGTGCCCCTTTGTGAGGACCACGAGGATGAACGAATCAACGTCTTTTGTTTGTCCTGTCAGAAACCGACATGTTCAATGTGCAAAGTCTTCGGAAAACATCAGAATTGCGATGTTATTCCAATCAAAAAGGCCTACGACGACCAAAAGAATGAACTTCGAGAACATATGGCTCGACTTGGCTCTGGAATCGAACAGATTCAGACGGTCCAAGCTGATACAGATCATTTGCGTCAGAGTGTGGAAGCTGCATCTAAACGAGCCAAGCAAGAAGTCAACCAAGCTTTCCAGCAACTTTGCGCTCTACTTGAGAAGCGGAAAACTGCGATGATCGCGAGAATTCAGGTATAATACCAGTATATATTCAGGTATATAAAATATATTTTAATGAGTTTTTTATTATGAAAATGTTAATAGGAAGACGTTAACGAGCGAATTGGAATTTTATCCGACATGTCGACGAGCTACAAAAAGCAACGGGACGAAATCCAGAAAGTCATGAATGATGGCTTAAAGTTGACCGAAGAGCAAGAGGCGACTGTCTTCTTGACAAAGTCTCGAACGATGATCAACAAAGTTGTGAACCAAGCTCGTGCGATGACTGAGATTCGTCCACCACAGTCAATCGTTCCAGAGCTGAAGCCATATAAAATCGATTTTGCTCGTTATCATCAGGTGCTAATAAAAATAAAACAATTTTAATGAGGATATGAAATTAAAGATCTGCAGCCAAATCGACTTCGATAACGGGCAACGACCAGCCCAGCGCCCTGATTCCGCTCGATCTCGACTTCCATCAAATCACTCCAACAGTGACTTGAGCTGCATCCCTGGTCTTGCCCGACCACCACCGATTCCAGCGCCTACGGACGACGAGCTCTCAAATTTCCGTGCCATGGCCGACGCTTTAAAGCAGGCTGAAGACGGCTCTGGCGTATGATCCCTCACTCCGTACAGTAACATCCTACTCATCTTTACTAACCCTTTTTCATAACCCATCTCACAATGAACGGAATTTATTATTTATTCTTACTAGAATTTAGAAACCAAACAATTCATCATCGAAATCTATTATTCAAAAGAAGATCCAATAGTCAAAAATCCAAGTGCAATTCAAAATATCCCCATTGTCGCCCAAACAGAAGCTCAGAAGCTAGCCGAGGAGCAAGAGTCAGCGAAGTCGAATGAAGATGAGTACACTTACGAAGAAGTTGAAGTTGAGGAACTTGTCACTGACTCTGAAGGTCTTTATTGATTTTCAAAGAATATATTCAACTTGATTAGGTGAAGACAACGAAGAACCACCTAGTACAGCTCCGATATCAGAGCATCCAATAACGGAAACAGACGATCAAATACCGGATTATGTTTTGGAATCGAGTCAAGCATCACGAATTTCTCTTCCTCGACCGCAGCAAAATGAAGATGAACGAGCATCTGTTGACTCTGGTGCAGTACAAGAAGCAATCGAAGCCTCCATTGAGGCCATTAATGAAGCTCGTAAGATAAGATTGCATTGATTTGAGTGTGATTTTAAATTAAGATCGGGATGGAAATCAAAGTTCCCGGGCTGATATGGCTGATGATGAAAATACTGAGTCAGATAGGTTGATAAACACTTATTTTTACAGATCTGAATGAGAAAATTAAGCGCTTCGACAGAATACGAAGAAATAGAAATTGAAGTCACTGACTCAGAATACGAATCCGAATCGAATCCGGAATCTGAAGCTTCTGACTTTCAAAGCGCCAAGTCCAAGCTCGAAGAATCTCAAACTAATAATCTTGCCAAAGATTCAGAAGAAAATGACTCGGCGAATAAAGATGCCACCGACTCAACGTCAGATTCGAATTCAAAACCGTCGATTATTTACCACCCTGCTCAAAACGATGCTCGTAGTGGTATGTAAATAATTTCTTATTAATTATTCTTAAATAACGTTTGAGAATCTTCTGGTGAATACGAAGAAATTGAGCTTGAAATCGAAGTAACCGATTCTGAAGCCTCTGATTCCGAAGACGCAGCTCAACTCGAAGACGAGGTTAAGTTTACATTCGCTTTTTCATTATTAAATCATAGAATAGGAATCGAACGATGTGAGTCTCGCTTCAGTTTCGCTCTGCCACGATACAAGCAAAGACGAAGCCAGCGACGAAGAGTTTCCACAATCAGCGCCAGCTCCAAAAGCCTCCGCCCCAATACCAATTTCAATGTCGAAAGCAAGCTCTACTTCAAATTTAGCCTCCTCATCTCCTCGTCTCCGCGGCTGGCTTTCCTCCGCTTCTCCCGGGCGATTAGACGGTGACATATACGAAAAGCGAGTTCACCCTGTCAAAACAAGAAAAAGAACCAACACTGGGCCTTAACCTTATTGAATCTTCTTTTTGAATAAAATATTTCATGCTGTATTGAACTCAAATAAAATATAATTTACGATTTGGGTCAGCTAATTAGATCAGTGAACTGCATATAATAAGATGAAAACCGCCTTACAAGCAGTTCAATACCTGTAACAGAAAATGAACATTTCATTCCTACAAATATAAAGAACACGTATTGAGCACAAATATATTATTTACTGCCATGAAACGAGATGACTAAAAAGCATTCTGATAGAATTACATCAGTGCAATATAATTTTTCTGATTTACAGGGAACACGAAATAAAAGCTCTTTTTGTCTTCAAACGTGTTTTCTGACTGCAAGATAAAGGCTTTTCAAGATGTATGGAGAACTTTGAAGCTTCTTGAAAGAGACGGGATTATAAACGAAAAACTGAATTTAAAAGTAAGGAAAAATAAAATGCATCTTATTTCGCTTTGGACGAATACTTAAGTCTTAATCGTCTCTCTTCTTTGACAGATAGGCAGCTTAATATTCAGTTCATTTATGAAGTCGAAAGCGCCGTGATTTATGTTTTCCATAATTCGAACCCTAGATGGCGTGATGTCGTCTTATGTGGCCAAGGCTACGCGCGGCTGGTGACGAGCAAGAAACCCAAGATTATAATTTCTCGCGAATTCGGAATCTGCCTAATTTATTCGGAGAAGTGAAGGGTGTTCGCCTTGTTGATATCGCCTGTCATTCTTTTCAATATTTTTTGATCGGTCCAGCCACCAAAGAGAAAGAAGGCGAGAGCCACTATTGAGAAGAAATATTGGAATAAAGAACTGTCGTTTCTCAAAGAAGTGCTCTAATCAGGCTTAGAAATAGAGAGATGGAACAAGATACGTTTTTTGAAATGAAGGTGGGAGTTATTATTTTGATGCAAATTTTATTAAAAGTTGAATGTAAGAAACAAATTTACTGCAAATTTATCACAACTAAGGGGATAAGGTTGCATTATTTTTAATGCGGTCGATCCAGCTTGACTTTGAAGTGACAAAGCAGCATAAAATAAATCCTCCATAGATATTAAAGTCGTTAATTATTTAAAAGATTTGGACATAATAAGACATAAATTGACTATTGAGAATGGTTTTCCATGGTTTTAGAATACGACCCTTGAAGAAAATGGAGCTGATATTGTTGTTGGAGACCTATCGTTTATGAATAATGGAGGACAGAATTTTTCGGATATTCTTGTCGGTGGCTTTCCTTTCGAAAATCAGACTGATCTGTTGGAGAAGTTATATTCAAGTCAAGAAATTGTGAGTTTCGAAGAGTTTGTTTACTCCAAGCTTAATGATATTAAATGGCAGCATATAAAATTAACCCCTAGCGACAACTGAATTTGTCTGTTACCCTTTATTCAATCGTCTACTCTGTCATCTTTGTTTTTGGAATAATACTAAATGGTCTCGCTGTCTACCGTCTTATAAGCGCAAAACAGTTTTCAATGCTCAGCCAGGTAAGAGCATAATTAGTCTTAGACTTTTTGCGACTAAGAGAGTCTCATTCCTAATTTACAGTTTATTCCGCTCAACTTGGCCATTGGGGACGGAATTATGCTACTGTTTCTTCCATTCGAGATAAGCCGGATAAGAATGGAAAACGTATGGCTTTTCGGGGATTTCTTTTGTCGGGCGTTTAATATGGTGAGGATTAGTGCCGATTTTGTGTCTTCTTTAATCATGTGTGATTAAATCATTGTTTTTCCATTTGAATCACGGTATTAATTAAAAAATATAGAAGTTCAAAAATGAAACGATCAACGGATAGTGACTCTTTTAACCTTTTAGATGCCCCATATTATCATGTTTGTTTCGATTTATCTGCTGACTTTATTAGCATTTGATTGCGGGTGCGTAAATAAGTCAGTCCTAATATGAGCTTCATTTCTATAACTTGCGGTAATTAACATGCAAGAGAGTGGTCGACTTTTGCACCCTGATTTACAGATCGATATGCAACGATGATGAACAACAGTATTACCCGCGTTGTGCGAGGGTGGAAGCAGGACAAGAAATTCTGCCTCACGGTAACCTTGTTGGCTTGGTGCGCTGGATTCTGCACCTCACTGCCTGTTATTTTCAACAGTACCTATGTGCCAGCACAAAATGGGACTCACGCTGTTTGTGGGGTTCAATGGGTAGGTTGCTTAACATAAACAAGTTTCGAGTAAAATTTTCAGAGAGCATCAGAAGAAACTTTTAGTGGAGACGAATGCATGATGATTAATGGCCATAAAATCTCTCCCAGTGCTGCCTTCTGTCGATGTGGTCTAACTGTAAGATCAAAGGAAGATTTTTCAAGCTCAGTGATTTTTAGGGAACTGAAGAGATGTTTCGGATATTCACGTTTATCCTCACATTCGTCATTCCCCTCATTTCGATATCGTTCTTTTACATGTCCATCTGGAGAACAGTGTTTATTTCTGAGCGCAATATTTCAGCCCGCAGCATCAAATCTGCATCCAGCTCCGTCAAGCACACCTATAATCTGGGATTTCATAATATCCTCTATTGCTCGTTAATTTGCTACGCAACATAATTGCATGAGAAAATTGCCTAGTTTTAGATTAATCCCAGCGATCAGAAAATCACTAAATGTTTTATTTGTGACGATTTTGCTTGTTTTGGCTTATCTTATTTGTTGGAGTCCTTATCATTTTACTTATATTTCTATCGTTTTAGGAGACGGCTAAAAACTTATATTTTTTAAATCAAGATGGGAAATCTTCTAGCCCTTCTTAGGACTCATGAAAAATACATCGCCAAACTTGTGCACAAGACTTCAAAACACTCATCAAATGTATGCGATGCTTCATTTCAATTCGCTCTATCAAAATTCTAGGCTTCTTTGGTCGAATCGATTAATCAATCCTATTCTTTATACCTTTTTTACGAACGACGTAAGAAAACGTTTACGACAAAACTTTGCTGGATTCCTCAGGACAGGGTCTTAATATCAGTAATTAATCTGTTTTACAGTTAGGTATGGCGATTCGGCTCAAAATATCTAAATAAGCGCCCTAAAATCGTACAAATCTGCTTTTCGGTTTCAGCAGAAAATAACCTAAATTTGTGGACCCCAAATTACCCCCTAACTGTGATTTTATTTTGGCTAAAAATATAAAAAGAGCCTTGCTAAGAAGAGCTATACCGAAGGTAAGCGCATGTCTGTTATTTCTTTGAGTTGTCCAGAATTTTTAGAAATCAAAAAGTTCAATGTCGTTACTGACCGACGCGGGCAGTACTCGTATCACATGTGGGACATAAACTGTGTCATAAGACTTGATTCGATACTCGGCGAGAGTATGAGCTTCATCTCATTCTAGTGCATGGAAATGTTATAGAGCTCATTTCTGCAGCAGTATCTCGTCATCAAATCGCGCCGCAAAGTAACTAATCCAGGCTTCTTCAGATTTGTTCACGCAAATCTAGTGAAATCAAAATGCCTCCATCGCCAAACATCACCGCCAACACTTACATTTAATTCTATCAGAGACGCTTTCGCTCTAGAATTTATTCAATCCACCTTCAAACTAACATGTGACAAAACAGCTTATTTATTTTAGTCTTCTGCTTCGGAAGATAACAGTTTCTGAGAGTCAGTTCATCATTTAATTCTAATACGGACTCCTGAAGTTTATCTTTGAAGTATTTTGAGTTCAATTTTATTCATTCGTCGTAGCATTGCTTGAATAATAATTGAGAAAATACTTAACTAACACGACTAATACTAATGTACTATTGTCGGTTTAAAACTACGTTTTTCAATAGCATTTCGAGGAGGATCAGTCAGAGCCACCGATTGTTAGAGAAATGAACTCAAAAGCTTCACGAGACACAGATTTGGATTACATTCAGTAGTAAAATATTGCTAGAGAAAATGACTCAACTTTATGTTACAATTATTTTTCCCTTCTTACCGAGTTCACGTTGCCTTATGTGCAGACACAAAAAAGGCAGAATAAATTGATTCCTTGTTTATTTAATTTCTCCTTCGAACTACAACGGAAGTTTATTATAAGAGCCTCGATCTTGAAGTCAATAGCTCACTCCCATTTGGAAGTTCCATGGAAGTACTTTTCTCTCGACCCGAGAGGGCCTTGGGCCGGCAGGAGATGCTCAAAAACCAAAAGAATTTGCATTTGTTTCTTAGTAAAACATTTCGTCTTTTCAGGAGCCCTTGTTCATGCTCCCGCAAATTCACGTTCTACCGTTGGTACCGTATTGGCAGTGTTTTTGGCATTCTGGAAAGTGAGCAGTCTAACAACACCCGATTTTCGTAAGGGAGCTGGGAATAATTAAATCATAATTTATCTTGGTTACGTCAACCATTGAATGAAGCATAATATTCCTTTGGAAGCAAGTTGTTTCGGAAAAAACAAATGATCAAACGATCGTGTTGGTCTTTAAATTGTGAAACAAAGATAAAATTAAAAGATTGGAATTCTGATCGTAACCAATGTTTTAATTCGGAACATGGACCACGTTGACGTGAGGCGCGCCCACTGCCTTAATCTCCGACAACAAGTACTGAAAAGGGTCAACGTGCGCACCCCCCCACCTAGTGCCCAGCGACTCCATGACCCACATAAAAGAAGGGTTGGAAAGATTTGAGATTATAGATAGAAAAGCACGGCGATAAGAAAGATGAAGCTTTCAGTAGCTGTCCTTTCTGCTGTTTACGCTAAGAGAGAACCAGAGTAAGTTTATCAAGCTTGTTATAATTAATCGATTATATTTCGTACTTTATTTTTTTTCAATATCAAGGACTAAGTCATAAGCATTTTTTTCATGACAAATTTCGAGTAAATACTAATGATAAATATATCAAGAAATTATCTTAGTGCCGATCGTCGCCTCGAGAAAATCAGAGGAAAAGCGGCTGACTTCAAATCTTTCGCAGAAAACAATCATTTCGTAAGCGCAAAGCGTCTCGTCGCTCTCAACGATCGAGTTGATCGACTAATCGCCGACGTCGAATCCATCAATGTCTCTGCTTGCCCCGTTCCCGGAGTAGAAGAGGGCAAATTCGCCGATGAAGAGGACTTCAGCGAGCTCTGTGATGCTTCGGGCAAGTTTCCGTCGATGGTCCGCTCCTATGCTCGCACGTTCGGCTGCCAAGATGGTTTCAAAAGGAAGAACTTCCTAAATAGACTCGTCAATCGAACTCACAAGTTGAAGAAAAAAACGAGAAAAGCTGCTAGATGCGAGGCTCCTGCCCCAGTCACAACAGCAACTACCATCGTCACCGGCACTCCACACACCGAAGCTCCAATGCTTGAAATGTGCGACAAAGACCACCACGCTGTTTGCGAGCCACTGACCAATTCCGAAATCTACTTCGAGAATCAGTGGACCTGCAGAAACTGCTTCCGAGTACGAGCGACTTACGGCCAAAACTCAGGCTTCAAATTCAACCCGGCAAAAGGCGATTTCGTAAGCGTTCGATTTACCGAACCGGTCATTTGGCAAACATTCAACCATCCAGTCGAAAAGGTGACCGAAGTTGGTGATGATAACACATGGAAGATCGATTTTAAACATGACGGAAATTTCATGAGCGGAATGATCTTCGAGGGAAATCTGCAAACCTCAGATGACGATCTTCACGTTGACGGAAACTGGATCATTGAGGCGGCTGAGCAATGCAAATGCAAAGAAGGTCCCCCACCACCACCTCCATGCTCACTTTCAGATCCCTGCGAAGGCAAACCTGACTGTGAGACCTTCATCAACGCCTGCGCCGTTACTCCATCGCGAAATAACCGTATCGCCACGATAGACGGTTCGGCTGGATATGTCGTATCCGCGGAAGTCCAGTGTGGCGAAAGCTCTGGTGCTTGGGGCGGTATTGTCCATATCAACACAGGCACGAGCAGAGAAGTGTTTGGTGACAGATATTTCACGTTGTGGGCCCGACCTGATGGTGGAATTAAATTTAATGCTCCTCTGAAGGTATGTTTGTTGCTAATTTTTTCGTAAAATATTTTGCGTAAGAGTAAGATCAGTCCGCTAAGCAAATATTTAAGGATAACGGTGAGTTCCACGAGGTTGAATACAATCCGTCCTGCACTCCAGGAGAATGGAATACATACACTGTCGCTCAAGAATACGTCGACAACGTGCTCGAGCTTTCCATCTCCGTCAACGGAGAAGTTCTTGGAACACACGTTGTTCCAGCTGATAATGCTTTCGAAGGAGAACTTTTCGTCGAAGTCGCAGGCGATTACCATCCTGCTGCTGATACTTTCAAAGTGCGAAATTTCTACCATCAGAAACTTCAAGAGCCAACTGGCCGCTGCGACGCACCAGTTGATCCATGCGATGGTGACGATTCCTGCGACGCACTCGTTGATAACTGCCCGATTAGACCCATGTGGTCTAATCTTCTCGGAGAAGTCGATGGTGATGCTGTTTACTCAGCATCCGTTGATGTTTTCTGCAAGAAAACTTCTGGACACGGCTGGCAGAACGTCGTACATATGACGCAGGGCACCAACCGGGATCAATTCGGTGATCGATATTTGACGATTTGGCAACACGCTGATGGACGACTCAAACTCAACGGTCCACTCAAGGGCAACACTGAATTCCACGAAGTTGAATACTATGTCGACTGCGATGACAACTCGTGGACAAACATTGCTATTGCTCAGACTCAACTTGAAGGCGGTCTTTTGGAATTGAGCATGTATCAGGACGGCGATCTTCTTGGCTCGCACCGTCTTCATTCCAGAGATGCATACTCTGGTCCAATCAAGGTGTATGCTTCGAATCCGTTCATGCCTCCCGCCGAATTTTTCAAGATTCGAAATTTCGTCCATCGATCTGCTCCATATGAAGATAACTGCGTAGGCTCTGATCCATGCGACGGCATTGCTGATTGCGAAACTTTCGTTGATTCTTGCGCGATCGCTCCGTGGCGAGGAACCCGACTCGCGGACACCTCGGCCCACGAGCAGTACAAGATCTCCGCTGAAGTCTTCTGCACTGACCGAGTTGCATCTAATTGGGAAAACGTTCTCCATGTTCACACTGGAACCAACCGAGAAAACTTCGGCGATCGATACTTCACCATTTGGAAGCAAGGAGGACATGCAGACAAAATTAGAATTGTCGCACCTGCCTTTGACAATCCGAATTATGAGCTCAATGCTTACGTTGACTGCGCTCCAGGATGGCACACATTCACTGTCCAGCAATCAAAACTCGACCAACACCAAATGAATCTCGAGATCATTTTCGATGGAGAAGTTGTCGAATCTCAAGCTGTTCACAAAAATGATCTTTACGACGGTCAAATTTTCGTTGATGTCTCTAACGAATTTGCTTGGCCAGCTGCATACGATCATCTTGTTAGAAATTTCTACCATCAAGACATTGCTTGTGCAGATCCCTGCTTTGGAAAAGAGAATTGCGAGACGATTGTTAACGAATGCGAGATCTTCCCGGCCCGAAACCAGCAGCTTACAACAGTTGAAGCGTCTTTGAACTTTAAGACTTCAGCTGATGTTCTTTGCGACCATGATGTAATTAGTGGCCAATACACAAATATTCTTCATATTACCGGCGGTGGTAATGTTGGCGAAGTTGGTGATCGAACATTTGGTATCTGGCGACGACCAAACGAAAATAAACTGCACCTAACTGTCAATGATCCAGCTCATGGAAGTCATCAGAAGACAATTAATGTAGATTGCAGGCAAGGTGATTGGAATACATACTCAGTTGAAGTTCGTCAGCTCGAAATCAATCCATCAGTACTCAAGTACGTTCTCAGCATCGACGACGAACAGATTCTTGAAGGTTTTTATGAGAAATCTGCAACCTTGTCAGAAGGTGCTCTTCAAGTTTGGGCTGCCGATAATTTCTATGATGCAGCTACATCTTATGCAGTTCGAAATTTCTACTACCAAACTTTTGAAGAAGTGCCCGATATTGCTTGCGATGATGCTACTGATCCTTGTGATGAACTTGAAAACTGTAACACTATCGTTGACAGCTGTGCGGCTTCTCCACTAAGAGACACACAAGTTTCAACCGTCAGCTCTTCTCTCAATTACAAGTTCTCTGCTGATGTTCTCTGCAGTCATGCTATCTCTCCTGATGGTCAGTACAAGAATATTCTTCACGTAACAGGTGGTGGCAATGTTGGAGAATCCGGGGATCGAACTTTCGGTATTTGGCGAACACCAAACGAAAACAAACTTCACCTCACCGTCGACGACCCAGGAAAAGGTAGCCATCAAAGTACTGTCAATGTCGACTGCACTGATGGAGAGTGGAACACATACTCCGTTGAAGTTCGTCAGCTCGAAATTGACCCGTCTCTCGTCCAATATGTTCTCGCTGTTGACGGCGTCCAAGTCGACCAAGGAATCTACACCGCCGATAACGTCTTTACAGAGGGTGATCTGGAGGTTTTCATTTCTGATGATTTCTATGATTCCGCAACACTTTATTCTGTTCGAAATTTCTATCATCAGACTTTCGATGAGCTCGAACCTCTTCCCTGCGATTCTACTGATCCCTGTGATCTGCTTGATAAGTGTACTACAATCGTCGATAGCTGCGCAGTTTCTCCAGTCCGCAATACTGAAAAAGCTACTTTGACCGCTTCCCTAAATTACAGAATCTCAGCAGATGTTCTCTGCAATAGCGTCTCAGAACTTGATGGGCAGTATAAGAACATTCTTCACGTCACTGGCGGAGGAAATGTTGGGGCAGCTGGAGATAGAACATTCGGAATCTGGCGACGACCTAATGAGCACAAGCTTCACCTTACTGTCAATGATCCAAACTCTGGAGGTCACCAGAAAACGAAAAATGTTAACTGCATCAACGGAGAGTGGAACACCTATTCAGTCGAGGTTCGACAGGTTGAGGATGCCCCAGAGACACTTCGATACGTCCTTAGCGTTGATGGTAATAAAATAATGGATGGAACTTACGAATCAAGCGGTGCCCTGAGTGAAGGAAATCTTCAAGCTTTCGTTGCTGACGAGTGGTACGGCGCTGCTACTCCTTACTCTGTCCGAAATTTCTACTACCAAGACCTTACCTGCCCTAGTCCATGCGATGGTAAAGCCAATTGCGAGACTTTTGTCAATGAATGCGAAGTCTTCCCTGCACGAAATCAGCAGTTAGCAACAGTTGAAGCCGCTTTGAATTTTAAAGCTTCCGCTGAAGTTTACTGTGATCATGCCATGCCTCTCGATGGTCGATGGAAAAATGTTCTCCGCATTGGTGGTGGTGGCGATCTCGGCCGAATCGGAGATCGAGTATTCGCTATCTGGCGAAGACCAAATCAGAATAGGCTTTACATCTCCATCAACGATCCTACAAGGAGTCACATGGAGCGAGTAACTACTGCCGAGTGCATTCAGGGTGAATGGAACACCTATTCTGTTGAAGTTCGCCAACTCGAATCAAACCCATCCATTCTCAAATATGTTCTCACCTTTGATGATGAAGAGATCTTTGAAGGATCTTACGATAAATCAGGCACCTTGTCCGAGGGCGCTCTTCAAGTTTCGGCTTCAGATGATTTCTACGAGTCAGCTTCAACCTATGCCGTTCGAAATTTCTACTACCAAACTTTTGATGAAGTTGCGGAAGTCGCTTGCACAGATGGCACTGATCCTTGCGATGGACTCGAGAATTGTAACACTTTCGTTGATAGCTGTGCAGTCCGCCCATCAAGAAATAACCAGGTTTCCGCTGTCGCCCCTGCTACCAGCTACAAACTATCTGCAGATGTTCTTTGCAATAAGGACCTCTCTACCGATGGTCAGTGGAGAAACATTCTTCGTGTTGGTAATGGCAGTGGCGATCTCGGCGAGTCTGGCAATCGAGTATTCGCACTTTGGCGACGACCAAATCAAAACAGGATTTACATCTCTGTTGACAACCCAACTACAAGCCACCATGAACATGTAACTACGTTCGCCTGTACCGACGGAGAGTGGAACACGTATTCTGTCGAAGTCAATCAGCGCGAATCAGATCCATCCGTAACCGAGTATTCTGTAACAGTCGATGGCGAGGAAGTCATTGCTGGATCCTACAGCACTAGCGATTTTTTCACTGACAGCGATCTTCAAGTTTTCATCTCTGACGATTACTATGAACCAGCTTCTGTTTACTCTGTCCGAAACTTCTTCTACCAGACTTTTGAATAAGCTGGACGTGATTTTACTGTACTGTACGTTTCAAATTCTCTATCTTTATGATACTTTTATTATGAATAAATCAACAAATTTACCTTTTGATAGACTGAATCTTTCTGGCAATTGGGAACGTAGAAAGCAGCCAATAGGAGCTCTCGTAGAATCAAAAAGAGAAAAAAGGGTAAAAATGCTTTCTAGGGCAATTTTTCAGAGAGAAATTGTAACTCTTTCCTACCGAAGAATTTCAACGTGTTCAGTTCATTTTTCTTCTAGGCTTGCGAAGGTAAACAATTAATAATTGTCAATTATCTACCTAATTAAACGTAATAATCTGAAATTATTATTATATATTTTCAATAAGAAAGCGAATAGTTGAAAATAATTCACCTTACGATATGCTTAGACAGATTTTGCGGAATGCCACCATTCTTCAATTTGGGCCTCAACTTTCCTTCCATTCGAAAAGACGGCCGTTCCTATCGACCGAACGCTTGAACGCGCCGTCGAATCCAACCCAAAAATGACCCCTGAGAAGGTGGCGGATCAACTCGAAGCTGAGCCGATTATTCGCCCAAAACTTCAATTTCTTCAGCCGCTGATGTTCGCTGTCCTGTTTTATCTCTTTGCTGTCAGAATTCAACAACTCAAACATCTAAGCAGACTCGAACAAGAAAATCAAGAATTTAATGCACTGACAGGTTTGGAAACGAATAAATTCTGTATCTTTACCTTATTTAAAGACGACGAGAAACGATCTTTATTCGAAACAGATGAAAACTACACTTTCTACCGAAGCATTTTGGATCTTTATTTTGGAACTTGCTTCACTGCTCTTGTTTTCTTTCGTCTTGCTGCTCTTAGGCGCTTCACAATTGCTAAGCAAGCCTGGTTCTGGTAGACCTAAAATTTATAAAGCAGTTTTCAGGTAATTCTTTTAGTGGAAAAACGGGAGTGACCACAGTTCGAGTTCAATCAGTATCCATCGCTGGCAACGCACCAACTTACATCAACATCCCTCCCCATTCGACCGACTTCGTCATCACTGCCGACCTCAATGAGATCCAAAATATTCCTGCTCTGAAGCAAGAGCCAGAAAATACTGTTGATAAGATTTTGCAAAAACTTATTCCAAACAACAAGGTTCCGTTTTTAAGATCGTGAGGATTCTAAACTGCTTTCAGATAAGCAGCTCTGCAATCGGAGACAATGGAGGACTAGCGCTAGTTTTTCCATCTTGCTATCTTGATATGGGCGCTGCTTTCGGCTCGTTGGAGAACTTGACAGTTATCATAAACGGGGAAGTGGCCCAGACGATGCATGAAAAGGCTACGGAAACTAAGCGTTTTTCTGAAACTGCGTTTGGTGCTAAATTTATTCGGGAGACAGCAAAACTGTGACTAAAATAGTAATAAAGCGTTTATTTCGTCAATGAAAACAGTCAAATTCGTCATATTTACAAAAATAGCAGTCGATTTTTATCAAATCTTTGTTTTTCCAGGACATTTCACAATTTGTCCTCTTCGTTGTTCTCCATTTGAATACCTATTTACAGGGCGATATATAAAAAAACTCAAGATTCTGGTTATGAGATCGTTAGTAGTGTTAAATTTAAATAAGTGATAATATCAAGTCCATTGACGGCAGGCCATTTGCAATCTTCAGTGATAGTTATTCTTTTTTAAATTTAAAAACTCATTTGTTGAAGACAACCGGCATAAAAATACTTTAAAAAGTTAAGACTCGCAGGTCGGAACAGGATTCGACCACTTGCATTTGTTCCCTCTTTTGTTGCAAGAGCAATAGATGGAACTAGCGCCATCGAGTTTCAGTCCCTTTTGCACCTAAAACGGCAACTATCGCCAGCATTTTGTCCTGTGCAATTGGCACTCTCGAGCCCGGCGGATCGTTCAATCGCATCGCAAGACGTCACTTTTTGGGGTCGGCCAGGCATACTCAAGCTCCTTGCTTGTAGTAATCCAGTACCTGGTCTGTTTTTTCTGTTGGGTCTCCCCGAGCGAGCCGTGATGAGAGACTCACTCTGTCGCATCCTAAAAATATTTTAGATGTGTGCCAAAATGGCAATAGAAAAACCTGTAAAGTGTGATTTCTTGTTCTTTTCCTCCAAGTGCCTGTCTAGCGAACTCAATTTGACGGCGAGGATCGCCTATATTCGCCCATGTGTCGTAAACGCCGAACGCGCGTAAAACTCCCTCGTCAGGCTCGCAGTTGACTTTGTCATCATTGCGCCAGAAGCAGTTATCTTTTCGGCAGAAGCACTCTTTCTCCGAACGCCCGGTTGTTAATCTTTGCGGGTTCTTTAATACTTTTCTATCGACTACAATCTGTCAGAGAACAACTTATCGAACCCTTCCTGTAACCGGGAAAACATGTGAGATCACAGACTTCTTCTTTCAAGAAAATACTCACCCCATCAACAGTGATCGCCATGTCGCAAGTAAAAAAGCCTGGATAGCTGTCAATAGCGGATCCTCTTGGGTCGGAACAAGTTCCAATGTCGTAGCCAGCTTGGTGCTCTTCGAAATCCGCTGAAAGATCCAGGCAAACGAAATCGAGTGGGTTTTTGCGCCATTGGTACACTCCGCGTGATACTTCTCCGCATTTTAGTCGCTAATTACATTCAGGCTCATTTACTTTCACAAAAAAACTTACATTTTTATCGCCGTATCCAGCCTCCAAGAATCCCTCAGAACAGGTCAATTTGCAAATTGTGTCCTCTCTGGTTCCTTGAGTGCAGAGAAAGTTTCCATTTTCAGGTTGAACGAGATCTGGACAGAAGTTGAATTCAGTAACCGTGTTGTCAAATGCGTTGTATGTTTCTCTTTGAATTGGGACGCATTGTGGGAAGATCGCTGAGGCATCTCTGAAGATATTCGTGTTCCAACCGGTGGAAGACTGTGTGAACGATCTTGGAGCGATTCCGACTGGCTGACGTCCAAGGACAAAAGCCGATCGCTGACGCAGGGCGAGCTCTAGCACTGCTCCTCGCTGACTCCAAAGGCAATCCTCGCCCTGGCAGTCGCAGTCGTATTGAATAGCACGCAAATTTGTCTCTGTCAAAGCGTAACCGTCATTGCAGGTGCTATAGCAAACATCGCCGTCTTGGGAGTCAGCGCGAGTCCGTTCACAGACCCATTTTCCATTTTCAATGTCTGGCAAAGTCGGGCAAATCGGAACAGTTAGGCCCGACTTTATCGTGCAGGCATCAAAAGCTTCGCCATCCCAAGTACACTGCTTTGGAAATTCGATTGGGCCAAATGTTGTGAAGCAATTGCATTTCCGCGAGACCTCACCGACTGAATTCTCGAAGTTTTCAAGGCAACTCAAGGTGCAAACAGAGTTGTGCTCTAGTTTGTCTTCTGTGTCGTCGCATTTGTACTCGGCATTTTCAACATGTGGGAAAGCAGGGCAGATTGTTGTCGGCGATCTTTGAATGTAAGTACTCGACGCTGCATACTCGCCTTTATCAGGTTCAATCAAGTCACCAAGCTCAATTATTGAGAATTGATTTAGAAGTCACGTGAAACGTGAACCTTTTCCTGAGATAGCTGACGCCTTCCCAAGTACAGTTACGACCAGCGGGAATTTTTTCATTCTCCTCTGTTGATCTCTTTATTCCTCCTCTTGTTCTTGAAGTAGTCTTCGACTTTTCGAGAAAAGGGTTTTTTGAAAAAATGAGATCTGTGATAATTGCTCGTTCTGGATCTGATAAGGTATTTAAGAGTATTACGCCACCTAGAAGTTGATAGCTAGTTCTAAATCAGCGCAATAATATAATCTGCGTGGCAGGATCGCCGTCGCTGACGAAGAAAAATATAGTAGCGCGAGGAACGGTCGGACAAATAAGCGAAGACGACGCGCAGGGGAAAGTGAACGAAAATCATTTCTAATTCGTAGACTTCTTGAATCAGTGATTTCACGACTTTGATCAACGCAGACTTCGAAATTTATCGTGTCATCGAACACGTTTTTGTGGAAACTTGTCAAAACAGAAGAATGATTTAAAATCCAGGGCTTCAAGTTTTGAATAGAAGGTCATTTATTTTTACGCTAACGGTAGGAAGTGTATCTTCTTGAAGAAGAAAAGGAAGAAGACGGCGTGTAACTGCTTGTCGTAGATGATGAATATGGCCTCGAAGAGTAGGATCCAGTTGAAGAGGATGACAAAGGCGTCTGGCTTTTGTATGAGGAGTAGCTCGAATAAGAAGAAGGAGTGTAGGATGAACTGTATCGTGAAGAACTGGAGCTGAGACTGTCGAACGTGCTGTTATTGTTGCTCCGCCCAATCGAGCTTGTGTAACCTCGAGAGTAAGCACCAGAAGTCGAAGAACTCGTAGTGCTTCTATACTTGGGTGTATATGTGGAAAATCTGTCTTGGTCGGTGAATGAAGATCTAGGTCGGTAACTGACGCTTTCATCCCTTCAAGAATAGTTAGAACGCATAAAAATGCGCAGCGAAAACCTGCTTTTCAGTAACGACTCTCGCGCATCCTTTGCTCTTTTCTCAGATTCTGCACACTTTTCATCAATTTCTTTCAGTCTTTCGCTTAATTTTTTTCTCTGCCTTGTTCTGAACATACTGGCTGATCTTGTTGAAAGACCCATCTTTTCGAATAGCTTTAGTTGATCCTTCTTTTCTAAGTGAAGAAAGTCCATTTCTTCAACCAGTCCCTTTTCAGTGCTAAAATTTTTGGCGTCAAAAGCCGTTAGAAATGTCCAGCTTACTTGAAGAGAAGAATAGAATTGTCAATACATGTTAGGTTCGGGGTGCGAGCATCCTCCAAAAATGCGATGCTTTCGATGTTCAGCTTGTCCTCGTTTCGGTAATGAAGAAGTTCCTTGAAGGAAAGCGACACCAGTCGAACTGGCTCATCTTTTGCAGAGAAGCCGAGAATGACGCTATCCTGCGCTTAAAAGTTTTCCATGATGCTGAAAAGGAGGCCTTACGTTAGTCACATGTCCTTTAACGTCAGAAATTTGAAGTTTTTCGCCTTGACTGTCTATCGGGCGTATGCGGTTGCAAAAGTAGACTTTTTCGAATTCGACTTCGCAGAAGAATTTGACGACGCGGTAAACTTCGATAATTTTATGTACAACGATAAGAAACTGCTCTTCATTGAACATAAACCATTTCGACCAAACTGGAACTTTGGGGTCATTATCTTCGATCTGGATTTCTGATATTTCAGCGCCAGTTTTTGTCGAATAAACCCACAACTCTCTATTCCTGTCGCGCAAGTTGTTACCGACGGTGTTCCATTCAACAACTGCGTATTCGCCAAACACGTTTATATTCGGCTTCCAAGTGAACATGCCAAAGTTCATCGGCTCGAATTCAAATTCGTAGAAAAACTCGTGTTCGCCAAACTCAGCATCAAAAAGGGGCCGTTCCAAAGCATCAGAGAGATTGTAACTGACGATTTGATCATTCGAGTTTGCGCTAAGATGAAATTTTATGACGACTTTGAGATTAGTTATGTAACATAACTTATGTTCACCTGATAAAAAGCTGATTAGGATTAGATGGGTTGAGATGAAGTTCGCCTGAAGGAAGAATTTGCTGTGAAAGAGTTTCCATGTGATATGTTCAATAGCCTATTGACAATAGGAAAAAAAATATCAAGTCTTTTCCTGAAGCTCGCTCTCATAGTTGAAGATCTTGGTGCTCCAGGTGTTCCCTGACCAAATAGAACTACACGAGAATTATCATCTGTCTCATATAATTTCTAGCGCTAGAAAACATTCGTTTTAAATAATCCCCTTTTCAAATGATAAAAGACTCAGTAGCGACCACGCCAAGCCAAACTGTGAAAGAAGCCCTCTCGTAAGCACAAAACTGCTCTCTTCATACGCAAGTTTTTAAACTTGAACACGTTTGCCGAAAAGAAGATCTTGCATAATTTCCTAAGCGTCCACGTTCCGGTGTCAATTACAGAGATCCAACCATAAGGCTCCAGAACGACAAGTTTATCTTCGAAAATCGTGTAGTGCTGATAATGATATTTTGCAGGCATTTCTTTATCAAGGCTTTAAATCAATATAAACATTGCTTTTTGAAAACAACCGAAACACTTCTTCAAAAGGCTAAGAAAGCCTACCCTAATTGCTCATCAATGCTGGTAATATCCTTGATTCTGTGAATTTTCCGCTGAAAATTGCCTTTCTTTGTTTTTATTCCAGCTTTTCGCTTTTCTCAGATGTTATTACGCCCTAACGCGAGCTGTCTCTTCCGAGAATTAATGAAAATGAAATTTTAAAGCAGTTCTTTTCAACTAAAAACATGAGGGAAAAGGGTAAATCTGTTCCTGTTGTCGATAGAGGAAGCGAGAAATAGAGTCTGTGACGGTCATAAACTTATTTGAGCAAAATCGTAATTCTTTTAAAAATTTCTTAATCGGCGAATTTCATAAAATAGGAACCTTTGTCGATTTGATCCTCGAAATCATCGTTGACAATTGACTCATCTTCTTCTTGCGAAAGAGAAAAGGGGAGAAGTTCGAAGTTTTCGACGAGACTTCGATGATGACGAGATGTGTGTGCTAAGCTCAAGATATCCTTTGGTTTTAACGTCCAAAATATTTCTTCTATGATGTGATCGAGATTTCTCTCAGCAATTTTTGAAATAATATCATTCATGCTATTTTTTCTCAAGAATAGATTTTTCCCAAAATAGGCAACACACCTACACGGGTTCACACGCGTCAGCTGTGATCCAGACTTGATCATCCAGAAGACTCTCCAACATTGGAGAATAAACGAGCTTTGGCATAAGCAAAATTAAGATGCAGTTGAAAAGCTCAGTAAGAAAATCGCGTGCAGTATCCTATTAACTTACTGTAATTGAACTTCACTTGGTGTCTTGTTATGCAATTTTATTTCGTTTTAATCAGACCCCAAAACGTCAAATGCGGTCGCAACCTTATTTTCCCTTGAATCGCTGCATAAAAGAACCATTAACGCTGTTCTCTACTGCAGAATAGAATAGAGTCTTTTTCACCATGGGTGAGGACAAAAAAGAAGACTTTTTTGATATAAGTGGGAGCTCGTGCGGCTGGTTAAAGTATATTTTTGCGAATAAGATCAGTATTCCGAGAAGGCTTATGTGGGCGATGGTTTTCATAAGTGGCAATTATGTCGCTTTCTACCACATCTGGCGAATCGGAGTCAAATACTATCAGGTTCGATTATTGTTGTAACTACTCTAGTAAATGTTCAGTACCCACATTCAATAAAAGATCGAGCAAAATACGAAGTCGACTCTTTTCCCGTGATAACTGTTTGTCTAAACTCCATGCACTCGCGAAAAAAATTGATGAAACTTCACCCAGAGTTGGGAATTCAACATCGTGGTAATGAGATCAAAGACAATTGCTCCCTCTGGGATTTCTACGGGCACAACCACGACGGGTACAAACATGATCTGTCGCTTTTTGACCACATCGATCTTGAAACTTTCTACAACGAAACCTATTCTGCCTTTCTTATGATCTCATGCAAGTACAAAAAAGACGACTGCACCAAGTGGTGGAAGGTAAACGAAGCATTCGATCATCTTTTAAAATTTTCTAGCGTACATTGACTCTGTATGGAAACTGTCAAGTTCTGGATCTTGCCGCCGTGCCGGACATAAAGTCGAAATCGCCCGATGGATTTCGTTCATTGCAGATGGTTCTAGCGTACAATCAAAGTGACTGGACATATGGTTGGAACTCGTTCATGGATGGATTCTCAATATTTTACAACCCAGAAGGAGAGACTGTTCTCGATCCCATGAGAAGGTAATTCTTGATAAGAATGTTTAGGATATTCAATTTACTAGCATTACCGTCAATTCCCGAATCGTTCCAATCATGTTTCTCCAGCAACATCGTAACATCAAACTTGGGCAGCCCTACACCGAGTGCATCAAAAACGGATCTCTTGCCTATTTCGACCACTACAGCAAATATAATTGCAACTACGAGTGCTTGATCAAAGAAGTCTACAAAAAGTGCAGATGTTGGGTTCCATATTTTCCGAAGACTACTGACTATCCTGTTTGTATGTACCACGAGCACACGAGATGCGTCGCACATATTCTCAAGGAGTTCATGTATTCAAACTGCACTTGCCCGGTTCCTTGCTCGGAGCTCTTTTATAAGAAAACAGTTTATTACACTGAGATGCATCAGAACTTCCGGAATAAAACAGCGGAAATGCTCAAACGATTCCCAGATATTGCGTTGGCTTCAGTACGAATCTCGCTTCCAGAAAACTACGAAATGCAACACGAAGAACAAGCTGACTACGAAATAAGCCAGCTTTTCTCAGGTCTAAACTATTTTCATTTAGACATTGAATTTTGACTTTAGATGTTGGTGGAGCAATGAGCCTCATTCTTGGGATTTCTCTTGTATCCCTTCTCGAGCTTTGTGAGCTCTTCTGCATTGGATCCCGAATGGGCTGGTTGAATAGAAAATTAATCGCCGCCAAGTCAAGAAGTAGCTTCCAACAAATCGGTCCCGCAATGGTCGGTCTTGCAAACTCGATGAAAGGCTCCGTTGGTATTATTGCAAACTCGGATGCGAGAGGTAATGAGTTACCTGAAGCGCGTACTTAAATACTACCTACTTCAAGACTGTCCTTCAAAAACGAATTTACCTGAGAATTCGGAAATTAATAGAAGCAAAAAGGACACGTTTGGTAAAAAATTTATAAAGATAAATCATCGTAGACAAAAATTCAGTTGAAATAAAAGAAGAATCGGACAATGAAACAGTGTTGTCACCGGACTCCCCATATCTAAGGTAAATATTAAAAATCTTGCAGCATTTTTTCCGTCTTTCAGATTTTTCAAAAGAGTTTATCCGATGAATAATGATGGTTTCATTTTCTCAAACTCCAGCCTGGAAGAACCTGAGTATTTTTATGTCCCAAAAGAAAACTCCCGAAAAACGAACTAGTCCGTCAAACGGATACGATGTGCGATATAAACGTTACTGTTGTGAAAAAACTATCTTTTATTCAAATAATCTAAGCGAAATATGCATGCAAAAACACACATGAAACAGCAAGAAAAACAGCGGCAACGTTCGCTGCAATGTTCCACGATTTTTCCTCCTTGAGAATTTTACAGGGATCCTCTTCGACATCATGTTCCTCGTTCGGTTGTTCTTCTGCGATGGAAATTTCTTCAGAGGAAGTTTTATTTTCACGAACAAGGCATTTCAGCCATTTGGGCACTTCTTGAGCAGAAATTAGAATTCGTAAATTTTGAGCTATTTTACCTGCTTGAGAGATTTCCTCCTTAGGTTTCAAATCGCTAATAGATTTGCGTTTTTTATTAGAAAACCGAGTCCAGTATGTCATTCGTGGAAGATATCTGAGAATTATTATCACCAGCCGTTTTTACTTCCTTACCTTGGATCGAGTGGCGGAGTCAAAAGTGAAACGACAATTGCGATGATCACCGTTAAAAATGCCAATAAAATCGCAAAATGTAAATAATGCATCTTCGACAAGACCAAAGGTTTTGGAAGCGTATCGCCACATAGTCCTGTTGGTTGTGTGAATTCAAGTAGCATTTTAGTCAGACCGATAATTAGTCCACATAGAAGCCCCCAAAAAGCTCCTGGCTCGTTGCAACGCGGCCAGAATATGCCAAGAACGAAAATTGTTACAACTGGTGGGCCGAGATACGATGTGATTGCTTGAATGTAGTCAAAGAGCTGTCCGTCAGATGAATTTTGAACGATAGGTAGCCAAAGAATTGAAATACCGCAGAGAGCAAGCATTGTTAGTCTTGAGATAATTAGCAGTTCTGCTTGCGAAGCATTTTTGCGAATTTTCGCATAGATATCTACAAAAATCACAAAAAGATCGAATGAATAGAAGTACCTAATGTAAATAAAGTAGCACCAGAATTGAACGTTGAGGTGAGAGAACTCATGAGTGCGGCAAGCATGACGGCCATGAGCATTCCTCGTAATCCTGCTGGTAAGAGACGAAGAATAAGTGTTGGATAAGCGATATTAGAGCAGCCAATATTAGAGTTGCAGTAAGACTTGCAATTGTCAGGATCAACGCAAGCAACTTTTGAAAAGTTATTTTATGTTTTCAATATGAATTTTTTCATTTATAAATATACGATGCTTTGATTCAATAACTGATTCCTTCATCGGTAAATAAGATGCGAGAGATCATTCCTGGAAACACCATCAGAAACACTGGTGTTACTTTGATAAGTCCGGCAATTACACATCCCAACTTCACATGGGACAAGTTTTTCGCAGCTAAACAGCGTTGAACAAGCACTTGATCAGTACACCAATACCACGTTGCAATTACAGTCAAGCCGAAAATTGCACCTGGCCAGGGTAGATCGGCGTCGGGTGCTCGCAGAACATGATCGAAATCATCTCTAACGGCACCACATGCGTCGCCATTCTGCGTTTCTAGAGGCGAAAGGTAGTCGGAAGGAATCGAACAGTTGTACTTGGCCCAGAGACTGTCCCATGCAGACTCATTCTCGCTTCCAATCTCATTGAACGCATAAACCGCCATAATGACTGAACCGATAACCATGATCACAGTTTGAAGAGCTTCAACGTAAATGACAGCCTTCAATCCACCGGCGACAGAATACGCAGCTGTGATAGCAAGGAGGATGATGATAGCCACATATAAATTCAGTGATGGAATCGCAAGAGAAATGAATAACGAGCCAGAGAATAAATCTGCGCTAATCTTCGTAAAAATATAAATGAAGAGAGATAAAACTGCTAAATAAAGCTGAATTCGCTCTCCAGGAAATCGACGTTGGAGGAACTCGGGCATAGTCTTGATTCCAGATGCAAGATAGACTGGAACGAAAAGCCATCCAAGCATCAGCAAGCAAATCATTGCATTCCACTCAAACACGCCAACTGCGATGCCAGCAGCGGCTCCTGATCCAGCCAAGCCAATGAAGGAAGAGCTTCCAATATTCGAGCTGTATAGGGAAAACGCGACAGGTAAAAACCACATGGATCGGCCTGCAAGAAGAAAGTCTGTTGCAGCTGACGAAGAAGCCTTCTTCTTTCCGATGAGAGAAATGCCAAGACCTGCTCCAAGGACAATGACGAAATAAACGCCAATAACTAGCCAGTCTCCCCACTCAAGAACAAGTCGAGCATTTCCTGCGTCGTCGACTGGTCGATCGTAGCAAGACTGTGGTTTAACATCGCTTCCATAGGGGATATTTCGTAGCCGGAAATTGCAGTATTCTTGGATAGTCGGATTGCGACTATCACAAGACATGACTCTTTCTCTTGAATCTTTTTCGGTTATCTTCAAGAAGAATGAAGAACATTTGGTACTTTCACTTGAGCAAATTTGACGGAGAGACCGATGAAAAGAATGGCTGTTTTATAGGCAAATTTATCTTATGTGTATATGAACTGAGAATATTTATTCTGAATTGAACTTCTTCTAAATTAAAATATGTCAAACTATTCTTAACATATAGAAATATAATCATGAGTCAATTAACTGACTCCAGGGCAAGGTGATCGTCATCATAAAAGTTCTTTTATTATACTAGTGCGATGATAATCCGACTCGTTTGGCTCACTCATGAAACAAAGGAACAATGAGAGGAATTTCAACAACATCGCTTTTTCTGTTAATTTTTCTTATGCACAAGAAATAACTGTAGTGGACAAGATCTTCTCCAGCGATGTTAATTGTGAAGCGACAGAAGGCTGCGATCCCGAAAATGGTAGTATAAGAACCACTAGCTTTTTCAATTCAATAACAATCCGATAGACCCTAAACATCCACAGAGAGTAGCAATATGTAAAGCATATGTTCCTCACGAAGAGTCCACTGACTTGACGTTTTATTTCGATGGACAACGAAGAAACAGCGCCGCTGATATGGTCTGTGAAAATAACAATAATCGAACTGTTTGCGAAGTTTCATTGACTTTGACTGAGCCAATTACCCGGGACATGCATCAATCAGAAGTAAAATGTGTCTATGCAGACGAGCGGGACGACATTGAAAGAGGTAAGGCTAACTCCGAAGACCTGGATTCACCAGCTACTAAAATTCTTTTCAGAATCGACGGCGAAATTGAATGTTCTTCATCCTCCAACAGTTTTAATGACAGGAGATCAGGAAAGGGTTACAAATTAAAAAAAATAATATCGACTAATCGTAGTAAAGCCTGACTGAAGAGAATGTTCAAAGACGAGAATGTGCTCAACTGTACTGCATCTGGGTATCCAACGCCGATAATTGGGGTCAATAGCTTGGTTCAAAAGGAAATCTCCAAAAGCTACAAAGGCGAGAGTTTGGATGTTACGGACGGAATCGCAATCATCCCTAAAGAAACAAAATGGGATCAAGTGATTGTCTGCTACGCTCAGAATGGAATTAACGCAGTTGCCGAAAAAAGAAAAGAATCTATCGTCAGGTTTGTTCAACAACACCTACCCTGCTAATAGCTCAATGTCCTTTCTCATAAGGAACTTCATTTTCTTTATTTAGCGCGACATATTCGGATCTCTTCCTGCCTCACTTTTTCGTAAGATACATGCTCATCATGTATTTTTTCTTCTTCGGTGCAAGTGCTATCATCCTGATTTACTGCTACTACGAAATGCAACGCCCTGATAAACGATTCGGCACTGTCGCACGAGGCGGACTAAGTACCAAACCTCTGATCAACTAACATGCAAATAAACTATCAAAAATACGCTCAAATGATTTCTGGGTATAATTTGAGCACTGTGAATCAACAGATTATATATATTTAAAGGAAGGCACAGAAAAGAAACAGAAATTTAAACCGTGAATATGCTGTTTGATATTCAAGGGAGGATTGAAAGAAGAAGGTGTATATTGCAGAAATCCCATATAAAGGCGAAGGTGTCAAGTTTTAAAGGAAAGCGTAATTGTTAACTTAAAGGAGATAGTAAAATCGATTCGATAGTGTTTAGCTCGATGGAGTTTCAGCAGCAGGCTTTGATAGGTCTTGAGCAGGTTGATCTCTTGAGATTTCTTGAGGCGTCGGAGAGGCAGCAGGTGCCGCCTCTTCAGTGTTTTCAGAAGGTGCTTCAGTGCTCTGTGAATTTTTCTCAGCTTCTTCAGCTGCTTTTTTCTTTGCTTCAGCGATTGCGTTTTCCTTCGCCTCTTGTTCCAGTCGGAGTTTCTCCGCAGCTTCTGCCTCTCGTTTCGCCACGATTTCTGGGTCCATGCTCAGCTTGAATGTCAACTCTTCGAGCTTTTTCTGTTTTCGCTCTTCGTTCATCTGGATCAGATCCATGAGATGCTCGGTCAGGTTGTCCTTCAATAATGATTTGACTGACTCCCAATTTTCCACTACCTTTGTCTCAGTTTTTTGCTGGAGATCGAACTTAGCATCGACGTACTCTTTCTCTGCTGTTTGAAATCGACGATTTGCTTCGCTAAACTCTACGCAAGCCTTGTCGATTTGATCGCGGATTACGGCAACGTCCGCATTAAGTAGGTTATCCAATTTAACTAAATTCAAATTTCGAAAACGAAAGCATATTGAATCATACCTAATTCATCCTGAATCGTCGCGAGCATTTTGCTTTCCAATGCAGCTTTCTTTTGCCGAGAGATGACTTCTTGAGCTAGAGCGGCTCTTCGCCTTTTATTCTTCTCCTCCATCTCTTTTTGAATCTTCTCGACTTCTTGGATCTCCATCTTTTTCTTTTGCTCGGCAACTTCTTCTTCAATAAAATCCGGCTAAATTCAATCAAAAACAGTCAGCTGATTCGCAAACTTACCACTTCAGGTTGATTTGATGAGGTGTCAACTTTGTTCACTTGGATCTCTTCTTTGGGTTCCAGTTTAGCTGGTTCAGCGTTTGTACTAGTAGGGAGGAGGGCTTCATCAGGTAATTTTTTCGGCGGTTTTGGCTTTGAGGTCTTTTTAGCGGCGAGTGCCTTTTTCGGCGATTTCGACGAGGCTGGTTTAGCTTTGGTCGCTGTTGAATCGCCGCCACTTCGGAGGTGGCGAAGTTCTGCGTCCGAAAACCCACCCCAATCTGACATTCTAAAAAGAGCGATTCAATCTTTTCTACGAAAATATAATTTATAAAATATAAAGAAAAATAAGAGAGCAAGCATCAATGGGCACTTTGGGTAAATACTTAAAGTCGCATATTGCGAACACGGAAATTTATCAAGGGAATCGGGTTGATTTCCTCGATATCGTCGGTAAGCAACTGCGAAGAGGATCCAGCGACACGAATAGGTGTTGTAACGAGCAGATCCGACATGTTTGGCGAGATCAAGTTTGCTTCTGATTTTCTTCGTCGTTCCAGAAGCTTAGCAGCTGGCCGACGTGGAGCGAAGGCAGAGCGTTGTCGGGTCTCAAGAATGTCGATATTGGTTTTTGTTCTTCTGGGCTTCTTTTGTCGTAGTCTGATCTTCTTGCCATCAATTGGACACTCTGAAAGAATAATCAGATAAAATTGCGTCTTATAATAAAAACCTGTATGATTTTGACACCAAGTATCGATACAATCACGGTGAAAGTAGTGACTACAAGAGTCCAATCGTTTGACATAATGCGCCGGGTCGAACGCTTGTAAACATATTCGACACTGCATACCATCTTTTAGTAGCCGCTGATTAGCACCCACTTTGTGGCAAGGCAGTAAGTTCAAAACATGATCTGGAACCCCAGGTCTATCAGGAGAAGCGGGTCGGTCTAGCTCAAGGAGTCGTTCGTAGTCTTCTTCTTGGATTTCGCGGCCTTGGAGCTCAAGCGTTAGTTGGTGATTCGCCAAGTTTCGTTTTGCTGGTTTTAGACTTTGTCCCGGTCGCTCACGGACATTGAATCGAACATGTGGCCTTGCTCCATTACGATAGCATTGACCGCATAAATTCACAGCATCTCCGATTCCTATGTAGAGTTTTCCCTTTATCGGCGTCATCGAACAATCGGCACAAACGCTGCCGCTATGAATGACATCCTTGTGCTTTTTCCTCTCCCAAGTGTTGGTGAATTCACGCCGTAGCTGCTCTTTTGGTGCAAATGTTTGCCTGCAATAAGGGCATTGAATGTCACCACCATCGCCGCGTTGCATTGTGTCTTGATGCTCGGCCCAGACCTTCATACACCGAATATGAGCAGCGTTATTGCAGCATCGACACCAAGTGATAGGCATGCGGACTTCAAGAAGCTCTTCTTGGCAAATAGGGCAAACATCGTCAGCATTGAGTGCTCTTCCAGGAGTAGGGCCACTTTCAGGTGGTTGTTCAGAATCGCCAGATTGCTCCACCGGCTTCGTTTCTTTTCGAGCATGATCCCCGCGGAGAAGCTCATCGAATTCGCGGGGGACAAAGCCTCCTTGCCAGATCAGTGGATTTGTTTTAGCCATTCGAAAGCGCTTCAGCAGCACCCAGCAAATATGCTTGCAGATAGTGCGCTCGCGCTTGAAAGCTATACAACTGCAACTATGAATTGCGCCAAGAGTGACTTTATAGACTCGCTAAAATCATTGATAAACAGGGTTTATACGGTAGCATACCTTCGCGCTTGAACCTCCGTTTCCGTCAGCTTGCTGCTCTCGTACAGATGAGCCGTCTTTCAAAGTGAAAGAGGTTGGGCCATGAGTTCTTAGGATAAAAAATGAACTTTGGTCCGCCCTTTGTAATGCCGCCTTCGTGATATCCGAGGGCGACGAAACCCATCCCACTGCTCGAGACATGTCTAAATCAGAATGATTTACATGGCAATCTTCGTGAAATTCAAGTTTTGAGTGGTAATTTATTCTAAAGTCGTCAGGCAGATGGCCAGCGAAGGCAATTTCGAACAACAGAAATAAATAATTTAGTCAAGTTCGTCTTCCTTGAGCTCGCCACAGTCGGCAATAGTGAAGTTCGCTCTAGGTCGGCCACTTTGGCTGCCGTACTTATTCATGATATCAACGATTTCTTTGCCATCGACAACTTCACCAAAGACGGTATGCTTGCCGTCTAGCCATGGGCAGGGAATAAAAGTGATGAAGAACTGCGAGCCGTTAGTGTTAGGACCGGCATTGGCCATCGAAAGGAGGTAGGGCTGCTCGTGCCGGATGTTAAAGTTTTCGTCGGCAAAGGTTCGGCCGTAGATACTCTTGAATCAACTATAAGAGCAAGCATGTTATTGTTTGGGTACCTTTCCGCCAGTGCCATTGCCAGCAGTAAAGTCCCCGCCCTGAGCCATAAAGTCGTTGATTATTCTGTGGAAGCTGGATCCTTTGTATCCAAAGCCAGCTTCTCCAGTACACAGCTGACGGAAATTCTCGGCAGTTTTTGGCACAACATCATCATAAAGCTACTCAATATATAAGAAATAGAATCGACTATCAAAAACCTTGAAGGTGATACGCTGGGTACCTTCTCCACCAGCGTTGATGTCAAAGAAGACTTTGGTAGAGGCAAATCGGTTGATCAATGATCGAGAGCTTCGCAACATGATCAAGTCTAAAAGAAAATAATAAGAGGAGTGATGTTTATTTATTATTATGTTTACGAAGACCTTGAAAGTAACAGTGAAAGAATTACAGCTAAGATAGCGACCAAGAGCGCCATTATTATATTTTTGTTGGGCGAGTTGTTACTCGAGGGGTTGCTATTAGAAATTTTAGTTGATGATTGTTCTTCATCGCGAAGTCTGTCTATATCGGTCGTATTTTTTACTTCTGGTTCCGCATACTAAAAAGAAACATAATAAAAGATAAAGATTCTCGAGCACTAACCTCGAAGGGTTCCGTGGATTCTGATATGTTGAAGATAAACTCGAGGTCGTCGCCTGCTTTTGTTTGAAAATTCTCGTACAACGAGATTGGAAAGCCACCATTGATTGATGTGAATACTCGTCTAGCCAGTATTCCATTTGTCATAAGAGGGTTGTCTTCATCAAGCTCTAGGATGAGATCCTCGGTGAAAATCTCAAATCTTTTCGATAACGAGCGCTGTACATCCATTCTAGTTGAGTTTTAGGAGTGAAGATAAAACGAAGGATTACCTGATTAGTTCTTTCAAATCACTTATGGAAGATTTTCTAGTGATAGCAGCTCTTACTGCAATAGAGATTTGTAAATTCATAGAGGGACTATCGGCTAATTGAATCGGCGCATCATGACCTTCATGATAGATATCAGCCATCAGAAATTCAGGAACTGTTGACGCATTTTTTGGAATAACAAGCTCGCCATTTTCGCTGAATCTATTATTGACGAAGAGTTCGAAACTGGATAATTTTTCGACTGCGAAGTTCGTTATTTGCTTCCCGACTTCTGAGGCGTAGAGTTTTTGCGATTTGGAAAGGATGGGAAGTGAAAATTGAAAGGATGCTTGGGAGCGGATCTGTGTCAGGGGGAATTTTGATGAAGACACAGTCTTTACTTCTACTTTTTGAACATCTCCAGAGTCTCGAATACGTTTGGCCCGAATACTTCCATCTAAAATGCCGGGTTATTTTTAATAGACTACAGATTTTTTACCTTCGATGTACGCAAAGATGGTCTCGTTTGCTATATGTCCCTCCCGTCTTAATTTCTTCGTACTTTTTAGCCAGTCACTATTTTCTTTCTCATCAACAAAGAAGCCTCCAAGAACGTTTATTCCACCGCTTAGCCGAGCGATGACTTCTCTTGTGTGATTGTAAATATGCTCATACAAGGCACACTCAGATTCTTTATCTTGAGAAGGAGTTTCCACAAAATTTTGTATTAACAATTTTCCTAGAGAGAAATAACCAGATTGTTTTTAATTGTTATTATTACCAGGCGAATACAGGGCGCCTACAATAAGACCATTTCCATTCGATGGAAGAGACAGATTGCTCGGAAGCAAAAGGTCCATTCTTAATGAAAAAATATGTATATTGGGAATCGTGATATGCCTTTTATTTGAACTTGATGGCACGTGGCAGTTGTAATGTGAAAAGTTGATAAAGGGAATGTGAAAAGTAAAACGTAGGTGATCGGCTAGGCTTCCATCTTCGTGTTTTCATCTAAATAAATAGTGATTGAAAGAAAATAGAGTTATTTTTACCAGAAAGATGCCTTCTCTCAACCTTGTCGCTTTCGATGGCTTTTTGGACAGCGTTAAGATAGTTGTCAAGAGTGACCTGTTGAGCTCCAGCGCAGTACTTCATCAAGGCCAGGAATGGTATCTTTCGAAGCGTGCGTCCGCTGATTCCTTGAGCACTGTCGGCGATCGCAATAAGGCTTCTCTCGCAGTCAGTTGGACTTAAAAAATATTCACCGAGCATGAAAACCGCTCTTACTTTGGCAGGTCGTATCCTTCTGATCGTAAGGAATATTTGCCTGTAATCATGCCTTTATGATATAACTCGTTGAACGCAGACTCGAGGATAGTGTAGATAGCTTTGGGCTCTGGTGGTCCAACGAAAATCTTCATGTCGGCGCGATCGATGAATGCCAGATCAATTTTGCCAGTGATGTTCGATGTGCAAACAACAAGAACGTTCGGGTACTTTTTCAGCGAGTCCAGTTGCGTGAGAACAGCGTTGACTACTCTTACGGCATCTGCTGGCTCATTCGCGGAACCCGATCTAGCAGAGGTTAAGCTCTCTACTTCGTCGATGAGGATGATTGTCATGATCGACTTGTCATCTTAAAAATAGTTGTAGTCGTGATCTGAAAGCGTCAACTTACCCGCATAGTCTCTTATTTTAGAAAACATTTTCTGAACAAGTTTGCCTGACTCCGAAAACCACTTTGAGAAGAGAGAATGTGAGTTGATTTCCACAAGTGCCGTATTTTGATAGCCGCCTATTTGTCGAATCGCTAATTTTTGAGCAAATGCCTGGAAAAATGATTCTTTTTGAACATTTAAATGTTTCTACCTGAGCGATGGAAGTCTTTCCAGTGCCAGGAGGGCCATGAAAAAGAATGACTTTGTTCCAGCTAATGAGCGTGTTGCTGACTCCTAGTTGCGATAGCCGAAAAGATGTTTCCGCGAATTGAATGAGATCGGTTTTGAGCGGTGATGAGTAGTGCAGCGACTCCCACAGTCCGTAAAAGGCCTTGTTCGGTAACATCCATGTCTGGCAAGCAGCGATTTCGCCATCTTTAGAAGATAAATTAGTTTTGAAATAAGGCGAGAGTATGTTACCTTCTTCCTCATCGATGTGCTCTTCTTCTCCCTCAGCTTTGTCCATGGTGTACAAATAGAACTTCCCGAGGGCAGTATTAGGAATATCACTGTACTTTTCGCTCTCTTCGCAAATCATAACCTCAGAAACGCACTCTTCCACGACGTTCAACGCTTCCAGCAGATCTTTCGTCTCAGTTTCGTCCATAATCTCGTTAATCGCCTTCATGATCTTTTCCTTGTCTTGTTTCGGAATTAAGCTTTTAACTCCATCGTCGAATAGTTCGAAAATGCTCCGAAGACTCTCCTCTATTTCTGTCATTTGATATTTTGCGTTGCTTTTTAGCCTGACCTCGTAATTGATTTGCACCATTTTTATACTAAACAAGAGATCTTAGCTATAAGTTAAATAAATATGGTACGAGAGGATTCCTCTCGATTCAGTTTATTGCACATGCAGTAACTTCGATAAACAGTACAATCTAGTGGATTGACAGACAGAACGAGCAGATAGCGAGTTGAAGAAGCAATGAAGAAATCAGGATGATATAAAGTACACAAGTATAAATAAATGAAACGTCCTTGAATATAATTTCTATATCGTAAAGCGATATTCTGAGCCGTCCGAATTCAGCAGAACTGCGACTTCTTTATTGACCCAGACGAGCTTCGGGTTTTCCGAAATATTGCTCGACGAAACCTACAAAATTATTGTAACAAGAAATTTGAGACACACCATACTCTCAGCGGCACAGTTCCAACAGATTTGACGCATTTCACATGCGAAGTAACCATTCCAAAAATAGACGATACCATCACCCAGAAACTCAATTGATTTTCAACTAGAATAAATGATTTACAACGATGCAAATAATCTTCTAACAGACCATTTGAATACGTAGCCAAGTATTTTCCATCCGGTGAAAAGCAAAGCGCAGATACTGCGCCTCGATGAGCGGAAACCACCTGACTTTTCAGAGTCTTCAAGTCATAAACAATTATCTGCCCATTCTTCGTCCCAGCCGCTATTCTTCTGGTGTTATTGCAGAATGACAGCATATGGAATCTAACAGCAATTTATAACAAATAAGGGGCAATATCAATGTACCTTTGCAGTGGAGGAAAAGCGTCAGATAACCTCGTTTTCTTGAATGCTTGAGAGTCCAAGCAAAACAGAACGATGTCGACAACCTATAAAATATTAGACTTCTCAATTTTGTCGTTATAAGTACCTCAGATATAAGCAGAGACAGCTCGTTGGGCAGCATTTCTGCCAAAAACTCTATTATCCGTAACACTTCATTTTTCGCTTTGACAAGCGTCGACTGCTGAAATTTCTGGGAGGTAGCTGGATTCGCGATTGCGGCTGTATGGCGGGCTACTTCTCGTCCTACAAACAGACATGTTTTATCAGTTATTTATGCATTGCGTTACCTATTGTCGTGATGAAGACGCTGGGTTTTGATCGGGCGATTTGACAGAGAGCTCTATGCGAAGCGCGGCAGAGCTCCGCGCTTGGCGAAACCATCACCTTCTTGTTAAATAGTGGCTCCACCATTTCATAGTTGATCGTCATTTCCATAAGAGCCAAGAGAACAGTTGCAGGCTCAACGAAAGGCTCCCAGATATGGAAGCCACGACCAAGAAGTTCAACAGCAGTCCTCTTTGAAATTGAGTTATCGTTGGCATCCAGAAGAGAAAGCAGCTTCTGAGCAATGATTCGTGTTGTTGATTGACCGAGGCAGTTGAGTTCAGCACCGAGCACGCCTAGGATGACAACGGCAGTATTACTTGCTTGCATGTTGGATGATGAAAGTTGATTGAGAAAGTGTTGGATAATGCGTCCACGTGTCTTTTCGTCATTACGTCTTAGTTGATCAAGAAGAAGGCTTTGTCCCGTTTCGCGAATTTCTTGCACACGATCAGACCAGCGAATCGCCAGTGTTTCCAGAGCAGGGGAGTGTACTTTTCTAATAGATCGCTTAGCAAGGCGCAGTGGAGAGTGACTAGTCCAGACCAACACTGTCTACCATCACCGAGGAATTCTTCGGACAAATTCATCAAACTGTTGCAAAGAGAACCAATCGACATGAGATGGAGATTCGTCAAGTCTTTTGAAATGTTCCAGTGCTCGTTAAAATTGTCTGGTTCTTCAGGGAAAAAGAAAACACAGCAGCTCTGACGACGGACTCCAAAGATCAGTGACTTTTTCGGTCGGGCAAAGGATATCATCGTCACTAGAAGCTCATCAAGAGATGGCTGAAGTCCCCATGCATGCAAGGTCATGATAAGAATACGTCCGAATGCTAGCGATTGAGGTCCCAAGATGGCACTTTCAGAAGTATCTAGTGATGGCGCGCTTGATAAGGAAAGTTTCGATGGCGATGTAGCTTGTTGTTGAGGAGACTTTGGTGAGGTCGGAGTTGCTGGAGATTGGCGACCTGAGCGCGATTCTCTTATTTTTGACTGGACGCTAGAAAATAACTGCATTCCTGTTGTCTTGAGAGTATTGGTTAAATTTGGCTGTGATTTGTCTTCAGAGGCTTGACGCGATGGCATTTTCTTGTTACTTGTTTGATTAAGTCGATAGTGCTGGATGATATTTTGAACCATTTTTTCGACATCGAAGTGAAATGATAAACACTTGAGAATTGGTGGAGAATCAAGCTGATCAAGAAACATTGGTTGGACAAAAATAAGCTGCTGCCTCCTTGCCGGAGGTTTATCATGGGGATATAGCTCAGCTGTTGACTGAATTTCATTCGCTTGAGAGGAAGAAGTTTCCCGTTCAAGAGCCATCGAATATGCATCCCATGTCTTGCATGATCCGTCTTCACGAGTGACAATAAGGTACCCATCATTTGTCCAAGCGACATCAATTATCGCTTGACCAAAGCCAGGATCTGAAAGAAGACATTGGTGCGTCTTCGGATGCAATACGCAGATTCCGCCATCGACATCGATCGAAACGGCCGTGCCAGCTGATTTGCCGACTTTTATCGGGGAAATTGTGAGACTCAGCAGTGGAGCCATGTGATTGTGGAATTCTACTAACTTTTGTTTATGTGTTAGCGACCATGCTGAGACAGAGAAGTCGGCGCTACCAACAAAAAAGACATCGTCGTCATATGAAGCGGTGTTATGCTGGTATGGGTACATGAGACAAGTGATCTCGGCGTAATTGGCTACTGCAGATGTAAAGACATCTACGTCTTCGTTAATATCAAAAACACATTTTGCAAAAGAAGGAATTGCAGGAGCGATAACAAGATGTCCATCAGAACGACCAAATATGAGGGTATCCTTTTCTTCAACAAAGCAAACCGCAGTGATGTAGGAGTCATTCGTGCAAAATACATCAAGTTCGCCTTCAACTCCACTGCAAGAAGCAGTTTTAGCTATCTCAATTAGTGAATCTTCCTGCGCTACATATGTAGAGATCTCAAGAGAAGGAGCAATTGAATGAAGACGTTTTCCAGAAAGTTGAAAGTTCGAGTGCAGGGGAGCAGACGTTCGCCAAATGAGCTGCGGAGATTGGTCATCCGCACTTTGAGGCTTAAGGTTCGCTGTTGTGTAGATCGTGAAATATGACAAGTTCAGAGCTTTGTTCTCCGACACGATGGCGAAGTTTGAACTTCCTTGAAGGAAAAATCCATCGACGAGGCAATCGCTATCAATCGACTGATAAGATATGCTTGAAAAATCCGATGAGTCCAAGATATAGAAGGACTTCTTACAGACGACAAGGGCGTATTCGCTCCTTAATTTCAGAACAATCGGATGCTCGCATGATCGGATTTGCTTCGACTCTTCCTCCCAAAGTGGCTCTTCTAGCGATTGTTGATGCTCTGTTGAGACGCGCCATACTTTCAAAGTTCCACCTGCTGTTATGCCGAGCAAAACTGATAGATCGGGGACATTTATTGAGACCGCGCAAGTTATCCAGTCCGGGTACAAACGGCAGCCAAGTGAGAACTCGCGCTTTCCAGTTTTTGTGCTGAAAACAAGGACTTCACTGAGTTCGCCGAAAGCAGCTATTAATGTTTCAGAGAGAGTAACAAGACCTCCAAGACGATCAGACGCTTGAATTGAGAATACTACGCGGCCAGAAGGAACATGCCAAAACTGAATCAACCCGGAGAGGGAAAGCGTTGCTAGATGATTCTTCCCGTAAGATGATGTGCTCACTATCGGAGATGCATCAGAGTCCTGTATTAGGACGCTTTTGTGGATGATGTTCTGATCGGAAACCTTCCAAATGAAGATCTGGCCGCTCTCAAAGGTAGCATAAATCCAGTACTCGACATTGTCAAGGTTGGACTCGATTCGACCGAAGCAGGTACATTTACAGTTGACATTCCGACCTGACCACAGTCCGATTGGAACTGTCAACACCATAGCCGCATGTTTTTTCTGAACTAAACCTGATCATGCTTCTGGGAAAAATCGAGAAAGACACTGGGGGGTTCTTTTATCAAATAAAACATGTATTGAAAGTATAGGTGAAAGACACAGGAAGTATGAACTATAATGGTGGTATTTTCAGTTGCTAAAATCGGTCAGTTTTGTTCTTTCCGAAGTGTAAAATAATCGTTGACTTGGCGGAATAAAATAAAAACAAATATGTGGTGCTCAGCTTCAAGCATTCAAAAAACAAGGTTTGAAGAGAGTGAGGTTGTGACACTGATCTCAGGAATAATTGATCCTAAAAAGGCTAAAATACTAGATAGGGATACAGTAGTTTGTCTGTGAATTATTGAGCGCCGACCGTTCTGACGTCGTCGATTTTTAAGATCATTCGAACGAGCTGTGTTGCTAGCGAGAGCTGCTGTTTCTTTCCAACGAGGGTCTCCACAACATTTTGGACCTTGAAAAATAGTTAGTATCGCCAAAACATCCATTTTCGATGGTACCTTCATATCTCGATCTCCGGTATAAAGAGCATCAACACCAAGTCGGGGGTTTCCAGTGGTCTTTTGGTCAGATCGGAGATCAGTCAAAGTCTCAACTGGATTCAAACCGGAGTTCTCAGCCAAGGCCATGGGTACGCTTTCAAGAGCTGAAGCGAATGCTCTAAAAATAATTATCGGGTGATGAGAACTTATCAGACTCACCGCATGCCCCACTGGTCGAGTCCAGAAGTATTGTCAGCTTCTTCAGCAACATCAAGAGCACAAGCAACTTCAGGAGCGCCACCACCGTAGACGATTCTTGAATCTCGGATGAGATTTCGGACGACGCAGATAGCGTCGTGGAGGGATCGCTCGGCCTCGGCAATGACCATTCTGTTGGAGCCTCGGATGAAAACTGTGACAGCCTTGCTGTTCTTGCACTGTTCGACGACCAACATTCGCTCTTTAGTGGTACCAAGGTCGATTTCTCGGACGATACCAGCTTCGCCGAGTTTCTCTTTGGTGAGCTCCTTTAGGAAAATGCGCTTGGTTCAAGATTGATATCAACGAAGAGTACCTGGAATCGGGGGACGATACGACCGCCAGTGGCGATAGCGATAAGCTCAATTTCGGGACCACCGACCCATCGGACAGCTGGTAAGTTATTCTGGAGGAGGAGATGGTTGGCTTCGTCGTCGAAACCCCACTGGCAAATGGCGAGGTTAGCTCCAGTATCCTTCACTTGTTTGATCATTTCCTCGAATTTTTCCCGCTCGTAAGTTTGTAATTGCTAAGAATAATGCTAGGGATAGTTTTAAGGAAAAAGATCTCACTTTGTAGTCTTCTACACAGGTGACATCAAGCTTGTGGTTCGTCTTTGGCTTTGGAGGTTCGAATGGGCAAGTCAAAATTGCGAGTTTAGCGTTTTCAACTTGCTTGGGCATCTGAGGGTGACTAAAGTCCTTGTCGATGACAACGCCCTTGATCAACTGAGTATCATCGAGCTTTCCTCCGACCTAGAAATATGGCTTGAAAAGAGCCAGTAAGTAAAGATGTACCTTGGTGAGCATTTTGATGAGTTCAAAGTTAACATCTTTCTTTTCGAAATCAGCGACGGCAAGAACGGACTCAACAGCGATGTCGGCGAACTGATCATGGCATCGGTTGACAATTTTAGAGCCAAGAGTAGTTCTGGCTGTTCGCTTGAGCATATCCTAAAACAATCTAAACGACTGTTTGCTTTGTTGTCTTTTACCTTGTCAGAGATAGGAAAATCCTCGGCAATTCTGTCGAGAGTTTTGAGGGCAACTTGACAGGCCTTATCATAACCATCAGCAATTCGGATAGGGTGAATTCCTCTGTCCAAGAGTGGCTCGGCTTGTTCCAAAAGAGCACCAGCGAGGACGACGACGCCAGTGGTGCCATCACCAATCTCATCATCTTGAGATTTGGACAGTTCGACGAGGAGCTAAAATGTAAAAAAAAACGGAAGGTTATTAATTCCTCTACCTTGGCAACGTTATGCTGGACATCCATCTTGTCAAGAATGGTGGCACCGTCGTTAGTGGTCGTGACTTCACCGTCTGGAGAGACCATGATTTTATCCATACCGTTGGGTCCGAGAGAAGTTCTCAGAGTAGAGCTGACAGCCTTGGCGGCAAGAATGTGAGCTTTGATAGCTTCGACTCCGGTGACTCGGTTTTGTTGCTCCTAATCAATGAAAAACTCGTGCTACAAGGAAGAAGTTTACCTGGTCACGCATGACAAGAAACGGCCTGCCATACTCGTCAACTGCGATTCCGACGTTTCCAGGAAGCTGTGGCATTCCACCGGCGCCCATGGGCATCTGCATACCTGGCTGCATCATTTTCTAAAAATTCAACTATCAGAATCTGATCTCATCGGTCATCGAAAATAAAGGGATGTCTATCTGTTCTAGAGACTATGTACAAAATTAGTTAGCAGAGAAGTTTTTCAGCGACAAAGTTGATTTCATCTCGCTCGATGTGAGTTAAATCTGGCTGCCAGCGGTCAAAAATAAGAACAGTTCTAGAGAAGATCCCCTTCTTTAGCATGCCCGGTTTCGGCCTAAATCTGACCAAGTGTGCGTAACTGTCATCGAGGTCGAAAGCGGTTTTCCAAGTCATGGAATGTCCACCGGCGAGAATTTCGACATTATCGATGATCTCTTCGTCGATCTCGATTGGAATGTGCACCCTGGACTTTGCAGTCGTACAGCCAAAATGAATAGCAATTAGCTCTTCATCTTCTTCACCGATTTTCGAGAGGTCAACAGTCAACTTCGAAAACGAAGCGTTGAAAAGAATATTTGACGGGACGAATTCTGCCAAATGACTGACCAAAGATCCATCGAAATTTTCTGCGCACTGTCCTTGGTCAATAATCTTCGCAATTTTCCATGACCCGGCCGATTTTTCAACTTCATTCCATACCAAAGTGCTCTCCATCTCTTTATACTTCATGTAGTAGAAATCCTGATGCGGTATGTCCAATTTATTGACTGGACGAGACTTGATTCCAGGAATGTCAAGGATCGTTCCATATTGAAGAAATCCCCACATGCCGTTAGGATTTGCCTCCCAGAGCCGGGACTTTTTCGCCGCTTTGAAATTGAACCAGTGAAAGAACAAGAGAGCGAGTCGGATTTCGTATTGAAGAGGGCGGCGACCACAGCGAGCGCAATCCTTGCTTCCGCACATAGAACTGTATCTAACTCTATAGCGCCAATTGCTCACAAATTTGATGATTTTGAAAAGCCAGTAAAGCAGGTCAATCATTCTATATGGAGAAATTGGATTAGGTTTGTCTGGATAGTTGATCATGGATTTTACAAAAATAAATTTCACATTTAAAAAAGTTAAAAATCATAGATTGTGATTGCCGAAGGCAGAAGTATTGAAGAAGTTGTCATATTCGGTGCGTGCTTCGTCCCCAAAAGCGAAAAATGAGCAGCCAGGCTCGGCCTCGCTGGAGATTTCAGTGGCGAGTAATTGGCCCTCGAAAATGAGGATGACGATTTGTGAGCCTTCCGAGAGTTGGAGAGACTTTTGGGCTCGGGTTGGCAGACTCAGGGGAGACAATTTTCCGGCGGTGCTTCTTATTAGTTTTGCTGGGAAGGGATAATTCTTTGAAGTAAAATAAATAACACTTACCCTTTTTAAGAGTCCCCGTGACTCTGTAGTAACAGTTCGTTGCGAGATCTTCTGATTTCTCTCCAGCGAAAAGCGCAAAAACCATCTCGTCTTTAACTTCGGCAGCAGAAGGATATGGATACGCAACTTGAGGGAAAATCGTTCTCTCCAGCGAGAGTCGAGGCGAAGAGTCAAAAGTATCATTAAACTCGTCGAAAACATCTTTGAGCGCGATTTCGACGTCCGTTCCGGGCGCCCAGTTCGGCTCCCCTGCATGGTCCACTGGGCCGAAGTCATGAATCTTAAATGAAAATTCTAGCGAAACAAAACCATGATTTCGACTTACATCTGCCCAGTTGTTCAAAAACTTCGAACGGCCGAAGTCAGAGACGATTTCTTCGATGCTCTCGAAGTCGATCGGGAGTGGATAAGTGGTCACTTTTTGAGTTGTTTCGATTACTGGTTGAGTGGGGCAATGAAGATAGAGACGCATTGAGCGACAATCGCGAGTTCGAAGCTGCCCGCAAATTGTGACCAATTCTACGTTGCTAAAACATGTTACAATCGCCTACTTCGGAGGTAAAGATACCTGGAGTCGCGGATATAGACAGAACCTGAGGCAAAAGTAATAATTTTCATGTCTTGGCAGTTGTCAATCGTAACTTCTTTACACAGACCATTGAGAAAGATGATACAGGACTTGCAGTTTTCTATCGTCATCGGTAGATCTTTTACATCGCTAAGAAAAAGATAGACAATCGTCGTATACTAAACTTACTTTCTGCAAACTGAATTTTCGATATTTTCGACATCTCTAACGTAGAACTTCGACTTGTCCTCCTTTTTCCTTTTGTCCCAAGAATACTCTTTCGGGGCTTCCTCAACCTGCTCTTCCTCGACCGGTTGGCCTTTTTTTGAAAACCAGCAACCCATATTTTAGCCGATCGGAACACTAGCTACCTCTCATCTGAATTATTTCAAATATTATTGTTTTGTTTTTAATAGTTAAAATTAAGCTAGAGAGTGCTGTCTCGTGGCGGCAGTCGAGCAAACGTCAGGTAGCCAGTGTGGCCATATTGGGAGCGTTTGGCAAGAGCCGACTTCACGACAAAATTGCATTCAGTAAGTTTTAAATCTTCCTTCGCTTCTTCTTGTCCTGCTTCTTCTTTCAAATTCTGAGTCTTCGGTCTTGATCCTTTTTCCAATCGCTTCAAAACGAGTTATTTCTGATTATTTTTTCCTTTTTTTTACTTTTACATATTTTCCAATCTTTTCACAATCTTTGGGCATAATTCCCGCATCTTCAAGCTCACTGTAGTCTACTCCAAAGTCCGGCATTGGTAAATGACTGGATTTCACAGTAGTCTGGCTATTGATACACTCGATTGTCTTGATATTCGTAAATCCACCCTCCCTAAGTTTTTCACAAGTCTCCTAAAATCATCACAATTCAGAGCTTCTCCGGAAGGGGGAAAAGTACCTGGACTTGTTCAATACAGGGCGAGAAGTTGCAAAACTCGCCGCCTTCCAGCTTCAAAGCGCGTTTTACATGCTCGATGGCTTTGTAAGGAGCCGGAATGTCTAAAAACACAGCGTCTGCTTTGTGATCCACTTCTCTAGGCCACCCCTGTTCGCACACATCACGGTGGTAGACGGTGATGTTCTTGCTTAAATTCATCGTTTAGAGAAAGCTCGTTTGTCTAGCGTACCTGAGCCCATGATCTTCAAACTCCACTCTAGCCTTTTTCGATCTTTCTTCATGAAATTCTACTGTATGAAGATGTCCATTCGGATAAACACCCCTGGCAATAGCATGAGAAAGGGAGCCACTACCAGTTCCCGATTCGCAAACAACCTTTCCATTGCTCAGCCCAAGTTCGAAGACGATGCGAGAGATGTCAGGAGTGTATAAAATTTGAGTCCTGTGGGGAAGTGACAACGTCCAAATTTCAGGATTCGGAAAAAGAAGGTAAACGTACCCACGAGCACAGTCGTAGCGGCAACCGTATTTTTTACCGATGATTTCGTTGTGTTTTACTGCACTAGAATTATCCATAGAAATAATCCTCTGATGATCTTAACTTACCCGAATTTCGTCTGTTTTACATCCCCGCTTTTGGCAATTATCGGAAATAAATCATCGTTGCTAATGTAGACAATTACTGTATCATTCTCTTCTATAGTCTCTTTGTGCTCGAAAAATCCCATTTTTCACGAATTCCTTCTTCCTTCAAAAATTCCGTGCCAGACCGATTCTTTTCTCGAATTCTTCCTTTTCCCTAGCGACGGGCGCTCATTGGCGCGGATCCCAGAAGAAGTGAGTCAGGCGAAAGAGAAAAAATCCTCCGGTTTTTCTTTCTAAAATACCGTGTTCAAAGAGAAAAAAAAAGGCTCAAAAGAAACAGAAATCCATCTTTTCAAAAAATTAAGCCCCATGGCGAGAGAGAAGAATAAGAGTCAAGAAAATTTTTCGCCTCGAAATTTCCCGAACCTTCCAGTAAAAACACTAGACAGTAAAAAATCTCTCTAGCAACCCGGCATTAAAAATAAATAGAAAGAATAGAGGACATCCGAAAATTTCTAAAAATGCTAAAAATTTTCTAGATCCACATCCCTTTTCTCTGTTTTCTTCACTTTTTTCGCCATTTCTGAAAAGAATCGTCTTTAGAATGTCACAGATCGCAGTTCTCAAGCCAAATACTGAACGTGAGCAAGGCTCAAAGGTAAATCTGAATTCCGATTTTAAATTGTACTTAAATAATAGGTCCAACTTGGAAATGTCCAGGCCACAAAGCATGTCGCTGACATTATCCGAACCTGTCTCGGTCCTCGATCAATGTACAAGATGTTGATGGATCCTCAGGTAATCGAACAGTCCAATATCGATTCTAGCTGTTGATTTAGGGTGGTATCGTTGTCACCAACGACGGAAACGCCATCCTCCGAGAGATCATGGTCAAGCATCCAGCTGCCAAGTCGATGATCGAAATCTCGCGAACTCAGGACGAAGAATGCGGCGATGGCACCACTTCCGTCATCATCCTCGCCGGTGAAATCATGTCCGCCGCGCAGGAGTTCCTTGAGGATCAAATGCACCCAACCAAAATCATCAACGCCTACCGATTAGCTCTCGAAGACATTGACGAATTCATGAACAATGATTTCGGCAAGACCATTGATCCAAACAATGACGAAGACATGGCCAAGTTGGTCAACTCAGCTCTTGGAACGAAATTCATCAGGTACTCATCCTTACTTTTATTTCAAAACGTAACGCTTGTCAAAGCCGATGGATGGATTTGGCTACCAAGATGGCCATCAAAGCTGTCCGAACCGTTCATATCAAAGAAAATGGCCGAACTGAAATTGATATCAAACGATTTGCGAAAGTCGAGAAGATTCCTGGTGGCCATATTGAAGATAGCGAGGTACTGTATTCGCATCTTGAACAGTTACAGTAGCCAAAATTTAAGGTGCTCAACGGAGTTATGTTGAACAAAGACATCACTCACCCAAAGATGAAGCGACGAATCGAGAACCCACGAATTCTTCTCTTGGATTGCTCCCTTGAATATCAAAAGGTAACAACTTCCAAAGCCCTTTTCCCATCTAACCCACTTTCCAGGGAGAGAGTCAAACAGACATGGAGTTGTCGAACGAAGCCGACTTCACCCGAATTCTCCAGCTCGAAGAAAACTATATCAAAGAAATCTGTGACAACATCATCGCTCTCAAGCCAACCCTTGTTTTCACCGAGAAGGGCATCTCCGATTTGGCACAGCACTTCTTGGCCAAGGCTGGAATCACTGGTAAGTCTTTACTTTTCATAGCTCTCTACTCTTACTTCTTTTTCAGCTATCCGACGAGTCCGAAAAACAGACAACCTTCGAATCGCACGATGCTGCGGCGCGACAATCAAATCGCGAACCGACGAGATCAGCGAGGACGACATTGGAACCGAAGCCGGTCTCTTCGAAATTAAAAAGTTCGGCGAAGAATACTTCACCTACGTTACTGAGTGCAAGAAGAACACTGCCTGTACAATCATCTTGAGAGGCGCTTCCAAGGACGTTCTCATGGAAGTTGAGCGAAACCTTCAGGACGCCATGCAGGTTTGTTTCTTAGTATAAATTTCAATATTTGATGGTGTTTTCTAGGTCGCAAGAAACGTGCTTCTTGAATGCAAAATCGTCCCCGGAGGCGGCGCTTGCGAACTCGCTGTCGGCAGCTTCTTGAATCAAAATGCAAAGAAATACCACGGCGAAGAACAGTTCCCCTACAGAGCTCTCGCCCGAGCCCTGGAAGTGATTCCCCGAACACTCGTCCAGAACTGTGGTGGCAACACGATCAGAACACTGACAGAGCTGCGAGCATTGCACGCCAAGGGAAACAACAATCACGGCGTGAACGGCGAAACTGGAAAGATTTGCGATATGGAGAAGCTTGATATTTGGGAGCCTTTGACTGTCAAATTGCAAGGTTAGATTTCCATCGACCAAGACAGAGAATGAACTAAACGTTCATTTTAGTGTACAAAACCGCGATCGAAACAGCGACTCTTCTGCTGAGAATCGACGACATCGTCCAAGGAACGAAACGCGCGGACGGTAGCGAAGGAATTGGCGCAGTTTCGCAAAACTAAAGCTCCTATCCAACTTCCGTTTTATCGTCATCACACGCCGCCTAGATTTTTTCACCTTTTATTTACCCTATTACTGTATTCAAGGACCAAGCCTGAGAATAGAAAATAATAATAAAAAATGCACGCCACAGAGTTTTGGCGTTTAGGAATTCTTTTATCGCTACCTCTTGTCTCTCGTTGGATTCCTGTCATTCCGCGCCGTATCAACAACCATGTATTTTTACTTTTCAAAAAACTTAACCTGATCACATGTACGGCCAGATGCCTTCAATACACAGTTTTTACTCCTGTTAGTTCAAAATAGAAAATTTTAAATATATATTTTATGTTCCGTATCTGCGAGTCTCTTTCGTTCAATCATTTATCAAGCAATAGTTCTTAGCATTGGAAGATGTCCGATTACGATGAAATGAAGCCTGTACTAAGAGAGGATGGCACTGTCGATGAACCTTTTCGCGCAAAACAGTGGCCATTTAATGTTCCTATTGCGAGCTACCCTTTTGTCAACGATCCAACCGAGCCGTGCGATTATTTCACCGTTTTTGAGCAGCATATGATCTTACCCCTGTTTAATCAGCTTCAAAGAATGAAGGAGTCACATGAAGGTAAACTAGAAAAAATTGGAACTCTGTATTCTGTTTATTTTATTTCATTTTATTCACAGCTTTGAGCAAGTTTGAAATGCTAGCTTCGACAATAATGGCCACCCCAAAATGCCCTGCCGAGCTAGTTTGTATAATATAACCTCACTGTCTCTAAGCTACAACCTGCAAGAAGAAGAGTCTCTGGGGGGAAGTCTCTAGCTGCAAGTTTATTTCTGAACTTGGCGGCAAAAAGGAGTATAAAATCGGTAACTCGGGCCGCACTCGACTGAGATGCGCCCGGTCGGTCGTTGCGTATTTATGGAGCGGCGGTGGCGATGGCCGCCCCCGCTCGAAATCCATGCACAAAAGGCACAATGGGCAACGCGCAGTTGCCGAAGCTAGCAACCCCCTTGCATGGTTTCGATCGGCAAGGTGGTCGCCAGCAGCGACAATGGCAATAATGCAGGACAGGTGAAAATGCGGCATCTTCGCGTAGAACTGGACAATCGTGGTGGAATCTTGGCAAGAGCGATGTGAGGGAGACTGTAGCAGATCATCGAGCCGGAGCCGATTCCAGAGTCGTTCTGCAGGCCGAATTCGGATTTTGCTTTTCAAGGCAGCGACCCTGAGTTCGAAAACTCTAATTTTACTAAAGGATCGATGCCCTGTCCTGATTATTCTGTGCTGGCCTCGGTGCCGGAGCTACCAAGCCTGATGTGGTAGGTGGCACGGGCCAGGGAGTTGAAGTTGTCATGGGAGCACCCGAGTCAGTTGAAGCAACGGTAGTTGCGACTGCGGAGCTCTTGGTAAGGTAATCAAAGTTGTTGGTGCCGGTGCAGCCGCCGCGATTGCGGTCGGTGCATGGCAGTTCTTGTTGATGCCAGAGCACTCGCCGCGGTAGCGGTCGGTGCTAGGCTATTTATGTGAGTCAAAGGAGCGTCTCAGCTAGTCAATTTTGACAATAATGCAGAGTACGAACTCCTGAGTAGCGTGTAAAAATGATTGGTGCCTCGAGCACTCGCCGCAATCGCGGTCGTTGCTCAGGAAACTGTTGGAGGCACTGGAGCCGATGTAATCCGAGAGAGCGCGTTGAAAATCACTGTATATCTGAGTTCAAAGTTTATCCAGCTGTCTAACCGTGTATCACCCCCTGGACAGAAGGGTACACTTTCTACTCAATATCCGAAAAAAAAATTTTCACTCAAAGCAAGAATACAAGCAGAGCGAGTACTTGCTGAGTCACATCTTCTCATTTTGATTATCAGGCGCGCACCCGACCGGGCACTCGCCAGAAAGGTTTTGTCGAGACTTCTTCTCATGACAAATAGCTTCGAAAATCGAGTTTGAGGCATTTTACGCTCAGTTGGAGGATGAAATTTGTCAGGAGCGCCTTCAATCAGCGGTTTCCACATAATTGGTGGCGTATCAATAGTTGGGGCGAAGGTACTCTCATGGAGGTGAAGTTGAGCACTTGACCTAATTTAGGCAGACGCACAGCTTATTGAGCATGTTGAGAACTTTTGAGAAATACCTTATTACCGGCGTAAAATTGCGATTCTTCGAATTTAGTAGAGAAAATGTTGAATCAATAATAGGATGTTCGATATGAATATAAAAGTGCTAGTCAGCTGAGAATGGAAATCGTATATGATGACTTCCCTTCGAGTCAGAACGTGGCTACCAATACGAATTGATATGATCAACCATATTGGATGATGAAAGGTGATTCACATTTGTATAAACGCACTCTTCGCCGCTTTTATTTAAAATTCGAATTTTGAAAGGGCGTTCTCAGAATATCAATTTTCGGACTAAGCCAGTAAATCAGTTGTACATGAATTAAGGGTACGTTTGTAAACTAGGACCAATTCATACCATGCGCAACATCGTTGTCGCTGGTGAAAAGATCGTCATTGTAAAATTTTACTAGTAGAAAAACTTGAAGCCGACGATTGTGGCATTTGATTGACCATTGGACCATGCCACGACCAGGTTAGGTTCTAGTGGCTGGTCTCCAATGACCGCTACACAATGCGTCTCGGTCATTTGTAGAGGGAGAGCGCTAAATCTGGTATTCGCATGAACTACCCGCTCTTGATTTATTAAAAATTTATAGAGGCATAAGGTTTTGGTCGGAGAATTTTCTCGACGACCCCCTTGCCTATATTATGGACTGGTCAGTACTAGCAGTTACCGCTTTCCTCAACATTTATCATTACTATTGGTCTGTTGGTACTAGCGATCGTAACCGCGTTCCACGAACCATTATATTGCGGTTACAAGGCTTTTCTTAGCCGTTCTACCCCCTTCGGTAGTATAAACCGACTTTGGAAATATCATGGTTCGACACAGCTCGAATTAAGATCGCTGACTACGCACCGCAGTCCTGGCGAATCGGTCTGCGAAACTTTCAGGATCCTAAGAGCATCGAAACCGTCGCGAGAGGATGACTGATTTTTCATCTTTACAAGATATCTTAAAAATTGATTTATGAGAACCGATTGAAATGTATGGAAATCTGTGATATCAGCAGTGTCGAATTATTCGAAACACTTTTGCTGATACACTTGTTGAATGTGTAAGTCCTTTGATAAGGTAAATGATGGACAAGCACTTATGATTCTACCTTTGAATCAATGTAGAAGTTCCACTCTGCTCTCCCTAAAGGGTTGAGAGGGCGCGGTTGTCTGACCATTCATTACCCTTTGGAAAGTAAGGCTTTGTTATTGATAGACATTTCGGTTCAGTAGGGGCATAGAAAGCATGTATTGTGAAATAAAAGACCGAAAAATATCATAGGCCGACCTCTCAAGCGACTTTAAAAACTTTTGACTTTTTAAAAACTTGTTGTGCGCATGGAATTTCTATTTTTATCGATGAATTCCGTTTGGGCTAGGGGCTACAACTGTAACGCGTCTGTAATTGTGCCCTCGATGGGCCTGATAACTAGTATTTCGCCGTTAGGTCTCCATCACCCGCGCAAATGTATTTTGAACTTATCGCGCGATCATTCGATGGAGCCAGTATTTTGCTCTTGCTGGTCTCGATCGCGCGCGAAAAATATTTGGAAATTTCCCGCGCGGCGGTTAGGCCGACGCGGGTGGCCGATTCGCGAACGACCGTTGGGTTTACGTCGCGGGCGTTGCTGACGTGGCAGGGGACTACTGGCCCTCTGATTGGCCGAGCGCGAAATCGGTTATGTAATCCTAACAATTTACTGTATTGCCGGATCTTGCACAGTACCCACACAGTAAATATTACTGTGCGTGTCTGCTCCCTAACTTGAGTCGAAGTCCAGTCTTTGGTTTGCTAGGATCAGTGGGTTTTATTCAGCGTGAGTTATTTAAATGAGAAGATAATGATTTTCAACGAAAGATTATTGAATAATATTCCGAGGAAAATCATTCGATTGACTCGCTTAGTTTTGTTACTAAGGAGTCAGAAACTCAGGGAGTATCTGACACCAGGGCTCGAAATCCCACTTCGACATCAATGCTAGCTTCGACAATAATGGCCACCCCAAAATGCCCTGCCGAGCTAGTTTGTATAATATAACCTCACTGTCTCTAAGCTACAACCTGCAAGAAGAAGAGTCTCTGGGGGGAAGTCTCTAGCTGCAAGTTTATTTCTGAACTTGGCGGCAAAAAGGAGTATAAAATCGGTAACTCGGGCCGCACTCGACTGAGATGCGCCCGGTCGGTCGTTGCGTATTTATGGAGCGGCGGTGGCGATGGCCGCCCCCGCTCGAAATCCATGCACAAAAGGCACAATGGGCAACGCGCAGTTGCCGAAGCTAGCAGAAATTTTAACTGATTCTATTTGACTGGAGTGTGGCGGGCTTCTAATTCAGTTCTATACATTTGCCGCATCGCTATAATATCCGATAGTGGTATCTGTTTGGATCCGTCATCTATTGAATTCAACGGCTTGAAGTTTGCAAGCCAAGAAGGAAAATCAGCGATCCATTCGTCTCGTATTGTTAGCTTCAGATCCACGTCCTCGATTTCATCTGGACTTTGATAGAGAGGTTTGTCGAGCGAAAAGTCTGCGAAGAGCTTTTCCTTTGCTTCATTTGTCAAAATCGACTCCCAGCGTTTATAGACACCGAAAAGGTCAGTACATCTCCCTGGGTATTGCAGAATTTCTGCGTCTTTCGGGGCGTCAGACTCCTTTTGCTGCTTATCATCATCATTCTCAATTTTTTCGCCAGTATTCTCCAGCTCAGGAGAATCGCCATCATTGGAGGTCGAAGTCGTAGCTGCTGCTATATTAGCAGAACCACCTTCTGCGACGAGTGATGCTTCTGTACTGCTTGCAACTAGAGTTGAATTACTCGGCTTGTCGTCTGAAGGTATTGATATTTGAGTCGAATTCGTAGGAGCAAGGGTCGCATTATGATAAGCTATCAATTTGGCAAACGATTCTGATAGATTCACCGGTTGATTAATAATGTTGTTCAAAGAGATGTCTAAAATCATCTTTAGACAAATTAATTCACAAAAAGTTACCATTTCCATCGTCATCTTCGACGTTTATTTCCTGAATCAGAGTTCCGTCATTTTCAGCATCCATCGGCTCGACTTTCACTTGTTCAGAATTAATAGTAGTAAGCTCCATTATTTGAGCCTCAGTAAGCTGATTTCGCGGCTCGTTTCCTATGGCGAGAATGGTTTGATTCCTCAACACATGTCGCACTTTCACACTTCTAGTGAAATTATATTAGAATGTTCAAAATGAAAATAATTACTGAAGGTGTTCTTCGATAGTTATTTCAGTTACTGGTTCTCCTCGTTGTTTTCGTTCGACAAGTCCGTAGATGAACACAAACATTTCTTCTGTTGTCCAGAAATCTCGGGGAAGGTCATGTTTTGACAGCTTTGTCATGATATCCGCACAGGTTGCTACAACCTCTTGTGTCAGGTTTAGCTTCGCTGTAGCTTTCTTCTGAACGGCAGTTTGATGCATTTGTTGAGAGATAAGATTATTCTGTTCTTCGGTCAGAGGGTATTTCAATTTATGTTTGTCGCACATCGCTTTTACTGCTCGACGATCTGTTTTTGTGCTATTCACGTAAGTTCTTAATTTCTTAAATTCGAGTTAGTTTCTTCTTAAGTCATTAAATAAAGACCTTTCCGTAACATGGGCATCCTTCTAAACGACATCGTAAAAGACCAGTTCTATACAAACGGGTATCGCCAGGATAGGTACCGCATAAAATGAGCTCTTCTAGTTCCATCACTCGTGGCTCTACCAGATCGTATACTTTCTCAGGGACGTTCCATGGTACCCAGTCATCCCCATTCCAAGGATTGTCAACCCGGTCTTTGACAATGCCCTTCCAATCCCCGGTCCAATCTTCGTTCATCCTCTGTCTTTTATACATTTTCAAAATCGTGAAAAAAAATTGCTGCTTTTGAGCGGACACAGATAAAGGGACAGTTTTTGTTTTCAATTCAAAACAGGTCGCCCTGTGCGCAGAAAACTGCCCTGAGTGCCTATTCGCCCGCGAGACTTTCTGTCTCGTCCAATCAACACAGGTTTAACCCTGTGTAACCTGTCCCTGTTCTCAGGTTTCGCTGAAAACTCAGAATGACTCTTGCGCCGTGATAAAAATCGATTTTCAATGAAAAATCAGGATGCATAGTATAGGGTTGAAAAGCAGGAATGAGAATTTAGCTCTTAATCTGACATTAAAAAAAACAGGGTGAAACAAACAGGGTCTCAAACTTGAAGCGCCTTTTAGAGATCTTGGAATCATTTCAGAACTTTTTAATTAATCAATAAATATGACCTTTAGATTTTGTTAACTCGCAGACAATCAAAACTGAAGCAGATGTCAAGGCTGAAATCAAAAACGAATCTGTCAAAACAGAAATCAAGGAGGAACCATTCTTCGAACCTGAAATTAATAGTAAATACGTCGATAAGAAGACCGACGGTGCCCAGTCTGACGTCTGCCAGTCTCGTTCAGATAACCAAGAGCCGACTATAAAAGAGTATTACGATCCAGTTATCAAGACGAAATACATCACTCTCAACGACGGAACCCCTGTTCTAGGCGAAAACTACACGGAGCCATGCAAAGAGTATCAAAAGCTTCCTCACTGGTTGTTACGGGTTCCTCGATTTTACTTTTATTTTAACCAAATTGGAGAGTAATCGCAAAACCCTGAAAAGCCGAAAGTTACACGCATTCAAATCGCAGCTGGTGAGCATCTCGCCAAAAACGATCAACCCTCTCCCTTCGATCCAGTACCGTACTGGAGCAACTTGCCTAGCTTTCAGAAGTGATACTGCCAAAGCACAAGAGTTCAATTATTTATTAACAACTAAGTTTCAAATTTAATTTTTACCATTTATCTTTAAATAAGTTTCTCTTATTTTTTTCACTTTCTTTTTGCTTCAAAACAGCGTTCAGAGCTCCAGGACTCTTGAGTAAACTGCCGACGTTAAAAGTAATTCATTTATCTACACCTCAGTTATATTTTTGCACAAAAAAAACGAAAACCAAATAAAAAATTCAAAATTTCAAAAACTTGCGCGTTTTATTGCATGTACTCGAGGAGGAACAAAGAACAAATGTGTAGCTTATCATGCCGAAGTGCAGAATACGAACTTGAAATTCAAATGTTCAATTGTTATGGATGATTAGCAGATGACGACGAAAAGGAGGATGAAGGTCTAGGGAAAATACAGCTAAACAAGCCTTTCAGTCAGCTTTTTCTAGATAAAATAAGGATCCGATTTGAACAACATTTTTCCCTCGCAACGGCGTGAACTCAGTCTATTTTTTAAATTTTCACCTGCAGCTTGTTTTCAAAAACTTGAAAACACAAAAACAAATCTTAGATCGGCAAGTTGAACTCCGACGATCCTAACTCCGCTGATAACTCCGCCAGGTTTAATCCTAATTGAGATCTTCGCTGTAGCCAACGACAAAATCTAGAGCAGCGAGCGCGATTGGTGGATCTCAAATCGCGCGCTTTTGAACGACGCAGCCTTGGCGCTTGTCCCTCACTTGCTCTCTTGAAAATCAGAGAAAATAGCCAAAATTTTAAGTTTTTAAAAAATGTCTTTCGCAAAATCCAAACGAACAACCTACTTCGACGACGTTACCAAAAATAAAGAGAATCTTCCTGGGCCCGAGCGATACAACCCTCAAAATGACCAGGTGAGTTTTAATTAAAAAGGAAAAAATTGCTAACCAACATAAATTTCACTAATCTAATTCAGTCAATCTGGGGCTATTACGGTCAAAATGGCCAGGTTTGTTGAAAAACCCAAATCACTCAAAAATTGGTGTATCTTTGGTGATCAAATAAACTTGCTTGATTGTACTTGAATCGATAACTAAAAAATTATTTAAAAAAATCTACATTTCTTACTAACCATTCGAACCGTTTTCCCGAACGACATTTAACCATCTTTTAGAGAGTCAAAGGCGGCTTCCAGTACCGCGACCAGAGCATGATGGACATAAGCAGCATCAGCGGAGCCTACCAAACTGACAAGTCTATTCTTGGTCCTCCTCAATCGACCCCGTCAAAAGAGCCCTTCAAAATCGCAAAACGAGGGACCAGAAAGTCAACAGTTTCAAAATCGCTCGAAATGAGCATGTCCCAAGAAATGGCCAAATACAAGGTCAGTATTTCGAAAAAAGTTATCTTTAATCTTGAGCTGTTTTCAGGAGCTCGAGTCGGACCATTTTCAACTGAAACAGCGCTATCAGAAGATCTCCGATTTGAAAGACGAGCTCGAGGAAGACTACACGCGAGTAAAGGAAGAAGCGCAAAAAGTTCCGCGACTCCAGAAGCAGCTTGAAGCCTTACAGGACTCGCTAGAAATCAGCAAGACAAAGGTAAGCTACCTTTCTTTACTTATTCTGACAGAAGATATCAGGGCGAAGAAGTAAAAATCCTGGAAGATCAGCTGCGCCAGTTGAAAGAAAAAGAAGACGAGACTTTCAAACAGATCACAGAAAAGGAGTCTCAATTGGTCACGCTCAGAGGTCAAATCGTCGCGCTAGAAGGAAGAATTACAGAATCAGAGGTAAGAGTAAAAATCGGTGTTTTCATCGTTGATTTCTTATTTACAAAAGAAAAGAAAACTCATTCATCCTGATTCATTTTAAAAAACTTTTCAAGGTCCAATTACAAGAACACAAGGTTTGTATATTTTAAATGCATGATATTTTCTGATTCATCATTTTACACCATTTATTTCAATCCCACACGGCGCTAGCTACAGGACTTAACAAACTGTAGCTTGTGCCCCCTGGAATTCACTCATTTTTATACTTTCAGAAATCCATTACCAATTCTTTTTCAGACAACGCTGAAAAACAAAAGCGACGAGTTACAAAAGGCGAACCTGGCCAACTTCAACCTGGAGCACAGAATCGCTGAGCTCGAGCCACTGAAAGAGAATGTCGCCTTGCTGAAAGAGGACAACGCCGTGTATGCAGCAGAGATCAACGGGCTCAAGCAAACGCTCGAAGAAGCGCACAAGACGTTGAAAATAAAAGAGTCCGAGAATGCATCGCTCAAGCAGAATATCGGCTCCCAAGTGAGCGAAACTGACTCGCTTGTGAAGAAACTCGAGCAGATGCGTTTTGAGCGGGATGAGTGCAAGGCGCTTGAGAAGGATCTCAGAGAAGTCCAGGTAAATTTGATTTTGACCACTGCTTTTCTAAAAGCTAACTTTCATTTATAGGGAACTACCGAAGCAAAAGTGCGAGAATTAATCGCTTCTGTCGCTGAAAGAGAAGACCAAATAAAAGTCCTCGAGCAAGAGATCAGAACTCATCAAACCGCGTTGACTAGTGCTTCTGAAAAATCCGCAGCTTCTGAGGAATCGAAGGCGGCGCAGATCCAGGAGTTGAGCAACGAACTCGCAGGGTTGAAAGAAAACTTGAGCGAAAAGTCAGCCGAGCTTGAAGAGAAACTCTCCGAAAATCAGAAAATCAGCGAGGCTCTCGAAAATTTGAAGGCAGCTCTTCTCCTGGAAGAAGAAAAGCTCAAAAAAGCCGAGGAAAGCCATGAGAAGCAGCTGAAGGCGAATTCTGAAGCTCGAGATTTAGAAATAGCTGAATCAGAAGCGAAGATTTCTGAACTTCAAAGCGCTGCCCAAGCGAAGGACTTGCAGATTTCGCAATTCGAAGAATCGATCAAGGTAATTATCTATTTAGCACTTTAGTGCTTTTTAAAACTTACTTTACACTGAAAATTTAGGCAACTGCGGCTGAAAATGTCCACTTACTCGAGAAGATCGAACAATCAGACTCTGCAATGAAAGCCTTCGAGGAGAAGCTCAACTCGGCTGAATCTGCGCAATCTGATCTTTCTTCTGAAATTGCTCGCTTGAAAGCTGAACTTGAAGAAGCCAAGGCGAAGAATGTCTGTTCTTCTCAAGAGTTCACGGCGCTGAAGGAAGAAGTCTCGACTCTTAGGGCGGCATCGAAGGATCATGAAGCGAAATTCGTGAAAATTGTCAACGAGAAACGAGAAATCGCAAAAGAAGCTGAAATTCTTCGAGAGCATGGGTAAACCGTTCGCGATTTTCTCAATTAACTTTCTTTCCTAGCGCCAAATACAAGATAAAGCGAGACAATCTTCGAGCCATATACGACGAGCAGCTGCAGAAGACAGAGCAACTAGAGCTCTTCAAGAAGGATCACGAAGGCACTCTGGCTGCGCTCCAGCAAAAGCTCAAGGCGGCCGAAACTGAGAAACAAAACTTCCGAGCTCAGTTGACCGCTGCCGAGCGGAAATTGGCCGACGCTACAGATCGGTAAGTAAGAATACTCGATAGTAGTATGTACATAAGCTTTTTTCAATAATGGAGATAATGTAAACAAAGAAAGGTAAATAATTATAAATATTTATGAAATATATAAACAAGTTAAAATATTTATATTAAACGTAAACATATGATAAATATTAGTAAACTAAATATAAAATATAAACATGAGTCTTCAAAACAAAGGAAGCTCAAAAATAACATAAAAATTTCTAGAAGGTTATTTTAATAACCAAGTTATTCAAATAACTTGTTATTGAAATAACTTGTTATTCAAATAACTTTTTATTACGATAACCGTTATTCAAATAACCTTCTAGAAACTTTTATGTTATTTTTTACAAAAACTGTCCCTTGGATGAGACTTTTCAAATATAAACATGAGTAGGATTTGTATCGGGAAGGCGGCGCGCGGCGTGGCGCTTTTCGCCCAAAATGACGGAAATCTATTTCGCGTAACTTGAAAGACTTACAGTGGAAAACCTATGAATATATGAAAAAATTTGAGGCTTGTTCATAAATTGACCTTAAAAACTTAACTTTCCATCAAAAAAGCGTAGTTTTCTCGAAAATTAAACAAAAACCTGTTTTTTGTGTTTCTAACCGACCTTCCGAATCTCTGATTTTGAGATATGTGAAAGAACAACTTTCTAGTGTCTGTTAAAGTTTGAAGACCGGGGAAAAACTAGAAGGCTTTCAAATGTCCCGTTAATGGAGTCTTGTATAATAAATTTTTTTCAGAAAAGATTAAGGTGAACAAGTCACAGAGCTGAATAAGATTCTTTGCCTCTTTTTCATGTCTGTTTTGAATTATTTATTTTCAACTAAAATATTTTCTTCAATAATTTCGCTTGCGTCAATGTTTACGACCAGTGTTATTTTTATAATCATAATTGTTTAAAGAAAGAAAAAATAATTTTTGGCTCTACTACAACCGTTTTAAGTTAAAATATTTTAAAACAAAATCATTGCCAAGTTATTGATCCAGTGTTTATTGTTGTAAATAAAAGGAGCGGTGAAAGATATGATCGCGTAATTAAGAGAAAATGTCAACGATGATAAGCGGAGAAATTCTTCCTCAAAAAGAGTTTGCATACCCTTTTCGTATATTGCTAAGTGGATCATCTGGTGCTGGAAAAACTTATATTGCAAAGCAAGTTCTGCTGAACAGGCATCTGTTTCAGAAGAAAACAAAGCGGGTCCTGTATTTTTATCCCTGTTTCCTTGAAGAAAAACCCGTTCAGTGGGATGATCTTGGAATTCCTGTTAGCTATCGCGTCGGTATCCCATCACAGGATGATATTGATGAGATGATGCCCCATACAACGATTGTTCTTGATGATCTTTATGAAGAAGCGATTCAAAGTCAAGCTATAGATCATCTTTTTCGAGTCACAAGCGGCAAGCGAAGCCTGAACGTTATGATTATGACTCAAAATAATTATGCTGCTGGAAAATTTGGTCGTAACATTCGTCTGAACTGTAACGCAACGTTTCTCTGCCGAAACTGTCTAGACGGAACAATCAATAAGAGAGTTTGCAATACAGCTGGGCTGCAAAAAGCGTTCAAGAGAGCGTCCGAAGATATCAAGAACAAATCATATCCTTACATGTTTCTTGATCAATCGCCTCGAGGTCATGCCTCAAGCTACCGGCTGTACACGGATATATTCTCAAAATATCCTGTTGTCTACTCAGTCACCGGTATGAAGGCTTGCATCGTACCCTTCAACGATTTCAAGCAAAACTTCAACATTATCGAAAGAGAAAATACTTTCGAAGCAACAGCGAAGAAAGATGACGAAAAATACTCATCGTGCAAAACAATCGAAACATCAAGGGTTAAAGCAAAAACAAGATGTGACAGCTTTACAGATGACTCGTCAGAGTCGGAGGTTGAGAGGAAAAGAACCAGAAAACGACGAAAGAGATCTGTCCCCGAGAAGAAATCAAAGAAAAAGACAAAGAAATCCAAGCGAAGACGACCATCAACTTCCTCCGAAAGTGAAACATCCTCAGCAAGCTCAAGCTCAGGTAAAGAATCAAGTGAATCAACAAGCGACTCTGAAAAAACAGAAGAAGACAGTGACGGATCAGATTCAAGCCCTGTACGAAAACGTTGCAAGCGCTCCAGCGTTCTCAGCGAAAGTAGCGGAGTTTCTCAGGCAGAATAAAACTCATAGTACTCACCGTCGAATAACTAAAAAACGATTTCCCAGAAGAAAAATCATAGTCGACTCGCCATTCAAAATTTTTATGGGTGACTTGATTGAATACAAGAAATTCAAATTTTCAAATCGTCAGTATGCTTATGTTCTACTTATAATCGATTGCTTCTCTCGCTTTATATGGACACGACCTGTAAAAACAAAAGGAGGAATCGATGTTGCTAACGCTCTCAATGATATATTTCAAGATTTTCTCGAATGGCCTAATTCTCTTATCACAGACGAAGGCTTGGAATTCTACAATGTCAATGTAAAAAAAATTCTTGATCGCTATGGAATGCATCACTATAGTATCAAAACAAAATTGAAAGCGAGTATGGCAGAACGAGTCAATCAAACCATCAAAAAACGAGTGGAGCTGTTTATGAAATCAAACAAAACTAAAAATTGGATCGATGTTCTTCCAGAAATAGTCAAAGGCTACAATTCCACTCCTCATCGAGCCATTGGAATGGCACCAAGCCAAGTCTCACATGAAAATAGAGCACAGGTCTTCGCTCATCTCTTCCCGGATTTCGATTTGAAAGTCAAACCAAGACTCAAAATTGGGAACGTTGTCCGAGTAAAAATAGAGAAGGGTATCTTCGAAAAAGGATATACACAAAACTGGACAGACAAAATTTACGTCATAATCGATATCAGACAACGAGCCGGAGTAGTTTGGTATAAAATTGCAGACGAAGAAGGAAATAGACAACCTGGAATAAAGTACTACTTTGAGCTTAACTTCGTTGCAGATGATCTTGAATCTTTTCGAGACAATGACCAAGGAGCTGAAAGTTCCTGAAATTTTCTTTGAAAAAAAATCAAGAGTACAATGTTCAAATTATAAGCGCTGTCTGTAATCTGATGACGACTCCGCGTGACATGGACATTGCTTTCATAACGTGTAACTCAATTGCTTCTTGCTATGGAGAACCGAATACGCTGATGATGGGTCAAATCCGTCCAAACGACAGGTGGTGCCATTTCTCCGACCAACGCTCCGTTACCTTCCCTTTAAACATATATAACTGGCGGGATACACGATTTTCAATCGACTTAGGCAGTCAACACATCATTCAACACTTTTCACTCCAGATACTTATCACAACAAGAGAATGAAAACAATCATTGCCTCGCTTGAAAATCGTCCAAAAAAATGGTTTCCAAAATCTCAATCCGGCGCGGGCAAACGAAAGTCAAAAAACGGTCCAACAAAACTCAAGCTAACACCAGGTCGAAAACATCCAAATACCAAAACAAAGAAAAAACGAAATCAAACAACAAAAGATTTGAAAAAATCAAAGAAATCATCGAAAAAGAAAAAAGCATGAACTCATACCTAATTGCGAAACGTTTAGAACGAGTTGAACATTTTCAAGGTGTTTACTCCATTGATACTTTACCCAAAATTGAAAATTTTCCTTCTTTTATTGTTGTCAACTTATCGCCTGAAATTTCAAAAGGCTCTCACTGGATCTCATTACGAATTATAAAGAGTAAAATTGAAATATTTGATAGTTTAGGCCTTAAAAAATATCCTACGCAGCTTTTTGACTTTTTTGGTGATAAAGAAACCTTTTTTTATAAAAGAACCCAGTCAGACTCGTCATTTTATTGTGGTTTTTATGTTTGCTTCTTCGTTATTTTCCGTTCTCTTTATTCACGACAGAAACTTTCTTCTCTCTTTACTCATTCCTTTACTGTTAACGATCAATTACTTCTTTTCAAACTTTCTCAACTCTGGTGACTAAAATTGGTGATATAATTGTCTAACTTTTTGCTCTTTTTAGACTGAAATCATGACAGAAGTTGAGTACTACGACCAAAAAGTTGTTAAACGGCATTATCCAAGAGAAGAGGACAGCTTGACCGGAAGGCTTAGCTTTAAGTTTGACGCCGATCCGAATCTTTTCCTTGTGAAAAATAAAATTGCGATTCATTTCACAATCGAGCTTGACAAGAATTATATTCCTTCAAATGGCTTTGCTAGCAAACAGTTCGGAAAGACTGAAGTTGCGGTGAATTCTCAGATTATCGATAACTCAAATTCAAAGTAAGGACTTAATTTTTGTTCTGATAATTATTTTTTCTTTAGTTCTCACTACTTGTTGGCAGACTACTTGACCAAACGTGTCAATTTCGACCCACTTTATGTTAATTCCGCATTCCAGATTGAGGGGTACTACGATGAATACAACTATGAGAATCTTGTTGATAGTGACTCAAAGAAAATGATTATAAATGGACGACGCCCACAATGTTACGAAACATCTAACGGAAATTATATTTATGAACTTATCTTCCTTCCGACTCATGGTTTTTCATGGAGAACAAACCTCTTCCTCAAAACACAGATCTTTCAATTACACTTTATCGTCTTAAACATGAGTTTTCGACAATGTTTATCGGAGAGAATGAAACTGATATGCTTCCAGCAGGAGAAGTCCTTAAAATAACTGATGCCTACGCTATTGCTGAATACGTGTCATCGCCGAGCCTGAGAAACTACTTTGGGAGAATCAAATCAAAGCCAATCACATATAAATTCAATGATACTTTGATAACAACAATGAGTTTGCCAAAAGGAAGAAAAAATGTGCAACTTCTTAATGTGACTGGGGGAAATACCCCTGCATATCTGTTCTTTGGACTGATTCAAACAGAAGCTCTTCATGGATCTTCTAAAATTGATTCTTCGAATTTCAGCTTTTTCAACAATCTTGTTCAAGTGAATGTCATGTTGAATGGTCAATCTTTAAATGGATATCCTCAGGTTTATCTTTTCAATTTCTTATTTTTTTTTATCCTTATCTTTAGAAAATCACAAATCAATATCCGATTCTTCCCTACTGGAAATATCTGGACACGCTTGGGCGAGTTAGTCAAGCTGATTTGTCATATGTTGTATCAATGGAAAACTACAAAGTGAACAACATTTTTGCTCATGAGTTTGAAGGAGAAGAAATCTCACAAGGCTGGCTATCTTTCTCTTTCGATTTTAGCACACCACTTGAAGATGATTACTCAATCGTTATTTGGTCTATCGTCTCGACCAAGCTCACGATTGACGAACATAAACAAGTTGAAAAAACCCTTCTTTGTAAGTAAACATATAATTAATCACTGGTTATGAATAGAGCACTGATTAACCAGCGCTTTAGAACTTCTGGTCTTCTTTTGCCCGCTCATCTCATTATCAAAATGTTTGTCACGATCAAAACTTTCACTTTTCGCTCCTACAATGGGGGCGGCTTTTTCAGGGTCAAGGGAACTTACATTCCTGGTTTTGAAACTGACCTTGATTATTCACGACCGACCAAAGAGATCAACTTACGACTGTTTGCAAAGACTGGTGATGAAGTCTCGAATGTCTTCCAAGCTCTCCAAATGCACACAGAATCACAACGTCCTGCAGATCTCTACACCACTTCTGATGCCAAACAATCCGACTGGGAAAAAGAACACAATGTCAAGCCTTCCTACACTTTCCGATTCAATCGTCCAGTCGACCAGAAAATCTAATTGTTTCTGCTTCTTTTGATCCCTCTCTTGAAAATTTCTTTCCTTTTCTTTTCAATTTTTTATTTACTCGAGTAATAAATTTGTTTGGTGATTATCTCTTTGGTCTTTCTTTGAAGCAAGTTTCTATTTACAAGCAGGCAATAATCAAAATTTCTGGTTCAGTAAAAAAATATGCTCTCGTATGCCATCAGCTTTTTCGAACCTTATGTCGAAGTTTTATTCACCCGTCATTCGAAAAATGTCCTTCTTGAATAAAATCAAAAAGTTTTTTTGCGGGTATGCTAACTCGACTACAGAAACTATAGAAGTTACTGCTGAAGAAGCTGCGATTATGAAAGGTCACAAGAATTACGAGGATCATAGACATCCAGAATGTCTTATCTGTGCAATGCTTGATGGATATGTAGCGAAACGTTTGAAGAACTGAACAAAATCATTTTCCATTTTTTTTTAAGAAAAACAAAAATGTCAAAAAAAAAGAAACTGCGGTGTATTCTTCCTGTACATAAAATTGGTGATAATAAAATTGGGTGATGAATTTCTTTGTCTTTCTTTATTTGTTTTTTCGCATGTCGAAGTTCCGCTTGAGCTATTTTCCTAAACATATCCAGGATAGCAAAATGTGCACGGAGTAACCAGTGCTTTTGAACCTCATGGCTAAAATTTCAAGTCTCTTCACAATAAGAAAAATATGTTTTTGCAGAAAGTTGAGAGTTTTAGCTGCACTTCTTACAGAAGTGGTGTCTTACTCAATATTGTCGGTATCTGCGGTGATGATGAAAATTCAAGCCAAAAAGTTCGTCTCCACTACACGTCTGTCAATGTGACAAATAATGTTCTTGCTTTTGAGAAAATAGCGATAATGAACAAAAACAGAAAAAGTGGCAAAGAAAGCTGGATACCTGTACAGATCCTTGGAACGGCGCCTAAAAAGGTCGACGATGAGCAGAATAATATTGTGTCATCTTACTTCGTTGATTTCAAAGATTTCACTCTTAAATACGAGCGACAAGACCTCTCCGATGACTGTCCTGTCTGCAAGACAAAAGACGTTTTTCGCTGGATTCAGAAAGAAGATAATGAACTCTGAGATATAACATTTCTCCTTCCTTTTACTCAAAAAAAAAATTGATAAAAAAAATTCTGGTGAAACTCTCCTGTAAATAAAAATTTTCGGTGAAAATAAACTTTGGTGACAAAATTCCAAGTCTTTTTTAATTTGTATTCATTGTCGATAGAGTAAGTTCTAGTTTCCACAGGCATTCATGGGATCAAAGCAGTTCTGAGAGGTATTTTTGGGATCGGGGAGCTCAGAGAGGTATTTTTGGGATCGGGGAGCTCAGAGAGGTATTTTTGGGATCGGGGAGCTCAGAGAGGTATTTTTGGGATCGGGGAGCTCAGAGAGGTATTTTTGGGATCGGGGGAGCTCTGAGAGATATAACTGGACTTAGGCGATGAGAAAATCAAAAAAGACTCACCTCAGACTGACGGGGCTCTGACCCATTGACAGGTCTCTGACCCGTTGACAGGTCTCTGACCCCTTGACAGGCCTCTGACCCCTTGACAGGCCTCTGACCCCTTGACTGGCCTTAGTCCACCCTGACAGGCCTCAGACCCGTTGACAGGCCTCTGACCCCTTGACTGGCCTTAGTCCACCCTGACAGGCCTCAGACCCCTTGATAGGTCTCTGACCCGTTGACAGGTCTCTGACCCCTTGACAGGCCTCTGACCCCTTGACAGGCCTCTGACCCCTTGACTGGCCTTAGTCCACCCTGACAGGCCTCAGACCCCTTGATAGGTCTCTGACCCGTTGACAGGTCTCTGACCCCTTGACAGGCCTCTGACCCCTTGACAGGCCTCTGACCCCTTGACTGGACTTAGTCCACCCTGACAGGCCTCAGACCCCTTGATAGGTCTCAGACCCCTTGATAGGTCTCTGACCCGTTGGCAGGTCTCTGACCCCTTGACAGGCCTCTGACCCGTTGGCAGGCCTCTGACCCCTTGACTGGCCTTAGTCCACCCTGACAGGCCTCAGACCCCTTGATAGGTCTCAGACCCCTTGATAGGTCTCTGACCCGTTGACAGGTCTCTGACCCCTTGACAGGCCTCTGACCCGTTGACAGGCCTCTGGCCTCTTGACAGGCCTCTGACCCGTTGACAGGCCTCTGGCCTCTTGACAGGCTTCTGGCCCCTTGACGAACCTCTGGCCTCTTGACTGGGTTCTGGTCCCTTGACTGGCCTTAGTCCACCCTGACAGGCCTCTCTCCACCCTTACTGGCCTTAGTCCACCCTGACAGACCTCAGACCCCTTGACAGGTCTCTCCTCGACAGTCTATAAACGGGCAAACTGAATCTAGACCCTTCCGATTAGTCTCAGCCATGCAAACTTTGAAAGTGTTCTGAATTATCAACAGCAGCAATTGGGATAAAACAAGTGAGACTAAAATGCATTTATTTCATCTTTGTTATGTAAAGACTACAGGTCAAGAGTTTTGTGATGTTGTATCCGCTTTTTCGAAACATGCTCTGATTTTGATGGGTAATGTCGACGAGGCGAGGGATGTCAGTCCAATCTGGAATGTTCTGCAAGAATTCTTTTTTCGATGACTTGTTTTTGATAAGGTTAGGTTCTATTGGAAGAGAGGTCGAGATTTGAGGCCAAACAAATCGAAAGCGTGAGTCAGGATCTTCTGTGACGGGGTTTTCCAGCAAAAACGCAAAATCGATTCCAAAACGAAAAGGCGGTGAGATGAATTCGAATAGATCATCCACAACGTTAAACAAGTCGAAGTTCTTGTTAATCAATAGTCTAACGTGAGCATGTTCTACGATCCGACCTGGTTTCGGAGGAGCAATGATAACACGATTCTGAAGTTGTCCCATCTTCTCCGTTTTCTCAAAGTATTCAAGCTCCTCCTTAGAGAGTGGAATGTATGTACCACCATACTCTTTGCGAATTGCTTCTAGGTCTACTCTTTCACTTTGATAGAATGGCATAGCGACGAGAAATTTTGATCACGTTTATATGGACTTTACAAATTTATTCTAGCGGAAAAAACAGTGAAAAATAAAGAAGCTTGTTTTTTTTCGGAGATGGATGAAATAAACAGTTAAAGCGGCTTGCCGTCGAGGGTCAGTGGCTCGCAGGTAATGCCATCATCCATGACGCGCATTTTTACAAATAAATTTGAAAGTAGAACTTTTTCAGTTGAAACTCGTTTAACAACATTGTTGGTAGTAGGGCGTAGAGTTCGCAAAGTGAATCGATTATTTGTTTCTATGTTTCCATACAAGCAATCAAGGAATTCTTGCAGTTTTAACTCTTGGTTATGCGGAACTCCTTTTGTTGATCGCTTAACCTTGTCATTTTTCGGATCATAGCCGAAATACATTTTGTTTCCGAGGCAAACAAGTGCTCCCGAATCTGTCTCCCATTCAGCTAGAAAGATTTGAATTCTACTTTTTAAGAAAATGGTTCTTACATTTTAAGAGACCAGGAGTTTTCTCGTTTAGGTTGGTGTTTTCAAGAACAAGCCATTTGCCACATTCTTGGAGAAACTCGTATTTCAACTCTTGGTGAACACAAGGTAAGAATGAAGTCATCATTTTTGAACGATTCGTGTCGATACATTCTTCACTCCTGGTAAAAGCTAGATATATTTATAAGACAAGCAATATTTAATAATAACTTACATATTGCGAGACTGTCTGTATCACAATAATTCAGCTTGTATGATCCTGGCTTCAAATACTTGTGAAGAAATTTGTAGACGAAGGACAGAAAGTGAAGCTTTGAATTTTGAAGGATAGCAACTCCAAGAACAGTCGGTTTGTCGTCTTTGATTCGCTTTTTTTCGAAAGTAACCTCTGAAATTGAGTATTCTCCGTTTTCTTGATAGAGAGGCTGTGTTGATTTGAATGTTGGTTTAATTATTGATCTAGCTAGTTGTTTTTCATCATCAAATTTGAGACTTGGTCGATCAACAACTTCGATGGCTTTACCGAATCCTCCACAGTTACCGATCGTTTTAAAAGCCAAAGCAAGGGCTTTATTAGGAGGATTCTCGTCTAGAGCGCTGACTCGGCCATTTGTTATAGAATCAGCATATTCGCTTAAAGATTTTGACGCTCTATACTGTGTAAATGATCTTATATTTGTTATCTCTAAACCAATATCAAGATAGAATTTAGCCAGAGTTGTGAGAAGAAATATTTTCTTACCATTGTATGTCTGAATAACTGTTTCCTGATCACAATTTTTACCAAGCTTACTAAATTGGCTTTTCATGTATGGACTAAGAAGCTGATCTGTAATTTTCATTCTCTTTATAATTGGTGGAAAATTGAGATACGATATTTTCTCGTATACTTCTTTGGGACAAGTTACATCAGCAACTATGAATCCATAAATTTGATCATTTTTTATACCCTCTATCAGACTTTTTTCTGTTTCTTTCGATTTGAAAATATGACCCCAATATCTGGAAATTTTTGTCAAATGAGCTTCATTTCTTCTTTGATTCCATTCACACTCGCGCATTACATGAACCTGACCTAGTTCATTCAATCGACGAAACTTTTTCTCCCATTCCTTGTCAGCTCCTCCTGGATTGCAGTCAACACAGTGAGTATGGTAATAACATCCAAGAAATTCAAAAAAATGATGTTGACCATCGACATTAGCATATCCGTCGATTTTGAAGTTCTCTACTTGATGTTCACCCCTAAAATATTGATGTTCCAAAGGAACTCTTTCACCATTTGATTGAACAAGCAAGGGGCTAAATTCGTCAATGAATGTTAGCCACTGCAGGGCTGCGAAACTGTTTCCCGTAGACATGATCCTTTTGCGGAAAACGGCGTTGTCAAATTTCTCCCAAGTAATGCCTAAACATTCTTCGATTTCACCTTTATTTTTGCATTTTGAATTTACCTGGCGTTGTCGGTAAGCTCATCTTTTGAGCAAACAAATACAAGGCATTAAAATCCAAAAAGACGATACGCGTGAAGGGATCTCCGTTCGGGGCAAACTTGGCATTTTTAGGGGCATCAACATCCGGGCGGAGCTCAGTGTAGCGAGAAAAAACGTTAACCAGCCCACCAATAATATTTTCACGCAAAAGTTGGTGCTCTTTTTTGAAGTTTCTGTGAAACGAGTCTAGATATAAATAATAAGAATATATATCCATAAGAAAATTGCTTACATGTCAGGGGCGAAGCTTTGGAGTAGCGCTGGAAAACACAAGCCATTGCGAATTTCGGTAAACTCATGCAGAATGAGGGATCGATCTTGAAAACATCAAAGAAGACACGAAACTGGTTGTCGATGGCCTTGGCAAATGGGGTGACATCCATGATGTTATAATGGCGGAGCCAATGTCCCATTGAATAATTCGGATTGATCGCTTGATTTTGATAAAACTCCTTTTTGCACTTTTCATACTCTTCCTCATCGATTCCCTTATTCTTTAGGCTCGAGAAAAAGTCCTCAATTGGTGGAAATGTCCTGTCATTGACAATTTCCATTACGCTGTGATATTTTTCATACGGCCAAATTGACTTTACCTCAGTGATACCACCTTGTTTTAAGTACCCAGCTAAGTTTGTTGGAGAACTAAATAGCCGAGCATCTTTAAACTGATAAAAAGGGGTGGAAATAGTGAAATATTGGGTTCCCTTTTTATACAAACCAATTTCGCTTTATACTTTGTCTTAAGAAAAGGAATTATATATGGAGCTAAAACTTTTAAATCAAAACCAGAACTATTGAATCCAAAGACATTCATCTTTGAATAATTTTCGAGCTCTCTTTTTATAAACCTTATTCTTTTCCTGATCGAAACAGGCTCCAATTTTATGTCAATTCCATCAAGTTTTTGAATGGCTTCTAAAATCTCACTTGGAAGATAATTTCTTTCATATGAAGCAAGAAGTTCAAGCTCGTCAAGAAATTTTTCAACGAGTTGCTGCGCTCCTTCGTTTGAGTCACATCTACGAATGAAAAATTTCTCGTAGCCAAAGTTACTTCCGATAGCAATCGAAAGCAAGCGAAGTTCAGCGTGAATCGTCGTCACTTTGTTTGTTGTATTGACTGGACATTCCATTGTCTCGATGTCGAAAGTGACTAAAATTTTTTAATTTGGAGAGTTTGTTATTCAAGGTCTACCGAAACGAGTCTTTCTAAAGCCTCTCATCCTTTCTGAAAGGTAACCAGCTCGTATTGCTATTTCGATCGGATAAATTGTATCGCCATATGGACATTGGAGTGGTATCGTTTCTTTTTTGTGTTGACAAGCTTTAACATGTGCCTCGAAATTTGATTTCTTAACATTTTCGTATCCACAAGAAAGGTTTTCGCATTTATAAACATTGGAGAAAACATCCATGTTATACAAAAATCTAAGCTGAAGAGGCTCGCTTGATGAGACAAGATCTTGCTTTTTGACAAGAAAATTCAACGGCTTTTTTTGAAGAGAGTTTTTTGGGTTAAAAGACTGTAAAATATTGAATTTATGAAAAGTGTCAATATAAAGATACTCGTAGAAATTGATTTCTCTCTTCATTTCAGCAGAAATTTTTGAAAGATTTCTTGCAAATACATCTTTTGGTCCATCAAAAATATCAAACCCGTCAATCTTGAAAGCAAAATCTAATTTCGATGAGCATTTTTTTGCTCTCACTAATTTTTCCAAAACAGTTTCAAACGTGTAGTAATAAAAACAATCTTCCTTCTCTTCCACAAAGATGCTTGTTTTAGTTATCAAATTATCGTCAGCAAATTTGATCTTGATTGACTGTTTCGACATTGATCTTACCCGCACAATTTCAAGTTGATAAAACGCAATAATTTCTTCATTTGTTTTAGAAGAATTACAAATTGTCAATGACTGACAGTGTGCTAGAAATTTTCTGTCAGAAAGCTTACCATCTTTGAAAAATTTCTTGAATTTCTCTTTGTGTTTTTGTATCTCTCCTAAAGCTATCCAAGGATTAATTCCCGGAAAAAAGAAATTAAAGCGTTTCATAAGCTCCTTACCCTTTCCGGTTCATTTTATCTCAGACTTTTCCAGCAGACTGATTTTATCCGATTTGCATGCTCATCAACGCTCATTGATGGCGCTAAAATAGGAAGTATAAATTATCGAAAATATTTCTGTTCAAACTGAAAAATGCTCGCTGTTAAGCTTGTCAAAATAACAGACGAAGATGCGATAATTTACTGTCGCATATGTCGTAAGAAGACAAGTCTATCTCCGACATTCAGAGAAGTCACTCGTGCTCAGCTTGAAACAAATTCAGTGCCTGGTGGACAATGTAAAGACTGTTTCGGGAGATGGTACTATCCTTATACAAAATCTGAATGGAAAGAATTTATGGATAACGCAGATGAATTCGCCGAGGAGTGTTTTGTTGCTCGATCACCGCTTCTCCCGAGATTACTTTGTCGAACTTTTTCTCCGGGTGCCTGCATTGGTACAATTATAATAAGATCTCGCCAAATCAAGCTTGCATCACGAGAAATCTCGGAGGATGAAAAGAAAAAATGCGTGATATGCTGGGAAGAAAACAAACAAATGGTAGTTAGCAAGACTGATATTTTGATAACAAATTTTAGGATCCTACACCCTGCCTTCACTACACGTGCGCTGATTGTCTAAGAACGCTCAAAGCGGATCCTGAGGAAGAAAGGAACAACAGATGCCCTATATGCCGGACTGATTTCGAATACCGAAATATCCGCCAAATCATCCGAGCTGAACGACGCCTGTAATCATCGTCATTGTTGTCTCCTTAGTTTCTTTGTTCTTTTTTTCATCCAATTTCTTGTGCAAATTTCGACAAATAAATTCATTAGATCTAAACAAAATCTTGTGTTTCTTTATCTCAGCTTTACAATTTAGTCTCTCAAGTATAAGGCCCTTTTGAGTCGAAGTATTCAATTAAAATATTCGCAAACTTAATTTACTGAGATTACTGATATTCTTGAACTCGCAAAAACCTTTTCTGGAAATTCTAAAAGACCTTTTGTGAAATTCGAAAAAGACCAAGGTCCGAGAGCAAGAAAACCTCTGTTAAAAACTCAAAAACTGTCCTCAACTCAGTAATACCTCCGGAAACTGGCCTGATCCTATGAAAACCTCGAAAAACTGGTCCGAGCCTAGAAATACCTCCAAAAACTGACCTTAGCTCAGTTATAACTCTGGAAACTCGCCTGTTCCAAGTAAAACCTCTGGAAACTGGTCTGAGCCGAGTAATACCTCTGGATACTGGTCGAGCCCAGTTATACCTCCAAAAGCTGGTCTCAGTTCAGTAATACCGTCGGAAACTGTCCTGAGTCCAGTCAATTCCTGAAGACTGCTCTTCATCGAACAAGGCCCTTTATTTGCTTGAGTCAATCCGTAAACTATAAAATATATTTTTCCTGTCATTTTATTTGCAATAAAGATGAGAACCTTTTATCTTTGAGAGCTTGTTTGTCTTTTATTTTTGTTTTAAAGGCACATTTTTCTACAGGAAGCTTATTATCACGAATGTTTTTCTTGGCGGTTTGAAGAAGCTGCGTCTTGCTCTGGATGAATCTAAATAAATGATTAGGTTTTTGCCTGCGAATTTGTTTTCTTACCTAATAGCGTTTCTGTCTGTGACAGATTTGTAAGGGTTGAGTGCGCGTCCGTCGGCGTTGTGGTCTGTTGGCCTCTAATTTGCGTTTATTTTCTGTTTGGAAGAAAGCTTATTTTACCTTCAGCTTGATGATCCTCAATTGCCGGGCGCTGAGTGATATCCATTTCGTCCTCACTCTCCAATTCTTCGATTCGATCCGGATTCCGAATCATTCGAATTCTTCGGGGCTCACGTTGTCTCTGTCTATTTCTTCCGTCTATTGAAAACTTTAGAACTCCTTTGAAAGATTTGATTTCTTACTTTCGTAGACGATATAGAAGAAAAGTAATAGGATGAGAATAGCGATGACGCGATCATTCGTGCGCACACGTCCTTTTTGTATGTCGACATCGAATTCGAAGTCATCGTCTGGATTTGTACATTCACCCTCTGGGTTCGAATGATTTCTGCTCTGATCGTCTTGCTGTCTGCCTTGATCCGGGAATCCCTCTCCGTTTCGGCCATTGTTTCGATTTGGGCCACTGAATCCTTTGAAGAATGGAAAGAACATTTCTGAATGGAAAAACTGTCTACAATATTCTAGTTTTAGTTTCATATCAGTATTCAAAGACAGCTTTTCTCCTTTAAGTGGCAGGTTTAAATGTCGAGTGGAAGTGGTGCTGAGATCGGCGTGTAGTGAACTAAGAATATATTTTATGAAGGCGAAAAGGAATGATAGAGATTACCGTTTCTTGTTGGCTTAGGTGTCTTCTTCTTCTTGTGGCAGAGGATGAGGATCAAGGTGAGAAGGAGAATAGTGTTGAAGGCGAGGAGGGTGATGACGATCATTTCAACCATGGAGAAGGTTTTTGGCGTGTTGTTTTCGTCTATTCAAGGTAAGAATCTTTTTGTCTATCTACTTTTACCAAGTTGGTTGACGTTTGAAGTTTCATTGATAATGGATGACGTAGCAGTCGGTGGTGTCCGTGTAGAGGTGATATTTGCCGACTCGTTACCGACTATTTATGTAAAATTCTGTTTTTCATTAATTCTTACGAAGACGGCATAGCTCGGAGACGGTTCGTTCATCATAGTAGTCCCATCGATAATCTTGGTCAAACTCCGACGAGTCGTCCATCGCGTCACGATTTTCAGTCTTATTTATGAAAGAATTTTATGCAATCTCTAGCGATCTGAGTTTCTTTCACAGCCTAAACATTGTCGGGGTTCTGGGTCGACGGAACAAGAACCAGACAAGGTTGATGAAGGGGAAAATCGCGAAAGCCAGTCCAGCAAGGTAGATGATGAATGTAGCGAGAAGACCAACGCATTGAATCGCGAGAAAGACAAGGATCGAGGATTCGATGAAAGTGAGACCTTTTTTTAATTAAGTTAAAAATGAAAGAGTTTTCTGTTTTCTTTTTACCTCTTTGCTTGTTGACTTGCTGCTCAAGGTCCGAATCGTGAACGTCGTCGCCTTCGTAATTGTCCATTAGCCCAGATTACCGATTCAGTCTTTTATGCAAAAAGATGTTATTTATTCACTTTCTTTCTAATTTAATCATTCAAAAAACATTCTTTTCACAGTCCTTTTTCAATCACCAACTGTCGATCCATTCTTGCCAGGATACTTGAGGGCACCTCCATTCGTCCTTCTTGTCCTCTTTGTCATCTTCTTGCTGTTCTGTCTGCGTGTTGCTATCCACAGTCGGTTTCCGTCCGTCTTTCTTTTGCCGTCTTTCATTCAGAATCATTCGTTCTTCGTCTGCGCGTCTGTTTTGCAATTCGAGGTCGCGTTCTTCTAAGAAGACTTTTTTAGTAATAAAATAGGCTGATCTAACTACCTTCATTATCACAGCAATGCAAAACAAGCACTCTCCGTAAGTCAACCCAGAAGGAGATTATTCGAACTCGTCTTTTGTAAATGAGGATTGCGAGCATGACCACTATTATAACCGAAACTGGGGCTAGAATGAAAATGAGAATGATCTTTCTATGTAACTCAATTAACCCGCTATTCCGACAGCGATTATTTTTCCATTGAAAATTTCGTCGGGTTCGATTGTATTCGTTGAGGTACCATTGGTAACGGTCGAAAATGTGTGAGTGGTCGACGTTGATCCAAGAGAAGTTGTAGATGTTGTGTCCGTTGTGTGACCGGGGAACGTCAAAGGAGGGTGGATTGTTGGGAAAAAAAACATTCTTAACTCTTTTCGACTTTATTTTAACATAATTTTCAGCTGATTTTATTCAAAATAGGGCATAGATTTTGAGATGAATTTAGTTTGCTTGAAAGAACAACTGCCTGAAACCAAGTTTACATCAAAATCTACATCCCAGTTCAATTATCTTCAGCGAAAAAAAAAGAAATTTGTAAAGCAGGTCAGATAAAAAGTCGAAAACAGTCTTTGAGCGTCAATTTGGCGGCTAATTCATATCGGTTATTATAATTTTGGCAAGTGGAAGAATTCTTTGAACGTTAATTTAACTCTTATTTCATATCGCCTTGTCTTATTGGTTGTAAATAAATGATAAACGCAAAATTAAACCTTTCTTGTTTCTTGAGATGCACTCTATCGTCCAAAGCCTTTGTTACGCTATATTAGAATTTTATTAATCTGTTTTTTCTTTTTTTTTTTTGTTGTAATACCTTGTTTCGGATAAGTCGCATGTGGACGAATTTTGCGTGGAACATTTTGTCGTCTCTATAAGAATGTCTCTTTAGATTAATATATTAAGCCATTTTAAGTCAATCAGTTTTGAATGAAGAAAATAAAAAGGTTGATTGTCTCGTGATCTTGTTTGCGCTGTATGGCAACTTCAAGTTATGATCTGGTGATGAACCTGCATCAGGTGGTTTGATTTTATTGCCTACGCATTCGAGGGTGAAGGAGCGTGCTCAAAACTCGCGCGCCCTGCGGTTCTCGCTACCGATTCGCCGATTCATCCCCACGCGCTTAAGACTGCGAGTAACAGTAAAGCGCGCGCTGCTACAGATTCTCCACTCGGCCAGGCGCCAAAAACTTGCATTCTTTACACATTTTTGATAAGCGTGAGAAACCACCTATTCCCACGAGAACAAAGATGATAAACCTGCAAGATCAAACAAAGATACTAGATACGAATGAAGAGAAAGATCTCATAAGCAAAATCGAACAGGGAGATCTTGCTGCCCTCATCAAAATTCAATCTGAATTAGGTACTTTTATTTTCATCTATTCATTTATAAAACATAATAGATGCCAAGCAGGCAGCTTCGACTTTCATCATCAAGATCACTAACGGTCAACTTGCAGAGTTGCAAAAAATCGTGACAGGTAAATTTCAATCGTGAAAGAAAAATGACTTATCTCTCCTCAAGAAAAGATCGCGTCTAAAATGGATACTACCACGGAGGATCTGACTGAGGTAATGGAAATGGAAACTTCCGGCTCTGCTAAATCTGACGATATGGACACAAACTAGGTAAATTTATGTCTCTTTTCCGATCAGAAATAAGCTCTTTTTACGGTTCCAGCTCAAGCAACCATTATTGAGTAATCATCCGAAGCATAAAAACAATTCTCCTCTCCTCGTTGATTCCGACAATCACCACTTCATTGAAAATTTTCTCCAGTTTGTTCCTGACGCTATTGATAATAGATAAATCCGCTCGTTAATAACTATCAAAACCGCTTATCACACCAGTTCATTTTCTTTTGAGTTCTTAAAGATACCTGCGCCACTTATCGAAAAAGTTCTTCCCTCTTTTATAACCTGCTATTATAATTCAAATGAACAGTTCCTCAATAATTTAATTGAAATAAAAAAGAAACTCGGTCATATATCTACTTTGTTTTTTTTTTTTGTTTTATTTAAACAAGAGTATTATGGACGGCATCAAAAGGTTCTGAAATCGTGATATTCTCACGTCGGTCAGGATTTTTTCGGGAAACATTCTTCTTTTTCTCACAGATGATCATACACAATTTTGTGTAGAAGCCAACTGTGATGATAAGACCAATGAAGGCAACGCCGGAAACCCCAGTAAAGAAACGATGCTGGATTGAAAGAAGTTGATCTTTGAGCTCGCAGATAACATCGAAAAAAGGAAACTCTTCCGAAAGTGGAAGTGAGCGATTCATTTTTTTTTTCTGATTATTTTGGACCTTATCGTTGCATATTTATGGACTTTTCAGTGCTTATTATCAGTGCTTTTTTCAAACTTGGCAACAAAATGACAAAGTCAAAGTTTTTTAAACACCATTTTTATTTATAATTTTTTCGGTAAACATGAGTAAATAAGGACAAACACGAGATAAAGAAAGAACACCAAGAAACGCATAAAGAAAGGTAGAAGTTAGAGTTGAGTGTATGTTTTTATGGGCGAAATTGTGGGAGAAGGATCGGAGTAGGCTTCTTGTTCATAGATGGTCTCTTCGATAAACTCTATGGCATCTTTTGTGATAATCCCAAATCTGAAACAGTCATCAAGTGTTTCACCTAAGAGATATGGGCTGAGACAGTGATCAATGATCGTGTCCGGCGTACCTCCGCGTGAAGGATTTTCCAGTTCTGATTGAAGTTGCTGTCTTTCTCTCTCCTCTGCTTCGGCAACCAACCCATTGATCATGTCATCGTCAACACTGTCGTCGTCGTCAAAGGTATCAGTGAGATCGATAACTATGAAAATATATTTATATATCTTTTTTTTTAATAATAGATACCTTCTGACCCGTCTTTCATATGACCATCGACGTTGATTTTCCGATCAGGAGAGCCTGTTAAGTCAATAACTGAATCATGATAAACAATCTGGTAGAAAAATGTCTCTAACCTTGATCGTTTTTGTTTTCAGCAGGTGCGGCGAAGCGGATAACGCTTCTCCCGAAGCGCTGGTTAGGATCGTAGTCAGGTGGAGGTGATTTACCGATGATTTCCCATTGGGATGGACTCCAGAGTTGCCATTTTTGAGACTTCTGCTGATCATCTTGACGTCGACAGCTTGATTCAGGACTGCCCTGGATCAGTTGAGAGCTTGGTCCAGGAGTGTCCTCGATCAGTTGAGAGCTTGGTGTAGGAGCGTCTCCGATCAGTCGTGAGCTTGATCTAGGTGTGTCTTCGATCAGTTGAGAGCGTGGTGATGGAGCGTCCCCGATCAGTCGAGAGCTTGGTCCAGGTGTGTCTTCGATCAGTCGAGAGCTTGGTCCAGGGGTGTCTTCGATCAGTTGAGAGCTCAACTCACCTTCGGTTTGAGAATTTTGTCCTGAGTGATGGTCTTTGTTATTGACATCATGAGCAGGCTGAAAGACTTCTTCTTCCGACTCGTAGTCCTCAACGTTTGAATAATCGTCACTCTCTAAAGCATCAGGCTCATTTTCGGACTCATCTTCCTGTTGATTGTTTTCTTCTAAGTCGTCAGCGGTATTCTTTTGCTTTTCTTCGTGTCGTGTATAACCGAAACTATCACGAGTTTGCTCATCCTCGATGTCATCGAAAACGTTTCTTGGTTGGACAGCTTCTCGGCGGACTCGTTTTGAAGGTTGTTCCGCGGCTTCTTCCTCTCGCAGTCTCTTTGAGGAATGGGCTTTTTTCTGCTTGAGTTTATCCTGACGCGCTTCCTCTGAAGACTTGGTTTCCTCCTCGGAGTCAAAGACCAAACGCCGTCTCGCGCCTAGAAAGTTTTAAAACTCTTTCGTAAACACCATGATATACCGCGAAGATTCGACCTCACATATGAGAGTTTTTCCTTCCGGGGAGCTTTTGGAATGGAATTACCTCGGGTGTGGGGAGGTGTGGTAGGAACCCATTCTTCATCACACGAGTCCTCTTCAGAGGAAGACTCATAAGCGCTAGAAACGTCACAATCGATCTCACTGCTAAATTCTTCGAGAATGTGTTCGAGCCTGAGGTTGCACTGGGAGCTTTTATCAGTCATATCAAGTGTCCCCCCTGAAAATATGATAAGATAATAAGAATCGTATTTTTGTCTACTTACGTAAATCACGAAGGACTGGTTCTTTGTCCTCGACATTTGCGAGTTCGTCCTCAAACTCGCTAGCAAGTCGGTCTGTTTCATTGCGGTAATTAATATCTGCTTTTTGTATCTTCTTGAGAATTTTCAAGCACTTAGCCATTTTAAAATTTGACAGATAGGTCAAATTTTGCACGATATTTATACGGACTGATCTTCAGCGCCGACGTAGATTTTTTGGCACACTTGTTTATCAACGCCAATTACCGGTTGCTTTGAAAATTCAAGCGATCATTTGTTCAAAATGTCAGTTTATTTTCCAGCGTTTGAACAAATTCACAATATTTTATTGACTCTGGACCTATATTGACTCAACTCATGCATATTTTTCTTTGATGTATTTATAAACAGTGTCAAAGGACGTTTCCTCTTTTGAACTGCATGAGATCTGGTCTAAAACGAAAGACCACTTGTAAAAATATCGCCTTAGCTCAATAATATCTCTCAGAAATCTGTCCGATCCCGAAAATACCTCAGAAATCTGTCCGATCCCGAAAATACCTCAGGAATCTGTCCGATCCCAAAAATACCTCAGATATCGCCCCGATCCCAAAAATACCTCAGAAATCGCCCCGATCCCAAAATACCTCAGGAATCGCCCCGATCCCAAAAATACCTCAGGAATCGCCCCGATCCCAAAAATACCTCAGGAATCGCCCCGATCCCAAAAATACCTCAGGAATCGCCCCGATCTCAAAAATACCTTTCAGAATCGGTCTGATCCCAAAAATACCTTCGGAATCGGCCTGTAATACTTTCAAAAGCTGGTCTGAGCCCAACAATACTCCGTTTCAGCTTGAGCTCAGTCCACATGCTGGATAAAATCTCTCATTCCAATAACACTCTGTAGCAGCTAAGAACTCGATATTGTTGCTCCTATTTCTGAGCTGGACTTCTGCGACCCTGATAATTTTCCTTTTTAACTTCATGTTAACACTTTTTTCTTGAATAGAAAAACGACTTATTTATATTTGAGATAATTTATTAAGGATATCCAATGACGATGACAATAAATAAATATCAAGCTTCATTTTACAGAAATAGAAACATTGAGAGTAGCTTACAAAGGAATAAGTGCTTTAGAGTTTCATTTTACTTTTTCTTAGAAGTATAAGTACTGTTCATGCTATTCATCTTCTAGTTTCATTTTATGTCGAGTGTGAAGATTCTTGCCGCTCGAGCGAACTTGATTCGAAAATGAACCAAAAGAGGGAGCCACATTCTTTGAGATAACCCACTGAGTCCGTCTATTTGTTTTACTTCTTTGAAACGGAAATCGATTAGTTACTTGATCCTTTGAAAGATGAAATTTTGATCCTGATGATTAGTTCTCATAAAAATGAATTTCTTACTATGTTTGGATGGCTAATGTTACATGTAATAATGAAGAGCAAATAATGAAGAAGTTTCATCATTTTAGTATCCAGAAAGTTTTTTCATTGAAACTTTATCTGAAAGAACGAAATAGATTTCCGTCATTTTGGGTGAAAAGCGCCACGCTGCCCGTCGCATTCCCGATACAATCCCTACTCATGTTTATATTTGAAAAGTCTCATCTCAGGGTCAGTTTCGGGTCTCAAGGGATTCGCCTGCCCCCGAACAGGCGGGTGACAAAAATGATCGGACCAAGCGGGTGACAAGCCGGCGATGCTCGAACTGCCCATCTCCGCAGGGAACAGCGAGTCTCGGTTGGTCTTATTTTTACAGAGGATCAAGATTATTTTCGACCCTAAATTTTTAACGGTAAGTTCTCCTTTGTCAGATTTCTATTGCTAGAAATTTACTCTTTTCTGTTAAGGCTACTGAAAAGATCTCTGGCAGCAAATTTCCAGAAAAGTTATGTTTTTACCATAAAATGATGAAAGATAAGAAGAGATCAGCTGGATAATTAAAAAAGACTTTTCAAACGGAAAAAGATCACACGACAGCTAAATTATAATTAGATTACAATAGGATGAACTTTGATGGAGGTTTTATTGAATAAACTCAAGTTTTCAGAAGTTTTGAGTATGATTTTCGGAATCTCCATGGTCGAATTAGTATAAATCACTTTTTCCTGAAAATTTTTGAGCAAAAATGCTCATGGCCCTCCGAAAAGTGAGCCTTGTGCAGATCAGCTGGACCGTCGCAACAAACGTCTGATTATGATTTTCCTCGGTGGATTAGCGATTTCCCACTGAAACTCGCTGTTTTTGTTAATAAACAACATAAAAGTTTCTAGAAGGTTATTTTAATAAGTTCAAGTTATTTGAATAACGGTTATCGTAATAACAAGTTATTTGAATAACAAGTTATTTCAATAACAAGTTATTTGAATAACTTGGTTATTAAAATAACCTTCTAGAAATTTTTATGTTATTTTTGAGCTTCCTTTGTTTTGAAGACTCATGTTTATATTTTATATTTAGTTTACTAATATTTATCATATGTTTACGTTTAATATAAATATTTTAACTTGTTTATATATTTCATAAATATTTATAATTATTTACCTTTCTTTGTTTACATTATCTCCATTATTGAAAAAAGCTTATGTACATACTACTCTCGATGAGTCGGTTTTGACATGTTTTCAGCACTACGGAAATCGAAGATCTCCACGTTAAATTGGCGGAATCAGATGCCATGTGCGAAAAGTGGAAGGCGGAGTACGAAGAGCTCGAGAACTTCTACGCGCCGATCCGAGCTGATCTCGCTAAATTCGCTGAAGAGAGCAGACACTGGGGGTAAGTCAAATCAAAAGTTAAAACGTTGTTACATGAACTGTTCAGCTCTGAAAACGAAAAGAAGTCGAAGGAGTTGGCAGCTCTGAACTCGAAATTGGCGGACCAGATGAGCCACGCCAATCACAAGCAAAAGATCAAGTACATGGTAAGTCAATGAATTCAAGAGCGCCTTGTTCACATTCCTTTCAGAACAAGATCAAAGACGAGAACGAGCTGCTCAAGACCAAACTGTCCTTCGCCGAGTGTCAGATGAAGAAGCTCAAGAAAGAAAACGACGCTCTTCGTGATGACCTCAACGTCGTCCGAAACGTACGACGCTTCGACCCCAAAAAGGCTTTCCAAGGAAAGCAATAAATATTTAAATATTTCATCTTGTATATTTATTTTCATTCACAACACATTTTTATTGTATATATTCCTGTACTCACATGACCGTTTCTCACTGTGCACACAAGTTCAACACACACATTCCGCGGAATAAAACTGCCGTTTTGTTACACGACCATGTTCTTTCTTGTTTTATTGCAGAGCAGGAATTGTCAAGTAAGAGGTAAATGAGGATGTTCGGATTGGATAGTTCTGTCCAACAGGCAGTAACATCTTATAATCGGGTCATTCCTAAGGGTATCATCGTCAATGAATCATTGACAATGATCCATCGAAAAACCAACCCGTTTTCGATTTAAGAATGGGTTCAAAAATATGCTGGAAGCGATATTATTGCCAAGGAGCAAAAATAAACGAAGTAGAGGATAGAACGCACGAGTTCAAGAACCATTGGTTCATTACACAGAAACAGATAAAGCGCGGAGGATTTAGGCTCCATCCCATCACCACCGTCATCTGCGGCTTTCTCAATCAAGGTTTAGGAAAGGGATGAAAGGTTTGATAGACCCATTCGAGACGGATGCGAGCCGGATAAATTTTTATTCCCTTAGAAAGGCGGGACAATTTATTTGGGCATCCGCGACTCAGGTCAAGTCCATGGCCTAAGTCTGACTCCAAATCAAATGGCTCACCTGTCAGTTTCTGTCTTTGATGCACTTGAAAGATTCAACCCAGTAGTTCGCCCTGGACTTGTTTCTGTCACATTTCTGCCAATAATTAGTCGGGAAGAAGCGGTCTCGGCAAAAGCGTCCATCACTTCAAAGCGAAAAGACTTTCATAAGATGAAAAACGATACAAAAGAAGATGATTTCAACCCTCACGAAATCAATGGAGAATCTTCAAATTGCTGGTGCGGTAAAGAAGCAGTTGTTCTGCAGAATAACGGCGAGGAAATACCTAACTGGATCGTCGAAATCGAAGTGGTCCAGCACGAGGGATTTGAGACAGATATAGAGGACAGTATGACTGACGTTCCAAAGATGAAATATCATCTGAAATACGAAGACGAAGAAAAACAAGCGTTTTTAAGACACGATGCAGTTAATCGACGCATGTTTCCTTTTGATATTTCCAGGTAGAAAAATTTACGGCTCTATTTTGTATTGTCATCATTACTATAGGCACATAAATGATCAAGTGAGAAACCACTATGAAAAGATAAGAGATGACCTGAAGAAAGAACTACATGAAGAGCTGGCTAAGAAAGGCCTACCAAATAAGCTGGAGCATTTAGCACCAGTGGAAATCGAAGGAACCATGAGAAAACAATTGGGAAGGCCGATTCTCTCTGACGTTCAAAGAATGCTCTCTTAGACTGCTCTCATTGAATTTAACTTCACTGCTACTTGCTTTCTTACTTCCTTAAATTTCAATTTAATGAATCTAGCTTCCTTTTAAATTCAGAAAATGGAAAAAGAAAAAACAAATGATCGATACATCAAATTCGTAAAAAAATATCTAAAGACATCAGGCAGGCTAGAATCCCTCGATGAACTGAATAAAAGTCTCAAAAGGAAGGAATTGAAAGGTTGACTTTTCTTGAATGAAACTGTTTTACCCTTGTATTAAGTTGAAAGAAAGCCAGTTTCGCTGAGTTTTAAAATTCTGAAACCTCCTGAACGAAAGAAAGTCGACATAGAACCGGCAAAAATAGACAAGAAGCGAAAGAATAAAACGAAAGATAGTGTGAACGAAGAAAAAATTGTAGAAGTTCCCGATGATTTTAAAAAACTCGCTAAACACTTTGGGTTGCCAGAAGAACATCTCGATTTTTTCTACGAAAACAGGGATCATTTCCACTGGGAGTGTAAAGATAAAACATTCATCCACTGCAGTGAGACTGGCTGTAAATTTACGATCAAAGTGTCGAATGGGTGCCTCGTAAACCATGTTAAATCTGTTCACCATTACGTTGATATTCCATGCGGTAAGCCTGACTGTTCATTCATTGCATTTTCTCAGAAGAATCTCAATCTTCATCAAGCTGCTTTTCATGGGCACGGAAAGAAGCCTGATGCACACGGTAGTAATAACTGTCCTTATCCAACTTGCAAGGCATCTTTCCGGTTTCATTCTGCCCTTGAAACTCATATCAATATTCATGAGAATAGAGCCTTTTCCTGCAATTACTGTCTTTATCGAGGATCCACCAAATCAAACTTGGCTCATCATTTAAACACTCATTTTGATATTCGAACATATATCTGCGATATTTGTTCCAAATCTTTTACCCTTGAGAAAAACCTGAAGGAGCATAAGTTGTGTCTCCATGATGATGATAATGATTTCGAATGCTCTAATTGTGGATTCAGTGCACCGAAAATGTATATGATCAAAAAGCATAGACTTACCTGTAAAGAGCGCCTTAAACATTCAAGAATACTTTGACTGCAATTTCATGCTACTAAACTGCACTTATAGTTATCTTATCGGTCTGTTATTGATGTGTTTATAAAGTCATTAAGATGGTCAATCTTTCGGATATTCAAGAACTAAACAGAAAGGAGCTTCTGCGATGCCTTCGAAAGTTCGATTCGCCGATTTCCTTGATTTGGGATCCCAACCTGACCGCACCATTCACTCTCTTCAGCGACGTGAAACTGCTCCAAGAATACGGCGTCGAAAAAATGGTCGCTCTTCCAGAAAGCGGCCGACTCGCGGGATTCCAGACGAAATATGCAGTATTCCTGTGCTCAGATACAGTCTCGATAATCGAGCGCGTTGCAAATGTGACTCCTGCCCAGTCCAATACAGAGTATCATTTGATAATCGTCCCCAAGATCTCTGTTATCAATAAAAAGTTGCTCAGGGAAAAGACAGGATACAACAGTTAATGCTTTTTCAATCTGTTTTTATCGCAACTTGTTAATCCTTCTGGAAGGGATGCTATAACGATCAGACAGATAAGCCCGGAAAGATCGCTTCAGTAATTCCCTGCTTTATCGAGCTCTTCATGCTCAACACGAGTCTTATCACGCTCAACATTGTGAACTCTTATCGCAAACTGATCGACCGGGACCAGTGCTTGCCTTCGACCACTGCTCGGTCTCTCATGACTTTCCAGGTTCTTGAGCAATCCCAAATATGTTTTCCAAACTCGTTCAGGCTACTTTTGGCGTTTTTCCGAAAATACTCGCTTGTGGCAAAACCTCCTGCGCAACTGTTGACCTTCTCTTGAGCTCGAGAAAGGAGCTCATTCCTCAAGAAGATAAAATCTCGTCGCCTCAGTTTGCTACGCTGCTTTTAATCGACCGAAGCACGGATATAGTGAGCCCATTGCTCACCCCGACTTCGTACAATGCTTTGCTCGAACGCTTCCTCGAGGCGAAATGGAATAAAGTTCCGGTCAAACAAGCGGAAAAGCCGGATAAAACCGTGCACCTAACAAACGATCCGTTCTTCAATGAAATACGCAATGTCCATGTGAAGCACGCTGCACGCATCATTTCACAGAAACTAAGAACGTTGAAAAGCTCGTTCGACGAAAGCCACGGGAATATACTTCTCAATTATACACTTTTAAGTTTCAAAAATCAAATAACAAAAAGTACTACATAAAAGAATCGGTTTGATATTCCATTTTGAGGGAAAGTGCGAAATCCATCCAAGAATACAAAGACAGTGTTTTTTTTAAATTGCACAAAAAACGGGCTTCTTGGGGAGCGCTTATTCTCAGGCTACAGTAATGCTACAGAAGTGCCAAAGGGTGGAAAATGTAGCTAAGGGTCTAATCTAGTGCGTAAGGGGTTTGCCTAGCTCTAGAAATAACTAAATCATTGCGTAATCGACGCTCGAAGTTGACCTTCTCTAAAATTGGTGCGGAGGACCCGGAGGACTCTGTGGGAAACTTACTGGAAGAAAGAATGAGGGAAGAATACACGTAATTCGACGACTGTAAACTATACTTAAAAAATTTAATAAAAACCATAAGAAAACTAAAAATAAGGTCTAAATAAATTTTAACATGGAGGTGGGTGGGGTTGGGGACGCAACTGAGAATGATCAACTCAGGCTTCCCAGCCTTTGTCAAGCCCCTTAAATTTAATAATCAAGGGACGGGGCTGAAACGGCCCGAAGGGCCGTCAAGCCCCTTAAATTTAAAAATCAAGGGACGGGGCTGAAACGGCCCGAAGGGCCGTCAAGCCCCTTAAATTTAAAAATCAAGGGACGGGGCTGAAACGGCCCGAAGGGCCGTCAAGCCCCTAAATTTAAAAATCAAGGGACGGGGCTGAAACGGCCCGAAGGGCCGTCAAGCCCCTTAAATTTAAAAATCAAGGGACGGGGCTGAAACGGCCTAAAAAGGGCTTTAAAATGATGTATGACTCAAAATGTTTTGTTTAAAACTTCTTGGGGTCACCTGAGGTCATGTGACCCCAAATGACCTCTATCAAGTGTGAATGTCAATCATCTTTAAAAATTATTCAAAAATATATATCACTCATTATTAGGAAGCTTTTTATTTATATCGAGGTCATTTGGGGTCACATGACCTCAAGTGACCTCAGTCGAGAAAGAGGATGAAAAATGACGTCGATAGGTATACTTTTGATATCTGTAACCTTACTTACTGGAAAAAAACATGATATTTCCTATATTACGTAATATTACGTAATATCACGTGGGCTCTAGAATTTCTAAACCCCCTTACGCACTAGATTAGACCCTAAGCTACAGTTTAAGCCTTTTGGGGACATTCTACGGCGATCCTGCTCGGAGATAAAGGACTCCCCAGATTTTGTGCAATTTAAAAAAAACACTGTCAAAGCCTTCGTAGCTAGAATGCCTCAATTGAATAAAGAACGCGAAACCTTAAATAATCACAGCGACCTGGCAACTGAGATCTTGGACAAACTATCCACCCAACCAGTTGAGCTTGAGCACGCAGCGCTTGCAAATTCGCCAGAAGAAAGCATGGAACTCATTTGCTCTGGGGAAATTGAGGTGATCTTCTTTTAGCTTTTTCGATTCAACAAAATTCAAAGGTTCCTTTCGAAGAAGCGTTGAAAATTTTCGTTCTTCTTTGCTGGAGAAATAACGGACTGAGTCAAAAGTTTCTTGACGCTTATCGCGCCGATTTATTGAACATTTACGGGCACGATAGACTTTTGTGTTTTATGAAGGCCGCCCAGGAACTGGTGCCAAATCCATGTCAAGATTCGTTCCGGTACTGGAGCGCGGATTAACGAGTTATCAGAACAAGTTTTTGGCACCTCGATTACTAGTGTGGAATTTTGTACGCTCAGAGCGAAAAGAACGCACGCCTCGGGCGCGACATTTTCATCAAAGGACTCAAACTCAACGAGACAAATAACGACCTTTTCAACCCTTCGAATCAAAGCTTCGTCTTTGGCAACAAATGGACCCCGCTAGTTTCAAGACTCGTCCTCGAATCAAGCGCGGGAAGCTGGCGAAGAATCGACGAGCTCCTGAAGTCGACGAAGATCCCATTCAGGTGCTTTCCCAATCGTAAATTTTTCATAGAAAAGGACGAAAATGATCGATACGTCTTAGCCCCTTGGCGCACCGCCATTTTTCAGTTGACGTTGATCCCAATCCTTCTGATCCGTTTTTTTGTCTTCTAATATCGATATTTTGACACATGGCCCCTATTTAGAAAAATGGCCGATCACAATTCACACATGCTGTTTTTTGTACCTGAAAATTTCGTATATCAGTTACAGTCGAGTAATTTTTCGCGCGAATCGAAGCATTTCGAATTTCGCGCTCAATTGGCTTCGAATAATTTTGTAATTTGAAAACTTATTTTTATTTACGGCGATCAAAGAGGCATTTCTTGGAAACGAATCAATTTTATTTACAGAAATATTTCCACTGAACTTGTAGAACTCAAATTGTCAATTTGAAAGGATGAATAATTTATAAAACAGCTAGAATTTCGAGTTTTGTTCCAACAGCGTCTGTGTGGTATTTCATATCGTGAATTTTTCGTCGAAGGGTGGAGGAGAACTTTTTCTTGCAGCTTGTGCATTTCTTTGGCGATCCTTGGTTGGAGTCTTCTGATGAAGTGCTCAGATCGAGAGTCGAGTGGATCAATTGATGAGCCTCGAGTGCGCTTCTGTGATAGAAGCTTTTGTCACAAGACTTGCAAAAGTACTTCTCAGAAGTGTCGATTTCCGGAATCTCCACGATGCGCATGTTGCCAAAGGAACTCATTCGAGTCTCGATAAATCGTTTTTTTCGCATCTTTTCGTTGCTCTTTTCTTCGATGTTGATCTCTAGTCTATCAGGCGCAGAGTTCAGCCTAGTTCGTCGAGCTCTTGTCTGGGTAACCATGGTGTCTTTTTTCAAAGTTTCTGTTTTTGAGTATGTGTGTCTCTTGCCCCTTTACTCGCGCTGGTTTTATATTTTTTGTCGACAGCGCCCGCGTGGTGGCGCTCGATGATCCAGCTGGTGCGAGCGCGCGCTCCACGAAGGGCACAGCGTGAGCTAATTGGCGATCTGATACTAATTACTGGGTCACTACTAGCTACAAAAAGGTCATGCTTTGGCTTTACACCTCTGGTACGGGCTCCTACTGCGAATGTTCTATTTCTTCTTTCGGAGTCGATTTTACCCTTTTGTATCTGTAAGCCCATCATTTAGACAGGTTTTTATCCAAATATTGTGACTCTTATACGGATTCTTGCCAGAAGAATCCACCATTCGCGTCGTTTCCGTTTTTTAAATTTTTTCTTGCTGAATCCTGACATTTTTTTATGAGTTCAAAAGTTCAACCGCTTTGTCTAAAAATTTACAGTAACAAGAAAATCAGCACAATAGCACTCTGTGATTTCAAAAATTGCCTGATTAAATATAGCTAATCTCTCAAGAGGTCCAAATAAAGCTTCTAGTTCCGCCACTTCATAAATCCAAACGGAAATTCGCCCCGTATACTCACGATGCAGGTGACCCATTCTTATGATTTTTTGAAAAACTACAACGATTAAGCCGACTACTTCTTCCTATCCAGTTTACAGTTTCTGTGGGATTATTCGGGCTGGGAATTTCCTAATCTGATATCTACAAATTGCGGCTTTTATGCGCTCCGGGAAGCATAAAATTGAAATTTGCCAAGTTGAAACACTTCCAGCGAAACTACCGACCGGAAATCGGAAAAAGTCGCAAGAAATTTCACGACTCAAGTTCAAAAGAGAGAACCGTCTCAAACGACTCAACTGTTGATATTTCCAGGTCACCGTTTTGTCAAGCCCAATCGCGATCTGTTTATCTAGCCGTGGATTAGGGCTACTTCCAGGGGATATTTACGTTGAAAATGGTATCACTCAAATTTGATAAACACGAAAATCCCCGAACTTCATGGGTCAGTTAATTGGGCCAAAGAATAATTTCGGATTCGAAAGGCGTCACTTCCGGGCCTATAAAGGGTTGATGATTTATGACAGCTCGGTTTATTGATCCCATGCTCTACCATAAAAACGAACTCTTGACAGGTCATTTAAATTTATTGGTTGTTTTTTGAAGTTCCCTTTGAATTTTGCTGGCTTGAATTTCTAAGGTGCCTTAAATATACAACTCATTACGTGCCCTGGTTGACATCTTGTGATTGAGGCTAATGACTTTAGCATCGATCGCCAATATCCATACTACATGTCTTTGCATAATCCCCCAAGTTCTGTTACCCGTGGTGCTTCTCATGATTTCAGCTTCGTCTTCCTCATTCTTTTGCCAAAAGAAATCAATAAAAAAAGTTATACTTCAATGATACTCGAGGGCCAGATAGTTTTCTATAGCCACGTCTTAGCATGCTCGCTATTGATTTACTGTAATTACTCGATCTTTTCAGGGAGGAGCAACAAGATGTCGAAATTGCTGAGAATCAAAGGGCGACAGCGATTTTCGTGTTCATGATTGGTGGCATTACTGCTTCCGAAAGTAAGTATATACACTCAGTTTCGTAATGCGCATAAAATTCTAGTCGCTGCACTCAGCCACCTCAGCAACCAGCTGGGACGCGAAATCATTGTGGGTTGTACCGAGACGATCACCGGAAAATCGTTTATCTCTCAGATTGTCAACTAAGATTACAATCTATAATTCTGCATAACTCTGCTTTCACTTCATATTTTCTGTCAACTTCAGCGAAATTCTTCATTCTTCATTTCCACTACCGTTTTTACAATCAGCGCTTTCAGAATAAATACAGAATGCTCCGGCAAAGTAGAATCTGTCGACCCTTGATAAATCAATGCAGGAGATCCTCGGATACCCTCGCATCAAGTGTTGTTCCGATAATTGCTCTTGGTGGCGTCGGAGTTGGAGTTTATTACGCTTCTAAAGCAATTTTGCACGACAAGTACTACGGGCAATCAGCCGCAGTCGAGGTGATGAAAGACATCGCATTTCTAAACGACGATTTGGACATCAAACTCGACTCTCCAAAAATAGCATTTTCCGACATCAATGAGCTGGTCGACTATTACAGGAACAATCGAGAGCCGCGCCGCTCTTTTGATCCGCCTTTCAGCAAATATCAAGGTACTAAATTGCGGAACTAAGGGGAAAATTTGTATATTTAGAAAATGGTGTTGAATTTTGTCGCTCACAGTTTTACGTGAAAGGACCCAACGACTGCTCTTCCGGTAGAAAAGTCGCCCAGATTTATGCGGAAACGAAGATGACTGAAGACGGGCCAGAGATTTACTACGCCCAAGCGGATATTTTTGACGTTGAGTCTGTCATTAAGGGTAGCCCTCGTCAAATTTCAAAACCTATTCTTATTGCCGATAATAGACCTGTTGAAAAGAATGATGAATAAAGGTCAATAATTTCTTTTCTGAATTTGCATGATTTAGAATGGTCATAAAACTTGTTCGACGATCTATATCGGGTTTGCCCCAACTCCGAGTCGATGGTACTCGGTTGGTGCGAGAGCCATATCCTCTTTATTCAAAATACACCCTTCTAGCGGGATCAGCTGCGCTTGGAGGACTTTTTGCTGCAGGAACTTATCTTTATCCACAGTTCCCAAGACATCCTTACACAGACTTACTTAAGGTTGAACGCAGCAGTTTTCAGTTTCAAAACTTCTTTCAGGACGTTAGCTACAGAGGCCTTCTTGTAACAGGATCATTAACCCTCGCATTTCCCGTTCTTCTTGTTGTCTACAGAAGAAGATCGTATTGGATCTACCGAGGAGCTCCTCAATATGTTGCGACGCTCTTTGGTTTACTAGGAAACGGTCGGAATCAATAGTACTCTTCCTTGATTTCAGAATAATTTCGATTTCAAAATAGCATATTTCAAATATGTCGAATTATTTCCAAATGAAATTACTGGTGATTTACTGGCTCAAGGCATGTTTCAAAAGATAATTGCGTTGTTTTTATTCTTCGTAATATTTTAAACACGAAAAAAAGCTTTTGGTACGACGTCAGCTGCAACAATGAGCGCTCTTTTGTCTCCTCTGGCGAAGGATGGTTGGTTTATGACCGCGATTTCGAGCAGTTTGCTGGTATTTTTCCAATCTATTCATCGAAAATATTACTTTCTTTAGGTCTTCACACTAACGTGGGCGCTATCAAAAGGCTATTATCATAATATTCTTTACGAAAGCAAAGCCGCTAAGTGGCAGAGAGAGCTAGAAATGAAGAATCTACAAGCGAAAAGTAATATTGAAGGATCTTCAAGTTGTTAATTAATTTAAAAATCCTGAAAAGAAGTTAGCGAAATCCTCATTTATAGAATGGCAGATGAGAAATCGGTCAAGCCAGAAAAGTCCTTTGGTGATAAAAGTCTTCTTCACAAAATCGGTTTTATATGGATGGCGATTGCGTTAATATGCGTCCCTATTTGGTGGAATAGTACAAGTGTCGAACGAAAGCCAATTTCATATGATAAAATTAACCAGCTATATGACCAAACTTCTGGAATTCCAGAGCGGGAAAGGTATCCCATCGACGAGTCTATTTTTTATAACGGATTAAAATAGCCTGATGACGCTATCGGACAACTACGATATCCTCTTATCTCTTGTTCTGCCCGACGTAAACGCCGATTGGAATATCGAAACTCACATAAACATCCTCGAGGACTGGTGCGCCAAAATGAAGCCATTCGCAAATTTCTCTGTGACGACGCAGGTCATTTACCATCCCGGAAAGCTGCATCCGACCAAGTATTTTTACCAGAGAACTGTTTGGTCCAAGGCTGTTCTGTCGACAGTTATCAACAACTTAGAAGGTCGGCTTCAGAGCAACCAGAATCCAAATTCAAAACTTGTCCAGGCGGTTGTGTTTGTGACAAACCGGAGGATTGTTTTAGAGGTATTTAATCTCATCACTTGAGACCAATTTTAAATAATTCAAAAGGATAAGAAGAATTCCGCGATTTTACCCGACTGGGGTATCTTCCAGTTTCTCTCGCTCGATGAACAGAATATTGAAGGAAAAGTCCTGGACACCGAGCAAATGCTAGAAAATGTCGTTTCAGAACTAGAGATTATTTTCGGCGATGTGACGGAAGAATCAAAAGGCTTGATGATTGAAAAGTTTATCAAGTCGTCTGGAAAGGCACTGAACAGTCTTTCGAAACTCGTCTCGCAGGTGAAGGTATGTTTTTTATTTGTTTTCTTGACTTTGCATATTTAATTTCCATTTCAGAACATGGTGATCAACACGCGAGTGTCAGAAAACATCGAAGAAGCCGCCACTTGTGGGCTTCAAGCGCTCGAATCAGAAAGAGAACTCGATGAACGTCTTTCACTTGCCCGAAAGTCCTTTCGAATGTCTGAAGGCGCGTTTTTCGACCCTTCCCTTCTCGAACTTCTTTATTTCCCCGAAGATCAAAAATTCGCCATTTACATTCCTTTCTTTCTGCCTCTCGCTCTACCAATCCTTTCTCGCTTCAAACGAGCCGTTGTGTACTTCAAAAACCAAAACTCTGCCGCTTCAAAAGTCAAATCTGACTAAACTTGTATAACTATTTTTATTGAATTTTGATGTTGATTCAAACGCTTCAGAATAATAATGGCTGTCCATACTTACAATGTTGCCATGACCTGCGGAGGATGCAGCGGAGCTGTTACTCGAATCTTGACCAAGCAACTTGGCGAAGGCGAAAAATTCGATGTTTGTTCCCAAGTCACTAAAATAGCAGTAAATAATTCTTTCAGGTGAATCTCGAAGCAAAGACTGTGAAAGTCCAGACTGCCCGGTCCGCCGATGAGATCAAAGAAATCATCGCCAAGTGCGGAAAAGCCACTACCTTCGTGAGCACCGACGATGCCGCGTCTCTTTAGAAAAATCTTTTTTTTCTGTGCAATAAGACTACAAGTCTTCTAAATGATTGAAACTCCCATTGATTCATTATTCTACTTATGCCTTACACAGTTATTAACCCGTTAACAGGCGCGAGGCCCTGTCAGGGCCTTTTGGCCTTTGGAGCGCGATAAAATGGTCTAGGCTCTATTTTTCACGAAAAAATTTTATATTTCTGTGAAATTCAATCGATTCTCTATCCGTGTGTTTGATTCCGGAAAGAATTGGCCAGAAATTAAAAAAATGAGAGGCGAAAGAAAAATTTCAATCGGCGAAAAAAAGGGAAAGCGTAATACAATGCGCTCGCGTTTTCCCTTTTTTTTGAATCTCAGCGCCGAAATTGACGTAACTTCAACCTCAATTTTTACCCACTAAACGAGTCAGGAAAAGACTAAATCAAAAAATAGAGGAAAGATTAGACGCTTGTGAATCATCTTGTCTTCTCAGAAATGATTTTCTTAAACCCAATTACTCAGAAAACGCCAAAATGTGCGAGGCCCTCTCACGGCCTCGCGGCCGTTAACCCCTAATATTCAGTGCCTAGTTAACGGGTTAACCGTCCTTTAGCATGTGTTCTTGATTAAATCATAAATTCTCCCGGTGAAAAAGCATTCAAAATTTCACAATTGCTAGAATGGAAAACTCAGAGCGTCTATCAGAAGCAGTTGAGCAAGCAAAACTAGAGCAGCAAGTTGTGATTGAAAAATTAAACTCGAAGTTAAAAGAATATGAAGCGCTCGATAATCTCTTGTCGACTTTCACGGACAAAAGAGTTCACGAAGCAATGATTCCTATTTCAAAAAGTAAGGGGTATCGAGGTGCATCATTAAATGACCATGTTCAGTCGCGTTTTGCCCAGGAAGATTTGTAAATACAAACGATATAACTGCGTATCTTGGAGCGGAGCACTTCGCGGTCGTTTCATGCAAAACTGCTAGAAAACTCGTTTCACATCGAAAAGGGATGATAGACGAACAGATTCTAAAGCAGAAACAAGCAGCGGATCTTGTCAGTCAGCGAACAGACAGCTTGAAGAACATCGAAGAGGATCTCATAAAAGAAGAATTGACCGAAGATGACGAAAAACTGGCAAAGACCTTTAGCGATCGGAAAGCTAGGAAGACTGACGAGGAGATTATGGAAGAAATCGCCGAAAAATTAAAGTAAGATTTATAGCTATAAAGTCTCTGATTATTTTGTAGGCGAACAAAATTGCGATCAGATGAAGAAATCTGGAGTGAAATCAGCGGCTCTTCCGGAACAGAAAGAAAGAAAAACGAGACTCTAAAGACAGAAAGTAAACCTGCTCCAAAACAAATCAAAATTGAAGAGATCTCCGATGAAATTATTTCCCCAGAGCTAGAAAAGAAAGAAGAGCTTCCAAAACATAACGTCCACTTCGATTTTGACGAAAAAGCTTCATCATCGTCCGATTCTGATCCGGAGCCACCCCTCTCCCTCAAGTTCAAATTTACAAACACGGATGTTTCTCCGAAGTTCTCCGATAATATGGAGTACAAGACCCCCTGGGATATTTTAAATAATCACAAGAAAAGGAAGCAACATGGAATTTTGAAAGCAAAGTCTTCAGTTGAAAATACTCTTCCCTTGCAAGCTGGGTCTTCAGGTAACTAAAGATTCTGAGTAAAAGATTAATGAGTATCATTAGGAATGTTCCCGACGCAGATTCCGAGAATCCCACCGAAGAGACAGAATACAGCTTTTGGAGATGATATTCTTGAACGAAACGTCTCGTCCCAAACATGTAAACCTCCAACAAAATCCAAAGGCAGTCTTTTCAAGCAAAGACGATTGCGTTCATGATCTTCTTGATAGTTTTTTTGTGCTTCGATGCTGCCGTGTGAAATAAATAAGTGAAAAACCAAGTACAGTCAGTAGGTTTATTAGAATAAATATCGATATATGTGCTGGGAAATGAGTCCAGTCATTAATTGCAGAGAGCACATATCTTTTTTGCACATAGAATTTTTGGGTGAGTGAGCGAACGTAAGGCGGTACAAGCTTTTATCAACCTAAAACATTTTGCTAGTTTGCTGCGTTAAATTTTAAATTTAGCCTAGTCCATGCGACGCCTTGATCTTACCGATAATATTTCCGTCGTTGCCACTCTCAGGGCGGATTCTCATCGTTGTCTTCGCAAATGAGTAGTATTTCCCACGGGCTAAATAGATTTCAGGGAATAAATCCTTCTCTTTTCTTACCTGATTGCCAAAAGACTCCGTCATGTACACCGGTGTACTTTCCATTGTGATAAACGCCGTTTAAATTTGAGCTACCACAGGCACTAAACCACCAGCCAGACTTTAGCCAGTATCCACAGCTGTACTTTGAGTGCCTAAAAATTATAGAATGCTCACTTCTATAGCCTCATACCTATCATTATCCTGATCAGGCGTTGAGAATCCTACGTTGTTCCGATAGAAGCTATTTCCGGCGTTGCCTCGGACGTATTCTGCCTGTCGGACGGCATAATTCAAGCTTTCTCCGGTGATGGAAAAGCTAGAAAAATTATTGCAAGTTCCCTAAATATCACCTACTTTTTGTATACAGCGGTGTAAGTGCGTCCATCAGTATCTTCCATTATGATTTCTAAGAGCATCGGTTTGTTCATTGTCAACCGGTAAATTGCTTCAAGGCCCAGCCACAGCTCACCGCCGCTCAACTAGAGAATATCTTTATTTACTTGTTTCTCTCCTTTTTCATTACTGTTCCGAAGCCATTTTTGTAATCGTTCCATCCTCTGGTAAAGTTTGTTTCGCCATCCACTCGGCGCTGGATTATTATCCAGCCTTTTCCCTTTATAAATTCGCAGCGAACAGTCAGCGCCTTATAAAAATAATAATTTCAGACTTTTTTCTATTCTTACCCTTCCACGAACGTCGCGGATTCCACTCATATCATATTTTCCGTCTACTGCATTAGGCCCGTCAAAGGCGCTACAGTCGGTCGCGTCAGTCTTTTTCGTGACCGGCTTCGATTTAGCAATTTGATACAACTCCCTTTCGAATTGCTCAGGCATACTGATATCCGAGCGACTAGGCGAAGATTGATAGTTGTCTTGGTCGTTCCGGCGGTAAGACGACGGCTAAAGACGGTTGATTGGATATTGATTTTTATAAATACCTGTGGTTGTTTTTTATATCCTGCCATTTCATTCACAATCATATCCTTTCTTGGGATTAGAACTTTTTGACTTCTAATTAATTTTTGAGCTCTAAGACTTTCCTTCATTGTGCTGTGGATGGTGTTTACGCCGTCCATCATCTCCTCGAGAATTCGCTTCTTTTTCTCCATTACATCTACCATGTATGCATATTTCTGATACATATTGTCTATCTCCCCAATTTTCGGCTTTAGGCTTTCTCAAGAAAGGATCAAACATATTTCGCCTTCCAATACTCGCTGTTCTCATTATTTGATCCGTTATCTAATGTTCTACTGACACGACTTAGCTTCTTTTCTTGCTCTTCAGTTCTTTCTTCAAGCCTCCTAGAATCCATGTCTACTGCGCCAAGCTCATTAATGATCTTGTAACTCGTCTCATCTTGTTCTGTCTTCACGCGATTTACCATATCGATCGTGCTAAAGACGCAGATAATTTATGTGACTCGCGACAAATTTAATTTTTACCTTCTAAGTTGGCCCTCTAAATGAACAATTCTGTCCGGAATGTTTGCCAGAATCTCCTGGCATAAACGCTTTTGCTCAAAATTTCCAACAGGAAAGTTTGTCGTGCAGAAATCGGTCATCTCAACGGACCGTTCAAATGGGTTTTTGTAAGTCTTTGGTCTGTTGTAATTAAGTTCTTCTGTAAAGAGTGGTATCGGGATCGGCTGAGTTGTCGTCGTTCTCTTCGTTGTGGTGGTCCTCCTGGTTGTTGTAATTACTTGAGCAGGTCGAGGGGTAGTGTTTGGAGGCTGATACATGTTTTGAGCGGCGGGAGGATTATTTGACGAGTAGGAATTGTAATTGGTGTTGCTTGGCTAATTTAATACCGTCAGTTTCAAAAAGCTGTTTTCGCTGACCTGTTGTTGATAGTACCCATAATTATTTTGGCTTCCATAAGACGATTGACTGCTTGAGTAACTGTTGGACAAAGAACTGCTTGAAGAGGATGATCCGTAATTGTTCGACACGTTTCTAGGAGTTATTACGTAATTACCGTTGGTGACAACGGCCCTGTATCTACCTGTCTTTATTAGGTCGACGGTATATGTTGCCCTTGTTAGAGACAAGTTCAATCTTCAATGGGTTCTTGACCACAATTCCCTGATTGAATCTGTAGCTTTCAAGAACTTTGTTGAAGTTGATCGCATTCGTGAGATCATTTTTCCTGTGATACAAAATCACTCTTTGTTGATGGCTCCGCTCAGTAGGGTCGGATGAGTAGCGATTGTACACAAATATTGGCGCTTTTACTTTTTCTTCGTAACTATAAAAATGATAGAGAAAAGAAAATTATAAATTTTTAGTTAACTTACGGGTCATTTTGCGCTAGAATCTGTCCAATAAGGAACAGAATTAAAAATTTCCTTCTTTTCATATCTGCACTCTCAATTTATCGAATTTCGCATATTCCCTTCTCGCTGCTCTTGTGAAATGAAGTCACACATTCGAAACCTGGAGCGTTTGATTAAGTCAAATTGATTGATTAAAACATTGATTAAAATTATTATTGGCATAAGTTAATTAAGCTCGCTACAAATCTTCCTTACTTTGGACACGCGTTTTAATTGCTAGGATCTCCGCTGATGAAGAGATTCTCTCCAGATCATCATTTATTTTATATTTGTGTCTAGCTACGCTCAATTATCAGCCTAACTCAGCATTTTCCAGTTGATTTCGCTGCTTCTTCCTTGTTTTCATTATATTCTTTCTAGATCACGAGAAAATTGATATTGTTTCTGTGAAATCGGGCCGGGCCGAGTTCAGTTTGGGCTTTGGCATTGCTCGCAATTCGCAACAGTAGCCTGACATGAGCCGCTCCCTGTGCTGGAAGTACTGGGATCATGTCAGCAACTGTTGGCATACAGTCCCTTGGCACTACGTAGAGCAGCTTCAGCTTCAAGGCAATGATTTTCAATCTGAAATACTTGCTGAAAATGAATATGCAATTTTAAAAATCTATCAAAAGATCACGATGACATCCAGGGACAGCCCCGTCAAAGCTCAAAGAGCAGTTATCAGGAATTTGTCCCATGCGACGAATATCCCAATCTAACTGTCGTCGACTTGATGGAAAATTCACTTCTTCAAAGACCACACCGCCTGGGTCTGAAGAATGAATACGAGAGCGCTGAAGGTACTTTCCGTGTAAACAAATTCAAATGACATTGCCCATCGGTAATGATAATGGCGATAATGTCAATTTTTGACTTTGGGAGAACTTACAAACTTCGAAAGAAATGTAGTTTGTTAGTGTTAAAAAATGAGAGAACGAATTACCATTCGGGTCTTTATTCCGCAAGTGCAGAATGGTAATGTACAGTTATTTATCGATGACAGTTTTCGAAAGTTCGCCACTTGAAGCTCGAAGTGTTTACACGATAATAGTGCCGTGCTATTCGTAAATGACAGGCGGTCTTTAAAAAAATGCTCTCGCAGAGGGCCCTTATAATAATTTCAGAGTACCGAGAGGGCCGCGAGCCGATGCCGACGCCAGTCACGAGAAAGAGCATCCTCGAAATCAACGAGGAACTGTTGGCAGAAAAGTACGATCATCGTCAAGTGGCACAAACCGTCGATCCTCAGAAATGTAAATCTCACTCTGTTTTAGACGTCCAGGAAAGCCGGATACAATTATGCATGACGATCTTTCGTAAGACAACCCTCTAGTTTTAGAGCTAACGCGACTAACACTCACACCTCGAATCAGAACGTAGAAAGATATTTATCCGATTACTCTGATTACAAAACGCTACAACAGTAGAGCCAGTTCCGCAAAATCACAGACGAATGAGCTCAAAGAACTGCGCAAGGAACTTTCCGAGCCCATTATCAAAGCAGATTTCAGCGAGAGCCTGAACCAGCCGCAGCTTATTTGGCTTCCCCAAAAACGGAGAAAGGAGAAGCGAAGTTTGGCTGATCTGGCGATGAATAAGAAGAAATTGACAAACATCTCTCTGTTGGATAATTTCAAGCCACCCGAAGGTAGGTTTCCGTGATATTTGGCAGTCAAAAAAATTTATTAGGAACGGTTATAAAAATGACGAACCCAATCACACGACATTCGCGATGGATTGATCCGGAGCTCAAACGACTCGGGTACAAAGTCGAACCGATTCAAGGAACCAAGGTTCGACCACCGACCCAATTGGAGAACTTTCAATGCACTCCAATCAAAGCATATCCATCCTTTGATGATGATGACAGCCTTGCTAGTCGACCGATGACCCCAGTTGGTATCTTACGCTTCAAACCCGAATTGCATTTTTCATCTTTATTTTAGAAATTCAACGACTACGACTTTTGCCATCGCCTATCGTCCGCAAATGCATGGATGATGCTCTTCGGCTCGGGGTTCTGGATCAAGACGACACGAGTATGATCATGAATAGAATTCGAAAAGATGAATACGAGGGAACACCAAGCAGAGGCAACACTCCAGAGCAAGGCAAAAAGGGCAGAAATATGAAAGATCTCGATATGAAAAACCCTCAGCGACTTATTTCGCCACTGAAATATCAACGCCAGCCAAGAAACTCTGGCGATCCGATTTATAAGATTGACAACAAAGAAGTTATTAAACCGAAGTGGAATCGACAGCCTATTGCTTACAGACGTAAGCTTACCTATGTTAAATATTTATTTACCCTTCTTATAGCCGATCACAAGACAGAACCAATAGTACCACTCCACCTCGAAATTCCATTCTTCCGCGAGAGTCGCGATCGACGACTTCAGAATCGAATGCAAAACTGGGAGCGCTCTCTCCGCGAAACATCAAGAGAACCGAAGGCACATCAACGCGCTCGCCAGCAGCAGCAGCATAATCAACTTCCATACGGACAATATGAACGGTCGCTTTATGCTCAAGAAGAATTCTCCCGCAGAGGTATAAATTTATACTCAAGTCAAAAGCTCATTATCCTAGGCGTCGATTACCCGAGACTCCACATGCATGGAGATCTGTGCGACGAGTCAAGCCAGCACACTGGGCCTCTATCCGCTCGACCGGAAGCGCCTCCATCATCTCCCTGTCGCGCAATGTTCAATTCTTGATTGCCACTTTCTGCCACAGATATATACTTTTATTTTTATACAAATATACTATCTATTTTTCTAAAGTCAACCGCATTCATATTGTTAAAAATGCAGAACATGCCGGGCACCCTTTTTATAAATGCCACGAAAGAATGGGTAGATTGTTCACAAAACCGGTGGTGCCATTTTGCATCTTCAACGCAACTTTTCACACCACCGATAGCAGAAAATCTGCGATTCATCAATTGCGCATAAGCAAAAGGTTATACTCGTCATGGGGTCTATATTACTGGAGATTTCATGTTTAGCAATTACTGGAGTTGACTCAGCAAAAATAAAGAAGAGAAGTAGTCCTCCTTGATTTCAATTATCGACGGCAAGTAAGACCAGGTCAGTTCTTCTTACGTAAATTCATTTAAGAGCCGCTAGTCGGATCAGCGGTGTTTTGTCAGAGACAGAAAGTTAGAAATCTCCGTCTACAAAAAGTGATCCTCTTCAAAGTCCTTCCCGACCGAGTTGGCATTTTGAAACTCATTTTTGGGTTGATTTTAACGTCCACTCACATCTCGCTCAAGAAAGATGCGTTTTCGTCTTGTCTAGCAAAGTAGTACACGAGCGGCTGGTAACCAATCTATCGTAACAAATCTTTAGCCGTCGATTTATCCGTGACCTCGCCTGAACAAACACTGTATGCTCTCGTCCGTCGTCCTAATACCACATGATATCGAGATTAGCTGCTGCTCGAGTGGGCATTGCGGGCGTTTCCGTTCTCTCAGCTGATAATTAGATTAATTAGCAGACGGACTTTTTGAGCGGCCCAAATAACAAAAACACTCTTTTCCCACTTGAAAGTGCTTCAAAGCATAATTTCCATTACGTGCTAAGCAGGAAATCAGTTTCGTCTTCCGGAAGTAGATAATTGCCGTGAGAGCGTGCCTCCTCTCCCGTCTGGAGTTTTATTGTGATAATTTGATTTTTTGGATATTTTAATTACTACTGATAATTTTCCTTCTCTCAGAGTATTCCCACACTGTTAATAATAATAACGTACAGTAGTTCCTGTTTAGGAAAATTAATTTTCAAACATTTTTATTTGAAATAATGAGCGACCGCAGAAAGTCGTTTCTGAACGTGCCATTTTCCCAGAGACGCTTTACTACATGACTTACAGCTTGGTTAATGATGAAGGATACGCCATTTCCGTTCGATTTTATATGATAATGCGTTTAGGGTGTGAAAAGCATGTGTTGGGAAGTCAATATTACTTCCGCCAATCGCCACTGGTAGTAAGACTTGCGTTTGAAGTGTTGAGAGAGCTGTCTTTGAAACGACAAGCGTAGACGTTAATCGTTAGACTTTTGGCTCGAAGGAGAAATGAACACTTTCCACAAATCATCTCTCAATAATTTCGGAGCCCTTCAGGATCAAATGCCTCGCCAGTTGATCCACTTGCACAATACTAACGGTACGCGCTCGCATGCTCAAGGGTCGCAGATGCAAATCTTAAAGACATCGCGAAAATTTCAAAAAATTTGCGGAAACTTGCGCCGTTTCAAACGGGCGGAGCCTTGACCGGGACACTTGAGTGCTTGAATTAGGCGAATCCATTATCGGCCGCCTTTGAGCTTGAATACAAATTCCAAAAATTGCAGAAAATCTATATAAAAGCGCATTTATCAAGTTGAAGCAGGTGCGCCGGGAGAAGTAACGCTATTATTTTCGAGGGACTACTTAGAAGTTGCTTTTATCAGCGCTCACGGAAATGCTAATCAATTATTTTTCATAGACCGCTATTTGCGTACTTTATTCCGTAAGAGAGAGAGAGACTCATGTCTCTTCAGTCATTAACCGTCTTAGAAAAGCCTGAGCAACACCTTCTCCTGACACCTCCAGTCGAAGATAATCACCCTGCCCTTTCCAATAAGAACCTAGCCCAACCTAAGTAACATCTTATAGCTTTGCAACGTGCGTATTACGACCCATTACGAAAGCAGAGCTGCCATGCTTCGTGTCAAATTATTACGTCTGCGCCATCTTATCCTTCTGAACTTTAAATCTGCAAATTCTCTAGCAGAGAGAATACGACATGATGCACTCACTAAAGCTCCTCAATAGAAAACTTGTTGGTTGAAGACTTTTATTTGAACTTTTTGGACGAGAAATCCAGACAGATATTTCCTCGACGAATCTTGTTCTACTTGTGTAGCTACATATGTAGACATGGGCAAAACAAAGCCCAATAAGCAAATTTCAGTCTGACAGACTCACTGGAGCATTATGTATTGCACAAAATCAGCTTACACCCTGTCATCCCCATCTAAAGCGCGCGCGTAATACCAGTATCCTGTTTGAGTTTAGTTGTATGTATTTTCATGCGTCGTCGGGTTAAATTTTTTCGTCGCCGGAAACGGACCACATCCGCCGCAGACACTCGCTACCAGTTGTCCTCCCACTTGTTAATTTATTTCAACAACAAGAAGCAACACGGAAGTTAAATATGTCACTTTATGCGTCTTCTCCTCTGACACACCGCAGCTCAAATTGACAACGAAAACAGTTAACTCCTTGAGAACTTTCGGGGGCTCATAAACTCCCCTCGTTCGCACCATAAACAAAGTCTTCTTAGCAATCCCATGTTTCCGAAAATATCCCCAAAGGAAAAACAGCCATGACAATTTCCGATCAATATTCTTAGCCCAGATTCGCGGGCATTTCCGCTCTAGAAAGGCTCCCATAAAACTCAGATTTCTCACTTTCATCCCCTTCATCAAGCCCTGGGAAAAAGTGTCAATCAGATACATGTTCTGCCGGTGCTTGTAAATCGTGAAAAAATGCGGAAATGCGAAAAGCGCGCATTAGCGTTTGATTTTCGTATTTTTGGTTCACACGAAGGCCAAGTGCAATTTCGCCAAGAAGATCAAACGGTGGGAGCACGCGCCTGGTACCACTTTATGGGCTTCATCCTGCCTGATTAAGGCGCGTCTATCAAAGGAAACTCTCAAGTTCTCATAGAAAACTTGAACTTGAGGAGATTTTTATGATTTTCTCTCTTGCAAGTTTTATCCAAGGACTTTTTGATTTACGATTGATTTGTTGGGACAGCTGAAGAACTGGTGACAGGTAAATGTTTCACGAGTATACCTAACTTTTTGAAATTTTGGCGTCCACTTTGCACAAACTTCGCTCAAACACCAACACAGCTCCCCTTTTTTTTGAGCGGTTTGAACAGGCATGCGTGGCATAAAACGAACACCGCTCAAGTACTTTTCCAAATTGATCCACAACTAACAAGCACTACTATCGGCACTTTCTTATCTACAAGCAAAACTTGTTGTGCAACCGTTTTTCCGTTGCAAATGTGGATAAATAAGATAATAACGGGAAAACTGACAGAACTGGAAAATTTAATAAAATATTTTCTAAGTTATAACCGACGATTTTCGTTCAACCTCTTTTTGGCTGAACTTAGCAATATTTCCCTGTGGTCATTAAAAATACCAAATCTGCTCCCCACAGCCAAATCTCGTTCAGCAATAGATGCATGGCTGCATGTATACCAGTGTGATATTTTTGGTCGATTAACTGTGCCAAGAAAAACAGAAAGCGCGCAGTTTTCTGATTATATTATTTCTAGCGCTCCAAATAGACTTAGCCCTTTGTATAAATATTCTAATGAGGAGGATTAGAAGAGTTCTTACAAGGCGCCGACTTTTGTTGAGAGCCGGAGCTCAACATAAAAACTTGGAGTGAAGCCGAGAAGATCAATGTTTTATTTTATAAACAGGAAAGAAGTTCAATCATTCAGAGAAACATCTGAACTGCAATTCAAGAGGAGAAATATAGACATTGAATTTCACGGACATCGTAAACTTCAATAAATCGATATGTGTTTCATAAATCATTCTCCGCCCGTAATCTGCTTCATCACGCCATCTGTGACCTGCTTACCCAGTTTTACAGTAAAACATGACTTCTATCACTTCCCTACTAGGGCAGAAAATTTGCTAGTTATCAAGATTTATATTTTACTTTATGCTTGCTTTAGTAATTATCCATATTCTCCTTGATTATCTTATAATTAAAAAAAAAATCAGTGGTCGAAAAAGACTAATAATGAGTTCAAGTTACTGTCGTTATTCGGTCAAAATAGCATATTTTCTTCTGCTAGTATAAATGAGGTGAATGAGTTCCAAAATTCCAAGACGGCCTTTAGCATATTTCGAGTAATAAGTGGCAATGATTGAAACAGAAAATCGCTCACAATTCTACGCGAAAAACAACAATTAAAAAAAAAACAGAAGCTCAATCAAAAAGTGATTAATTCAAGTAGAGGCGGATAATTGTTAGCTTTCCCCTGCGGGAGTGTGCCCTAAGCGTGCTACAAATCGAATTATATTTGGATCAATTTGTGACTTTTGCGACCCGCCAAGCCGGTGGTGATGGGCACCGTATGGCTCAGCAGGGGAGTAGATCAGCTGATTAATATGTGCAACTCTAATTCAGTTACAGTTTTTACAGTGAGACGCGCCAACTTCACACCGTGCTCTGCGGGCGATCAAGTAAATATTGAATCCCTAAAAACTTCTTTGTTTATTTTCATCTTGACTTCATGAGCGTATTTTTACGTCTCGTAGACGTCTCCAAGGCGTAGAATTATGTGTTTCTCCGTGTTATGCCAATTGACAAGCTCTGGTTCCCACCGTCTATATTGTCGGCATCCTTTTTTCATGTGGACCCAGGGTGTATACGCCTTATGCAACTGTGCGTGGAAAATATGCCCCGGCCCATATTATGCCAAAAATACATATTACCGCACAAAGCCTTTTTATATGCCGCCATAATCTACATAAGGCCTGCGTCAGATTTTCACAGAAATGAGGAAAGGATAGCAGGGTATTTTGTCCTTCTAAAATAGAAGTTCCTAAACAGGGAAGTCTGAAAAGTTGAGCAGAGGAAATAAGTGCCAGTTTACGACGGTGAGTAATGCTCTGACTCCTCGATCTCAAGATCTGAAGCACGAGGTTTATCCATTGCGCCAACCGGCAGTAGAAGTTTACCAATCATCTCTTCATCCACAACCTTTACTCATGGCATTTCCATATGGGAAAGATCATGGATTAAAATTAAGAACCTCGACCTAATCTTAGGAACTGACTCAGTCTTCTGAACTTTTGCCGGTCCTCATGATGCTCCTCGTCAATCTGACGAAAGGGTGATTCCGGAATATACCGGCGCGAGCTTACACATGTACTCTCATTCTTACTCACGACTGAATGGGTATGCTTGCGACAACGGCAACGACTCCTGGCTAGGCAAGGTTGGTATCTATTCAGTTTCACCCAGGTCATCATTTATCAAATTCAGCCCAGTCTGCCTAGATTTGCAGGCTGCGCAAAGCTGACGTTTCCTGCAGGTGTCGAGAATTGATTAGTATCCCGCCTGGTGCACCCCAATGATAATGATCCGATCCTATACTGATAAACTGGCAGAGTGTACCTGCGTCGCAAATGTAGGCCGAGAAATCGGCGCCTATTGTGTTGCAATTATGGAACGGTCACCCATGCGCAAAAACAAATATATACAATACGGTCACGTGTTTGTCCCCAGATCCGTATCCGACATTTTGAGGCCTCGGATGCGCCAGACTGGAGAGTTGATTTTGATAAGCTCTCTTACTTTGTTTGACGGGCGAAAGTTGCGCAATTATAGTGCTCGTTGGCAATCAGTTATTTTGAAATCAAGTCGTTCTGTTTTCTCCTTAGGTTCTCCTAAGGTTATCGCCATCCTCAAGTGGATCAAGTTTATCAAACAAAGCTCAATTCCATTCCCTTTCCAAAAAGAACCTATCGAACAGCATGGAGCTCATCTTCTACAGCTGCTGTTTATAGCAGCTTTCTTCTGTTTTGTCCGGGGATTATTTAATGATAATGTTACTTGAAAATCGTTAAAATGAATTCGGACGATAGTTGACGGTGGTGTTTTGTGATAAGAAGACTTAAACAGGGATAAGCGAATTTATCCCTTCTGATATCTCAGACTTCCGAACAACTGGGACAAGATGCCGGCTAGACTAAGGTTCGAAGCTGTTTTTGATGATGTTGCCTTGTAGAAACAACGGATGTTTTACGGCTGTTGCTTTCGGAGGGCTATTTAGAAAGCTTTCTTCGCGCCGCCATCACCGTAGTAATGATCATTAACTTGCGGCGGTGCGTGTGTCAGAAGTGGTGTTCGTGCGCCCGATTTCCGGCCCCAATCAGCCGCCCAGATCAAACGCGCCTAGTCCTTATTGACACGGTTTTAAACCCCTCTTCTTCACTTGCTACAGTCGGATTAACCACCCATGAATCCACTCTTCTTCTATTTTTACGCTACGCTCCGGTTGGAGGTAATCTTTACGCTAATGAAGCTGCTACTCGAAAATAAAATCTGTGTTGTGCCAGCAAGGAGCACTATTAATTTGAGCGAATGTTTGCGTCTAGTTTATCGTGTAAAAACATTTGTAAGTTCTCTGTTTCAGGAGCGATGAGTGTGATGCGAATCTCTTGCATGGAACAACTTGTCTACAAGTGTCTCGAACAGAGCCCGGCGCGCTGTTTCTTTCAATTTTGAATTGGCTCCGATGTTCGACAAGATCCAGTGAACAACTCGAACTACACATTCACCAAAAACAGCGTGCCCCTTCATTAAACTCGAGCCCGAGAAAATGCCAACAAGTGTCTTACATCTCCTCACATTTTCTTAAATAAACCCTGCTCAAAGCAGGAAAACTTCTTGAAAAATTGACTTGGCTGGAACACCTGTATTATTTCTATAAAATCAAATTTCAGGCAGGGAATTACCGTTTGTTTTCCATGAATTCTTGAAACAGCGCGATAATAATCTCGCATTTTCGCCAATTCGCGCGAATTTTCAGCACATTTTGTCGCATCAGATGATCCCAATCAGTCAATCCATCTCGATCTACGAGAGGGACAAAATTCCCACAACTATAAAACTGCTATAGGATGGGCCGTAAACACGTAAAAATTATCTGCGTACTTTTGCAACATAATCGGCCGTGTAAAAAAGAACTACTTGAGAAAAAAATGGAAGGGTTGTTGTTGTGCGGTTTTATTGCTGTGCATGGCATGGACAATGATCTCAACCATATTAAATGTCAACGATGGGTATTGTTTACGCCGTTTGTTTACTAATAGTGGCGGAAGTCAACTGCGGCGGCGAAGGGGGCTTCCGGCGGTTGACCCAGATTGTGTCAGTAGGCTCAGGCAATACTCAGACCATCGGAAATACCCGATTGACCTCGACAAGGTCAGTCAAATTAGTTCACCTCTCCTAAACCTCAAGGAGCTTCCTAAATTACTCCAGCAAATATTTTATTCCGAGCATCTTTGAGACAATTTCTGGCTCTTAATTGATAACAGTAATACTCCTAAACAAGAATTTTAGTACTCTGTGGCCACTTTCTTCCTGTATCTACCGTGTTTTTGGGCATTTCTTTTGCGAGGTGAGAAAACAAGCTTTTCTACACTGTAAATTCAATTATCGTTTTTAGCGCGGAAGCTTTTGAAATCTCTTGACGGAAGCAAAGCTAACCTTTCTCCACAAGCAGTGGCCAACAACGGACACCTTTTGTCACCACATCACAGCAACACTCAACTCACAACGGACCCTCCTTTTCCATAATCGTTGTTTATTTTAATCAATATGCTACGCGAAAAGGCAGAAGTGGTACTTTCAGACTCAAGATGGAAGGATAATCCAAACTCAGCATGATGGGATAATCGTGAAGTATGTGGCGTAATTAGGTGGCAATTTGTTGCGCATCTTGCCTGCGCAATCGCGAAACGCAACGCGCGCGCCATGCGCTGGGTCAGGAGGCGCCGCGGAGTTAGCGCGTTCTCGCCGCCGCGCTCAACTGGCGGCGCTGTCCGCTCCCGTCTTATATCCCTGCCCATCACCTCGGTCACCATATCAAATCCGTGTTCAACAGTTAACACTCACAAAAAAATCAAAACAACGAAAAGTTTTTCAAACACAGAGTTTACTTCAAAACCTTCAAACGAAAACCAAAGAGATTTAACGAAAAAAAAATCAACATGCAGCCACAACTTTCTCCCACTCAGCTCCGATACCTCACCACCCCACAAATCGTCCCACAAATGGGCATGAGCGTTCCTCAGGTCAACCCAATGATGGCTGCTCAATACGGCTACGCTCAGCTGATGCAAGCCCAGGGCACACGAAAGAACGCCACTCGAGAATCGACCCAGCAGCTCAAAGTCTGGCTCAAGGAGCACCAGAAGAACCCCTACCCAACCAAGGGTGAAAAGATTATGCTCGCTCTCGTTTCCGGTAAGTGAACACTTTCAAAACTGACCTATTTATACTCGACTTTGAAGTCGGTCCTTATCTCCTTTTCTTATTGATTTTGAAATTTATTTATTCTTTTAGGCATGTCCTTGACTCAAGTCTCGACCTGGTTCGCCAACGCTCGCCGACGACTGAAGAAGGAGAACAAATGGTGCCCAGAAGGAGGCTCCGAGGACAACGACGGATCTGATAGCGGCTCTGTCACCGCTGAAGATTCTACCTCTTCCATCGAGCAGCGAGTTCCTACCATCTCTGTCACCGACGAGTCCGGCTACTCCTCCTCTGACCGCGACGCCGGTTCCCCTCCAGCCTGCACTGTTCCAGTCGCTCCTCCAACCGGCGTCTTCCCCAGCAGTCTCCTTGCTCCTGGCTTCGCTGGCGACATTCCTCTCCCACGATACATGCCCCGATCGCTTGAAACTTCTCCCGTTTCCCTCCCAAAGCGCAAAGCTGGAAGCCTCTGGTCAATCGCTGACATCACCGGCTCTTCATAAGTTATTTTCTCCCCCTTTACTTTTTCAAGCTGTATTCTCGAGCAAATTGATAGCTGTAACCTTACAAACTACCTGTACATCTGATTGTAATTTCCGACCATGCAGTGCACTGTAAATATAATATGATATTTTATGAGATTTACCGAAAATCAACAAATTTTTATCAAAAAAGACAACACTTTTTCTTAAAAAAACAATGACAAAGTTCAGTACTTGTAGTTTTATGCACAAACTTGTGATTTACTCAAATAAAACTTCAAAAATTATAAAAAAATGTCAATTCTTTGCAAAAAATTAGACAAGCTGAGCCTTGAACTTTCATATCACGCGAATAGAAAAAAACGATGTTTTCAGAAAACCAGCTTTATGATATTTTAACCGACGAGTTAGCGATTTAACAAGCGATAGAAAAGTTTTATCTTGAAATAATTCGGCTCATCCTTGGATTTTCCCAGCTCGGCTGATCGAATGTTCTGAAATTACCCATTTTCAATGCTGGTCACAATATTTTGAGGCTAATTATGATGATTTTACATGGACCTTTTAATCGTGCTCAATGTGAGAACACGCTCACAACACATTGTGACATGACGGCTTTAGAAAGAATATATTCTCAAGCGTTGTAAAAGTGTTAAAAAATACAACTCATGCCACGAAAAGAGCTAATCATTGACATTTACAATGGAAAGCGCGGGCTTTAGTTGGACAAAGTGGCCAAAAACCACTTGAAGGTTAACGGTTAACCCGGTTATCCAGTGTTATCACGAGATATACTTATATATGAAAGACATGCTGCCGCTGATTTTAATCGCAATGTTTCGGGCGAATCTTTCAATATCGCCGTGTTTTGGGATCTCAAAAAACCGGACCGGCAATTTTATTTTCTATTTGGTTCGTATAAAATTTGAATATAATTCTTGTTGAAGACGTTTATTATTAATTGGCTTGTGGTCATTTAGAAAGTGGATTTCCTCCTTTTCGCGTCCATGGCCACGGTCTTCGTTTATGGCGTGAGAAGATTTTCAGGCCACAGTGTTTGGATCATAAATCACGAAAAACGCCAGTGACAGTTCCGGAATGTCTGACAAAAACAATCTTAATTCGGCTTATCAAAGGGCGACCAACCAACCGGTATCCTCTGATACAGTTGGTAATTCCATACAAGTGGCTCAAAGAAAAAGCCCGCCGACGAGCTATTCCCATCTAACAAGACAAATATTTTGATCCAAATCGAATTTTCCATGCTTTTTTGAGGATTGTTCTTTTGTAAAAATAAATGCATAAGAGATGTTGATGCATTTTGAAGCGCACGAGTTTTGTGTTGTTTATTTCCTGTTGTCAGATTAGCGACATTTACGGGGGGCGTCATGGACGAGTCCGTCCAAAGTGATTCCGTGGTCACGCTTGGGCACAAATGTAATGCGAGGTGACCTTGGCGTCACCGTTTTTTTGAGAATCAAAATAATCATCTACCGCCGTTTCCCACCGCTATCTAGTGATTCTACTACAATAGATTATTATTAAATTGGCGCGTGTTTGTCTCTAAAATCACTTTTCGTATTGTAAGCCGTGTTTTCGCTGATCACTAGAAGGTGAGACAAAGAAGGTCAATTCCAGGAGAAACCCTCTAAAACCACGATTTGGCCATGGCACGGGTGAGGGCCAGAAAAAGTGGGAAAGCTGGCTTTCCAGATCTGTAGGCTTAGAGTAGTGTCACTATGTAACCAGTTGGTTAGATGTGGTCGCGCAGGAGACGTAAACAAAGCGAGCGCGTTTGATGTCCCCCAGCCTAAGCAATAGCATTAGAGAGTGTTTGTAAATAGCGCAGGACTCAGTGACCAGACTATACAAAATCACGGCAACGATCAAACAGCTTTCCAAAATCGAAACGAAATAAATGCTGACAGCTCACTTGACCTTCTAAAGCTGCACTAAGTGTCACCAGATATTTGACATACCGAATGTCTATTTTTGTCGAAGGCATAAGTGAGCTCACAGTTCTGAATTTACCTACTGACATCTTTTTACTGAATTAAAATTGCGAAGAAAATAAGCATGATATGAATACTTCTTTTCCGATAAATCCATATGTTCTTCAATGTCTATCAGAAAAACGTATGTCTTTAGGTGAATTTAGGTCTGTGAACTCTCATTTGACTCGACGAAGAATAAAAGAATCCGGTGATCGCTGATTTTTACCTGCTTTTTGGTTGAATAAATAATTATTCAACATGTGTTCTAATCACTTTTTTCGCCCTTTTTTTCAGCCTTTACCAAGTTACAACAAATGCTCGCCCCTCTACCGTCCATTGTTTAACAAATATTAACAAATGCGATAATATTTCATCCCTTGCCGGATCTTGAAGGTTTCCCAGGCCGGAAGCAGGTCGGTTTCTGCCAAATTGATGTTTAGTTTTTTATGTTTGAGGGCTGATTCAACTTTGTTTGCGCGTGTTTATGGCATTTGTCATCGAGATCATACGATCGTTGTTAACAAACGATATCAAGACTCTATGTTAGATATTAGCCAGGATAAATATTTTGATCAAGAAATCAAATCGACGGCCTTGTTTTTTCTAATACGTGCACCAGGAGAGTTTCATGAATATGAAACAAAACGCAATTTTGCTTACGAAAATTTTTATTAAAAAAATATAGAAAAATCTTTAGATTTCTGGCAAATCAGTTGGGAAGATAAAAAACTGGTATTTTCGTATAGATAGAAGTTGAAACGCAATTGATAATTTATATCTCTTTGATTTCCCTTCCTATTAAAAATACTTGGATCCGGAAGAATCGAAGAATGTGGCCTTTAGTATATTTCCGTTGGATCAAAGAACATCTTATCCAGGATCTCAAGGAGAGCGTGGCGGTGGTGCTCGAGCCGATTTCAAGACTGGTGCGAAAGAGTGGATCGTGGAATGCCAAGCTCCAGTGCCCGGGCGGATATAACGAACGATCACTTCGCTCGGGTTCTTTGATGCTGAGTGCAAAACACTGTCGGTTGAACAAATATTGGGAAAATATCAAGCAGGAAATGCCTCTGCTCATGAGAGCTCATCTCTGGGAGCTTGAAGAAGGTTCTTTCTCGCCTTTATTTTTGGAGGGAGTCCTCGCCCGCCTTGCTGTTTATTTGAAGAATCTATTCTAAAGCAATGCCGCTGGATAATGCTTATTTGAAATGGCTATTTATTTGAATTTAATTTGCGCCTCGGTTTTAATGCGACTCGATTATGCCACGATCACGGACTTGCTCCAAATTCTCACCGTCCAAACACCACGTCCACTGGCTTACAGCGGAATAATAATCCGCCAACACTTGTTTAATGATTTTCATAATCACCGAGTCATTGAAGAAGATATTCCTTTCTTGCAAAAATTCAGAATCACCTGCAAAAGCATTCCTTCCATTTTATTCCGGATCTCCTCACAAAGGTCGCCTTCAGGTCTTCTTCTGAAGTAAGATGAACAATGTCGATGTCAAAGTCTTTAGGAAGGTCTTTGGCATTTTATACAGAGCTTTTTTGAATAATTCCGCTCCCAGGGAAGTGATTTTCAGTTATCAATCTAAGCCACAAGCAGGAAGGGCGATATTCATAAAATATTCTTACATTCTTTTCATTGCCATCCCCATGGGAAGCTCTGACACAAGAAACACTTCCGTTAGTCGAACAATCGAATCGGATTTTTGTAAGTTCCGATCACTGATTTATTGGACTTTTATGAGACTGAACTCTTCGCCACGAGTGACGTTGATAAACATTCTATTACTGTATAGAAAGAGCTGATCCAGTACTTTCGGCGGCGCTCTTTGATGAGAAAATAGAATCCCTTCGAGTTAAAAGGCATGTCGAAAGTCTGAAGAGGCCACAACGCCGGTGCTGGACTGAGAGCGGCTTGCTCAAGGGTGCTTACTCAGAGAAAATAAATTTCTCGCTCAGCATGGAAGATGCTTTGATAAAGATGATTTAGCAAAGACGCACGAGTGGCCTCAAGACCAGCCACTCGCTGCCAAGGAGCTAATTCTGGACATTGACATCACCGACGATTGCTTAATTAAATAATCCACGTTTTTCGCCGCCTCAAGAACTGAGTCGAAAAAATGCTTACGTTTTCGTTAACTTTCTTCTTTAGTAGCAGAAATGCGCGAACGCGTCACCTCATTGAGTTTGGCAAGCATCTTGGAGGGAAGATTTTAAAAATTGGTGTGCTCTTGGAATGTTCTTGAATTAGTTTTTCAATTGAGGTCAAAATTCCACCGAAAGAGTACGTGAAAAGGCACACTCAATTTTACTAACGAGCAATTAGAGGGCGAAAAAACGAACAAAAACAAGATTTTAGAAACATTCTTGAATTCATCAGAGTCAGCTGGGAGCGCTCCAATGCAGTAAAACAACGTCTGTGCCTGTTCAAGTGGCTGTTTTGACAAATTAACTCTCGAAAAGAAAATTATGAGCGCAGTAAACATGACAATCGTTCGTTATCGGTGTTGGCAGATTCCACGTTTGTATAAAAACGACAGCGAAACAGTAAAACTGTCATTTTACAATAATCTAATTGAACGTCTCTTTGAGTGGGAGAAATAATGTTCTGCTGTAGTCGCTTATTAGATATTCTCTTTTATTACAGAAAAAATGCAAAACGAGGATGGTGTTCCAAAACCGCGAACCGGGCGGTTCTTTTTGGATAAAAAGAGAGAGTCCAATTTCATGGCGGTATCTTAGGACTTTATTATTACGTGTGCCCTTTTCCTCTGGTCTTCTCAAAATAGCACCAAACGTGAGCGCAGTGGCTCCCGGTCGACCTTCAGCAGAAGGGTTTTCGAAACGCTCACACAAAATCCCCAACACAAACAAAAATCATCTTTTTGTAGACCTCAAGGCATTGAACAGTTGCTGGGAACGGAAACTTGATGTTTCCGAAATGAGGATCCTCGATTACGCGATGTACTATTGTAGGCAGAGGAGGTGATCTGTTCCTGATTCTTTTCACAAATTATCTCCGGCTGGAATAACTTGTTTGGTTAGGGAACAACAGCTGCTCGCGAATTTATAAATTAGTCCGATTATCTTTTAAACATGGAATTCCGCACATGCCAGGACAAAGAAAACAGCTCTTTTAAGAAGAGCACAAAGCCTTGATTCATCGATTAGCTGAAATCAACGAAGACTTCCTTAGATTCAAGAAAAAAATATTTTTTTGGTTGTGAAATAATTTATTTCATAATTAGTTAAACAGAATAATTAGAAAGCAGAGGACTTGGATCGCATCTTGGAAAGAGTGGATTCGGCCATATCAGCTCGCTCTTCAGCCTCATCGAGCTCGTGCTGGAGCTTTCGGTATCGGGACATGTTCTGAGTGGCGGCTTCTTCCTGTTCTTCAGCCAGTCGCTTGAACTGTTTGACCTTGAGCTGGAGCTTGTCGGCCTGGTCCTGGAGTCGAGCAAGGTTCTTCTTGTCCTCCTCACCAGCGTAGACGGTCTCCTTGACCTTTCGCTCCATCTTTCGGACGGCCTTCTGGGAGTCAACACCTCGTCGTCGCTCGTTGTCGAGTTCGGATTCGAGTTCTCGGAGTCGGCCCTCGAGTTTCTGGACGTGCTTCTTACCACCCTTGAGGGCAACCTGTTCAGCATCGTCCAATCGAGCCTGGAGTTCCTTGAGCTGGACTTCCTGGTTCTTCTTCATTCGCTCAAGATGAGCGGAAGCATCCTGCTCCTTTTAAGGTCCTCAGCCATGATAGAGGCGTCAAGGATGGACTTCTTGGCCTTATCCTCGGCGTTCTTAGCTTCCTGGATGGCTTCTTCGACTTCGTTGGCAACAGCGAGGAGCTCCTGCTCGAGCTTTCGCTTCTGGTTGGCGAGGGCGGTGTTCTGGGTGTGGAGGAGGTTGGCTCGCTCGTTAGCTTCCATGAGCTCCTGCTCAGCAGCCTTTCGGCCTTTCTCGGCCTGCTCGACAGCAGATCGGAGTTCATCGATTTCAGCCTGGAGAAGGTTGACTCGTCGGTCAGTGACAGCAGTCTGCTCCTTGACTTCGTCAAAGATTCGGTCAGATTCGTCAAGAGCCATTTGGGCGTCCTTGATCTGGCCCATGATGTCCTTGTTCTGTCGCTGGGCATCGTTGAGCTGTCGGTTAGCATGAGCTAGCTGGATCTCTATATCAGAGATATCTCCCTCGAGCTTCTTCTTGATTCGAACAGCTTCGGATCGAGATCGGATCTCAGAGTCGAGCTGAGACTGGATGGATTCGACAGTTCGGCTGGCATTTCGTCGGTTGTTGTCCATTTCTTCGTCCTTCTCCTGGAGTCGTCGGTCAGATTCGTTCTTGATCTGCTGGAGCTCAACAGTGATTCGGAGGGTCTTGGCTTCCTCAGACTCAACGGCGGCTTCAGTCTCCTCAAGGGAGGCAGCAAGTTCGTTTCGCTCAACCTCGATGTTTCGCTTGGCCTTCTCGAGTTCAGAGATAGACTTGGCACCTTCGGCAACCTGGTCGGTAAGATCAGCGATTTCTTCCTGGACCTGCTTGTTCTCTCGCTTGGCGGACTCAAGGGCATCGACAGCTTCCTCGTAGGCGTTTCGCATCTTGAAAACTTCGTTGGAAGCTTCTCGAGATTCCTTCTGGGCCTTCTCAAGCTCAGAGTTGATCTCGTCCTGCTTGGCCTTGTTTTCCTCGAGAATCTTGTCAAACGATCGCTGCTTCTTTTCGAGAGCAGAAGCGGCGGCATTAGCTCGCTCGAGCTCAACAGTCAAGTCTTCGATCTCAGACTGAAGTCGACCCTTGGATTTTTCAAGAGAAGAGCACTTAGCAAGAGCAGCCTCGACGGACTCTTCGGCTTCGGAAAGTCGACCAGAGAGCTTCTTCTTGGCATCCTCGAGTTCTTCAGTTCGCTGGATGGCATCAGTCTCGTACTTGGTTCGCCACTGAGAAGACTCAGAGTTGGACTTGGAAAGCTGTCGCTGGAGCTCGTTCTTGGCCTCAACTTCCTCATCGTACTGTTCTCGGAGAAGCTCGTGGTCGTGCTTAGCAGCCTGGACCTGGTGGACGAGGGCGTTCTTGCCCTTGACTTCCTCATCGAGAGATCGTCGGAGCTCGTCGTTGGCCTGAGAGACAGAGTTCTTCTGTCGGGTGAGCTGAGAGTTGATCTGTTCTTTCTCTTCGAAAGTTCGTCGAAGCTCATTCATCTCAGTGGTAAGTCGAGCCTTGGTGGCAGCGGAGTCAGAAATGTTCTTCTCCTGCTCTTCGTATTTCATCTTGAGCTCAGCGTACTGGTCCTCAAGGTGTCGGCAGGACTTTTCGTAAGAGACCTTAGATTTGGAGAGAGACTCAACGTTGGAGATGAGATCATCAGCTTCCATCTTGAGCTCAGATTTCTCCTTCTCGAGCTTAGTCTTGACTCGCTGGAGGTTATCGATAGTCTCGGTGAGTTCAGAAGAAGTGTCAGCGTGCTTCTTTCGCATGCCAGAGAGAGTAGACTCGTGAGCGATGTTGTGCTCTTCGAGATCTCGCTGGAGCTTGGCGAGCTCAGCTTCTCGTCGCTTGTTGATTTCAATCTGAGCCTGAGTCTGGGCGTTAGCCTCCTCGAGTCGCTCGGAGAGCTCTTCAAGTTCTCGGGAAAGATCAGATCGAGATTTCTCGGACTTAGCCTTAGCGGCTCGCTCGGCTTCAAGTTCTTCCTCGAGCTCTTCAATTCGAGCCATGAGTTCCTTGATCTTCTTCTGGAGCTGAGCAACAAGAGCCTGCTCATCTTCGTATCGAGTAGAAAGCTGGTTGTACTCAAATTCAGCCTTCTTCAATTTCTCCTCGAGTCGCTGTTTATCGTTTTCGAGATCCATGATAGTTTCCTGAGCAAGTCGGAGATCACCTTCGAGCTTTCGCTTGAGTCGCTCAAGATCAAGTCGAGATCGCTTTTCGGTTTCGACAGACTGTTCGAGGTCATCGACCTGCTGTTCGAGCTTATTCTTAGCCTTGGAAAGGGAGTTAACCTTGTCTTCTTCGGCCTGAAGATCATCAAGAGCCTGTTGGTGGGCTTCCTGGAGGGCCTTCTTCTCCTTCTGGAGCTTGGCGATGTTGTCTTCAAGGGCAGAGAGCTCATCAGTCTTGGTTCGAACATCAGACTCAACAGTGGCCTTCTCCTTTTCGACCTTGGAGAGAGTACCCTCGAGGTCATCAATGTCCTTTCGGAGCTCCTTGCATTCTGTCTCAAGCTTTCGTCGCTTGTTTTGGAGATCGACATTGATTTCTTCCTCGTCTTCAAGTCGCTCGTTGAGTTCCTTGATCTTTCCGTCAAGATCAATCTTGGACTTCATGAGGGACTCAGCTCGGTCTTCAGCATCCTGGAGAGCATCGGTCTCACCAGCAAACTCGGAAATGAGTTTGTTCTTGAGCTGGATGAACTTGGAGTACTCCTGTTCGAGCTGCTTTCGTCGCTTAGACTCGACTTCGAGTTCTTTCTTCATCTCTTCGTATTCCTTGAGAAGCTCGTCGAACTCAGCCTTCTTCTCAGCAGTGTTGAGGAGTGGTCGGATCTTGAAGAGGAGTTTCTGCCACTCCCAATCCTTCAAGGTGACGTAAGCTCTCCAGTTGGACTGGATGACAACAGCACCATCTCGCTCCTTGACGGTCTTCAAGAAAGCAGCTCGAGAGAGGTTGAATCGCATTCTGGTCTGGAGCTTGGTGAGAATTTCAGCAATCTTGTCATCTCGAAGATCTTCCAAAGCACCAATGATACCGGCCTTGAAGAAAAGCTTGGTGTGACCAAATCGATAGACAACGGGATCAATTTGGGAAATTCCAGCAAGGATCTTCTCGCAAGCCTTCTTGGGGTCAATGAAACCAGTCTTGGGAAGGGAGTTGGGGTTGAGGATACAGTATCGCTGTTTCCAGTCAGAGTATTCGACTCGAGATGGGAAACCCTTTCGGCAAATACGGATACCTTCCAAGACACCGTTACATCGGAGCTGGTGAAGGACAAGGTTGTTATCCATGAAACCTGGTCGCTTCTGTTCGTTGGGAATAATACATCGGACAAAGTGAGGCTGAGTGGCGTGGAGATTAGTCATCAATCGAAGGAGAGATTCTCTGTGGAGGGCAGAGACAGTCTGGAAGGAACCACCCTTTTGTCGCTTGCCTCCCTTCTTTCCACCACCCTTTGGTGCATCATCGGGGGAGACGTAGGATTCCCAGATCTTCTTGCAGACCTCGAGGTTGGACTGCTTGAAAAGGGCAACAAGAGAGTTGTTAAGAGGATCCTTGTTCTTCAAGAGCCAATCGGTGACGTTGTAGGCGACGGTACCAGCGTAGTGGTAGATTTCGAAGTGAGCCTCGAACTTGCCCTGCTTCTTGACCTTGCCAATAGACTTGGTCTTGCCCAAATGCTGCTGGAAGAGCTTGTCTCGGTAGGTCATGTCAGTGGCCTTGGGGACAATGCACTCTTCTTCGAGGAGTGACATGATACCAAGAGGCTTCTCGATAAGTTCGATAGTAGCCTGGAGATCCATACCAAAATCGATAAACTCCCAGTCGATACCTTCTCGCTTGTATTCTTCCTGTTCGAGGATGAACATGTGGTGGTTGAAGAACTGCTGGAGTCGTTCGTTAGTGTAGTTGATGCAAAGCTGTTCGAAAGTGTTGAATTCGAAAATTTCGAAACCAGCAATATCGAGGATACCGATGAAGTTGTTTCGTGGAAGATCAGTGGAGAGAGCTCGGTTGACAACAGCGACAAGCCATTCGAAAAGTCGGTTGAAAGAGGCCTTGACGACGGCACCAATAGCGTAGTAGACTTGGGCGACAGTCTGACCTTTGACAACGTATTCAGCACCGACCTTGACCTTGGGAGTGCAGACGGCCTTGAGCCACTCAGCAGAGTTGACACCCAAAAGGTAGGCAATCTTGTCAGCAGCTTCAGTTCCATCGGGCTCAGCCTGTTCTTCTCGGGGCTTCTCCTTGAAGACGGCGTTACCAGAGTGCATGAGAGAGGCAGTGATCTTGTAGACACCAGCCTTTTCTTCCTCAGTGAAACCAAGAATATCGAAAGACTCGTCAGTGGCATCGAGTTCTTCGTTATCATCAATGGACTTGACCTTGATTTCACCAAGAGAGCACCACTTGTAGTCATAAGGATCAGTAGAGATCATGCACATCTCGTTAATCTGGGGCTTGTGACCAGTGAGCATCTGGTAGAAGATATGGAAGCATCGTTCGGCCTTGAGCTGGAAGGTGACTCGAGACTTCTCCAAAAGGTAGGTATCGATATCACCAGAGGCGAGCTTACCAGTGACCTGGAAGTGAATTCGGATGAATTTACCGAATCGAGAAGAGTTATCGTTACGGATGGTCTTGGCGTTACCAAAGGCCTCCATAGCGGGGTTAGCAGCGACAATCTGATCTTCGAGGGTTCCACCTCCCTTGAGAGAAGGAGCTTCATCCTTCTTAGAGTTTTTGTCACCAAGGGCACAGACGACGGCGAAGTACTGGATGACTCGCTTGGTGTTGACAGTTTTACCAGCTCCAGACTCACCAGTAATAAGCATAGACTGGTTTTCGGAGTTTCGGAGCATATCTTGGTAAGCGTTATCGGAAACGGAGTAAACGTGGGGAGGCATTTCAGTTCGTCTCTTGTTGTAGTAGCAGAGGACAACGTGGTTGTCGTAGACGGGAAGCCACTTGTAGGGGTTAACAGTGACACAGAAAAGACCTGAAAAAGATTTTAGGTATTGAAATCAAGGAAGAAAGGGAGCTTACCGGAGTAGGTGTAGATAAGGAAGAGAGTGTATCGGGAGTTCAAGTTGTGGACAACAGAAGCTTCGGACAGATATGTCATGTTAGCCATATCTTCCAAGAGTTCGTACTTGGGAGGGTTCTGTGGCTCGACATCTTCGGGCTTGTAAAGCTTGACTTTACCGTCAGCCAATCGCTCGACTTCGACCTTGCCATCCTTCTCACCGAGCTTTTTACCCTAAAATATGAGTAAAAAATTGGCTCAAGATTCATATTTGGAATTACCTTGCAGTAACCGGTTTCAGAGTAGGGGACCCAAACGGCGCTTTTACCCTCAAAAGGAGCGTTTCGGATATCAATCAGCTGGATGTTGGGCAATCGAAGATAAACTGCGGCATTGCCAGCTGCTTCGGGATCCCAAAGCGCCATGACTAAATAACAATAAGTATAAATAAAGACGAATCTACAGAAATTCTCTCTTTCTCTCTGCTTACCTGTGGTTGGTCTGGTGCTTGCAGAACTGAGATGTGAGGGAAAGCGTTCCTCCTTTTACGCTGAGAAGGGAGGAGCTTTCAACAGCTTTAACCAGTTTGACAACCCCTTGACTCACTGCCAAGAGGCATTTTTCTAGTACAGTAACACTACAACATAACGATAGCTGAAGTTCATGGTAGGGTTTCCGCTTGCAATCCAAAGTGATGTTGCTAATGCTTTTATAATAATTTTACGATTTTAGCTCCAATGGAATTAACTTTTGGTTGCTCAATTTTTTCAAACATTTTTATTCATTTTTCGTGCACATATTTTGGATGTCCCCGAATAGGATAGTATTATATCATTTTTCTTACTAAAAATGACTAGCGAAAATCTGTCCTTGTTCACGATGAATGCAGTAGATTGGGAACATTTCGCAACAATAATTTATAGCGTTTCTGCTCTTCCTCACGATCATTTTGTGCGAGCCATAATCGAGTACTAAAAAAGTCACTCGGGCCACCCTTTTTTGCCGGGCGATAATGATACCCTTACCCTTTCAAAATGAGCAAAATTGATAAGCTTCACGCTATCATCACCTTTTCGGGTAAAATCATCACGTTTGGGAACTTTCACTTTTCTTGCTGCATGCGACAATCTTTCTTTATTTAGAAAGTACTCATTCAGTTTTCATTTAATTGCTTTTTTGTATCTTTCACAGTTTGTCGCTATCGTTGTTGTCTTCAAAATCAGGGTTAGGGTTGTATGATTTGATGATCCCAAGTAGCATTTTGTCATTTTTCTTAATATATCTGGTCTTCGGAAGTTCTTTTTCCGGGCCAGTGCATATATCTGAGCAAGTTAAGGCTCGTTTCTTTTATGAGTTTTTTTTGTAAAGCATAAAGTAGTGATTTTCGGCGCCATTTAGTCGAATTGAAACTTCATACTATTTCCTTGATGTCAAGAAAAACTCTCCGATGGCAAATAATGAACTAGAACTGGTTCCATTTTAATTCTCCCAGTCTCCTCCGAATTGTCAACTCTGTCATCGTCTGCCAGCGATTGATCCAACTGGAAGCTGTCTCTATCACTCAGATAGTCCATCAAGCTGCTACCGATAGCTTTAACGATAAATATTACTCCTCTGATACGAATTAAAGAGAACAAACAATTCGGCACGTACCTTCAATCAGTTCAAAATCGTATGGAATTCGTTCTGTCAGCTCGTCTTCAGTGGGACGGATATCATGGAGGAGTTTTGAGTACTTAAAATTGTCGAAAATTCGAATAGTTTGAAACTCGATAACTGGATTAATCGATTCTGATGAACACAATTTTATCAGTAAGAAGATTTCCGGTAGAACTGATCAAGGTCACAAAACTTATGAATGCTAACAGTAGCTCATCCGCAAAAGTCGCGAAAATAAACAGTAAATAGATACCAGTCTTTGGACAGATTGCTTCTTGAATGGAGGCATTTCAAATTTGTCACCTTGAATAACACCGTAACTTTTTGTTTGTACTCATGGGCTGATTTCTTGACAATTTCCTGATCACCCCTTCGTCGGATAATGTCATTTTCGGAACTTATCATGCTCTTGATAATTTCCATGAACTTGAGAGGCCATAGTGACGGTAAATCTCCTTGAGCCAAATTTTCAAATGCTAAAATTGCAGATTTTCGAATTTCGGATTGTTTTGCTTCGAGAATTATTTCTCCGAGTTCGTGCAGCAAAACTGCTTGGCAAAATGCATTTCCATCTTTATTCAATTCTTTCTCGATGAATTCAAAGGATCGTCTATCTTCTCGTGCTGACTTTGCAATCAAGACTAAACTGACAAGGAATCTCGCATGGAGGAAGCACGCCTGATGTAAATGCCTAGGAGACCTTCCTGAAAAACTTTTCCAGGCGGTTAAGCTCCGCCAGAGAAATGTCACTCAGGTCCGGACGGTCTGGTGCAGCCGAGTTTAAAAGGCAGAGACACTTGTATAAAGGAAGCGTTATGGGAAAAGACATCATTCCAAAAATTATCTCGCAGCTTTGGGCCATCGTTGAAATTGTCAATTCTGAAAAGTAAACTTGTTTGACTGAAAATGTGTTTGGTTAGTGCAGAAAGCCTGTATTTTAACTTTAGCTGTCTCAGCAGAGCCGATTCGGCGCAGCGGGAAACATTACAATCAGTATCCAAGATCTTGACTAAATCGCTAAGATTCTTGAACAGAGGGCGCCCTCTTTTGACTGCACAGGTGATAAAAAATGTCGAAGGCAGAATTTTTGCCTCAGAAATTCAATATTTCACAAAATGAATCTAATTTCAGTATGTCTCGATCAACGTTATTAATATGAGTAAGCCTCTGAAATGTGATTTAAAATGAAACAAAAAAAATTGCAGAAATCTCTCGACCGTTAAAAATTATCTGAACCTTCAACGGTCTGTTCTTTTATTGAATAAAATATGACTGATTTCATAGTCAAAATATGCATTATTCTCGTTATTGTCATCAGTACCTGTAAAAGGAACTGATTTGTAGCGGATTTTCAGTTTCTCCGGTAAGTCTTTGTACTTTTGCCATGTTTCAGCAGTCCCGATCTGTATGTCTTCAGTAAGAACGAGTTTGAGAAGCTTTAGCGAAATTTGTTGAGCGATTTGAACAGTCATCAACTCAGCCGTTGTAAAGTTCTCCTCTTCCGTGACTTGAGCTTTTCCGCGTTTTTTTGATGTTTTTTAGTAATTCAATTCGTTTATAAAAACCAGCCCTAGCGAAAATAGGCAACTCTCTAACACGAAAATCAGCGCTCTCGTGTGCTGCGTCGTTACTCTAAAAATAATTGAACCTCAAGCCTTAATAACTGTATCTCACTTGGTGGTTTTTATGGAGGAGTACAGTAGGTCGAGACACTTGTCGCGCTCAGGTGTTCGGGTCAGGAGGATCAAGCGACACCATCTCCAGCTCGGATACTGATTGATGTTTTACCCACGTGACTAAAATTAGCGATAAAATTTGTCAGTTTGCCAATGTTTTTTCTATTACAATCCAAATCATTATCCGATCCTTAGCGCCTTGCTAACAACTTCTTCATCCAACAATTTGCACAAATGTCGATAGTCCTTTTCTGTCGCTTTATTCTGCTGGAAACGAGTGACTTTTCAAGGCTTTCTAACTTGAGCGCGCGGAGGAGAATCTCTGTGAATTTGCATAATTAGTCTTGAGAAAGGGTGACACTGATAGTATCAAGTTCTTTTTGCTTGATTTTGTGAATTTCTAAAATTTAGATTTGATTATCAAAGATTCATCACCATTAACGAAGCCTTTACTAAACGCTCGCACTTTTCAAAGTCGGAAAGGGATTTTTGCTGATGTTCGGGCTGAAATAACTTTTTGCGCTGCTCGGTCGCGAATATTCCAAGAAAAGTGGGGATGATTTCTTTGTATACAACTGGCATGTTTCTCTACTTTCTCGACGTGACTAAGTCGTTTCTCGAGGACATCTACGTTGCCAGGGCAACAGCACGTTCTCTCCAAGTTCTACTTAGGTGTGAAGATTGTGATTAAAATGCGGCATCTCAAGCTCAAATTTATTCAGCTTCAAAGACGTTTTTGTTTTTTTCAACTGCTTATTTGATGGCAATTTGAAAGTGTCCGGAACAAACGAATCGATTGCGTTCTAATTGATTGCTTCTTTATTATTTGCTTATTAAACAGTAAATATACAGTACGGAATTGTTTCAGTAATACCAGCGAATAACGTTGCTTCCTTGATATCACCCTGTAGACTGTTGATAACAAGCACTGATAAGAGTGCTGAACAGGGTTCAATACTTGAAGGAAGCTCCAGCCAAAAATGCTTTTTCTAGCCAAAAAAAAGCTGTTCATTTTTGTTCCTTCTTCTTTCGAACAATGGGCAGTTGTTCGACTGACAGAAAAAGAAAAGTAGGGATGAAAGTTGAAAGTCAGCAGAACATGCGAAAACGGTGTTGGTTGTCAAGGGCGACATTAGCGCATTGTGTGTCTCTGCCTCTGCTGCTGATGGAAGGACACTACTGTAACCATTTAGAAGCGCCTCCCACAACAACTTGCTACTTCTACCAATTTATACATCTTGAGAGATTGCTGCAAGATCGCCGGTTCAAGAGATTAAAAGATTGCTTCATTAGTTATCTCCATGCAGCGCCAACAAACTGTAAAAGCACTGTACACTTTGCGTTGACATCTATTTGACCAGTTTTATGGGCGCAATGATTACCGCCATAACCACGGCTAGATCCTTAAGAATCGCAAAAGAAGCTCACCCCAAACATTCATTTTCCGAAGAGATCGTTAATTAACCTTTACCCTCGGATAATCCAGTGAGAAAACACTATACTTGACATTAATCTCGCTACAAAAGAGAAGCGCCGGGAACAAAAGAAGGTATTACAGTAACAACGAACGAAAGTTTACTCGAGGAATTTTCAAAAACGTTGCTTTTGACTTTCGCATTTTAGAAAATTCGCAAACTTGGGGAAATTTGTTCGCGAATATTTTTCACGATGACTTGAAAATTGCCAACAGTTATCATCAGAAAATGTATTTAAGATTATTTTGATCATATAAAAAGCTTCCTAAAACTAAAAAAAAACTTGGAATATTTTTTCACGAAAAATGATGACCTAAGCATTTTACGACGTAAAAAGGTCTTGTTTGCTTTCTTTCAGAAGATCTCCCTAAATTTGACGTAAGTCAAAGTTCAATCTTTCAAAATCATCTTCAACCAGCATTTTCCCCACTGTAACTGTCCGTAAATGTCTCATGAACTCTTCATAAAATCGCCCACCTAATGAATTATAATGGCCTTTGAATCAATTTTGCCCAAGTTGACTTTTCACGGGTGATGAGAAAGAACGTCTATCTCCCCGGATCTCAAAGAAACTATCAATGATCAGCGAATTCAGGGCGGAAATCATGATTCCCTCTGTTTGCTTATGCATTGAGAACTCCGTGCTCTCTTTGTCCGAGCGCAAATAGCGTAATTTTTAAGTTCGTATAAAGTCGTTACAATCGCCAAATATACAGAGACGATGATTTTTATAAAGAAATTCTAACAAGCGAGGGCAATTAAAAGGAACTTATCGAAGCGATGAGCTGACTCTAAGCGACCGCGAATTGCTACGCCTTATCAAATTAAATACGTAAGGCGATCGTGAAAGAAAGGAACTAATGATCGAGCCAAATGACAGATTTTGAACGTTTCTTCGTCATTGATGAACGTAGAAGATTTTTAATCAAATTTTTATAGAAAAAATTTCGGCAAATTTGACAAGATGCTTTTTTACTAAGAATTTTTTGCCATGTTTTTTGCGGTGAATCAAGAAAGTACTGAGCAACTGTAACTCGCGTGAGAGTTTATTTAGCACCTGTCAGGATGCAAATGTTTGCTCAACGTGTTTTCCTCTTTCCACTTCGGCGCTGGCAAACTTTGTTCCTGTCAAGTTCTGCCCCTCTGAACAAAGTATATCTTTGAACGTTTATCTAAACCGGCGGTGCGGTGCTACTCAGATAAATCCAACTTTTCTGCTGAATGAAATTTCCGTTTCAAAAAGTTCATGGAAGAAAAAACGTGTTCAAAAGGTCGATGAAATTTAATTGAACTATCGTTGCCCTTTCCTTATTTTACGACTTATTTTCTAGTATTCGCTTCTCCAACAACCGACCTCCAGTTCCTTCTCGTTCGGAGCTGGTGTCAAAGATCGAGCCCGCAAGAATTTATGCCGCGTCTCAGAAATCCCCTTTAATTTGCATTTGCCCCTAGAAATGTAGCGAGTGTGCTCTTACTCTCATAACTTCTGGGATAATGGTCACTCAAAATTTGCGAGTCACTGGGGACCCTCTAAGGGCATTCTAAGTATAATTCGTGCGGACTTATTTTTTAATTGAGACGCCTAAATATAAAGATTGAATTGAAATTGCGTTTGATTCATTCTGGAAGAGAGTACTATTTGTACACGTCTAAAGAAATGTCGCCAAAGGTTGTCCAAAATAGAAGAAAAGGCAAGGGCGATCATTTCTAACTCCTCGCTGCTGGATTAGCTCGAATCTAAATTCCAAAGGGCGCAAAGAGTGAAACTGATTTGATCCGCGTTACTTCCAAAGAATTCAAAATTACCTCGAAATTAATTCAAATCCTCAATTTGATTGTCATTTTCGGGTCTTTTTTATTCAAAAATTTTAAGAAAAAAAATCATTTTCTGCAATTCTTTTCATTTGATATTCTGGCCAATAAGAATGCTCGCTGATTGGGAATAGCGCCACCTATTATTTACGATTTTTATTTTGACCAACACGGTTGTTTTTCTTTGATAGATTAGTTAGACGTTAGCCCAGGCACTTCTGAAAATGCAGTTTTAGAAATATAACGTTTCGCTGGGTTATTAGAGAAACACGATAAAACACGTGTTACGTAACTTTCCCAAATCCTCGGAAAAAAATCATCGCGGCGGCTGCAAAGCGCTTGATGAGTTTTAACATGGCGACGCACATTAGCATGCAAAAAATGTGGACCGGAAGGAGCCGCCGAATGTTAACAACCCCTTTCTGCTCTAACTTTGAAAAATCCATTCTTCGCCATGTCACCTGTGGAACTGAAAGTTCTTGCTCGCTCAAGTCTGTTGTCGCTAGAATCTTTTTGATCAGCGATCGGAATTTATCGGCGACTTTTTATGCAGCTTTCTTTTTTTGCTGAATGAATTTTCTCTAGGGGTAGAAATTCGACCGTAAGATCCCATTTTGAGCCAAAATGAACTTAAATCAACCCCGTTTCTGGACAAAAAATCTATCTCCTTTGAAAGCATGTTCATTAGAAATCAGCAGCGGACAGTAATTATGGTTGCAGTGTGGTAATTTATCGCAGCGCGCTTAGACTGTAATCACCATTCGCGCGCCCGTCACTAATCAATTCTAAAAACAACAAATTGTGTCAATATTGCAGAAACACCCGCTTCCGCTCTGAACTTGTTCTAAATTTAGACTTGTTCTAAGAACGGCGTGAAAAGTATGCAAGAAGGGATGAGAGTTCGCGACGGCTCGCTCCAGCTGCCCGACATCAAGGCCCAGACCACATCTGCCGATACATACCGGTAAATTGCATTTTTACGCTTTTTTTGTTTGAAAAATCACTGCGCTCAGGCACCCATCACATTTCATGAAACGCTCCAAAACGTTTGCGTCCAACACACCGCCAGCCAACTACCAGGTTTGCAAAACAAACTTAAAGCATCTACTCACTTAACGTTACACTTTTTATTCAGTCGACCGTTACGAAATCGTACGCGCCGCCAGTGCTCACTCGCTCGGGCACCATTGTTGGAAATCAGAGTTCTACTTCGACCAACTTGGGAAATCCCTTCAGGAAGTATACTCCTGATGATTGGCATAGACGCAATCAGGTACTATAATATGCATTTTTATTTCATTGTGTTTTTATATAGTTCTTTTCCAAACCTTAGGGGGAAATGGGTAATAGAATTATTCCCAATTATGTCGTTATAATTCTGTTTAAAATGATGCTCCGTCTCTTTCATGCTGCTCTAATTTTGCAACGCGGTCCGCGTGTGTGTGTCGCGCATGGAAACAAAAAATAGAACTGTTCACAAAAAAACGCGCGTTAGAAACTTCTAAAACACGGACGGAGTACACGTTTGATGACAAGTTGGCAGGGTCGAGCGACTGAGTGGATTACCTCCAACGATCGGCCACAGAGGACCTCCCTCGTTTCTTGCGGACAGGGGCGGAAATACAAAAGCATTTTTCAAAAACTAAGGCCGTTTTTTCAGGATCATTTCGCGACTTCGAATGCCTTCCGCGCTTCTTCTGAGCGACTGCGCGCTGATACTTACGCTCTCGTCCAGGAACGCGACCAGCTGACTGCAAAAAACCAGGCGCACTCGTCAAAGAACATCGGCGATAGAGCCAATGATATCGACTTTTGGAAGTCGGAGCTTCGCCACGAAACTGATCTACTCATTTCTGAAACGAATGCTCTTGCAGAAGTGAGTCTTTTTAAAATTGTCGAAAATGACTGTATGTTTCTAGCACAAAAAGCGATTAGAACGAGCGCTGGTCGAAACCGAGAGCCCACTTGGCATCGCCAAAGGAAAGAGTTTTGGAAGATCTAATCGATGAGACGACCTCGAGCTACCCTAAGTAGCGATAAGAATGTTTTCTCTCGCGGCTCCACGCCACGGCAGAATGAAACCGTAATCGTAAAATATTTTGATTTTTCCGAACCTTTTTAAAATTTTCGCGCCACTAAAATCGCTTTTCCTGTTCAAATTTAGTTTTCGAAACTTAGTGCACAGAATGCTTGTACAATCGGGACAAGCGCGAGGGAATCGACTTGGTGCACGACGCCGTGGAGATCCAACTCAACCAGGAAGTTGACGTTATCCGAGCCTGTCAAGAGAAGATGAAGCGACTTATTGCCAGAGCTGAGCAACAACTCCAGTGCGTAAATTCCAGAAAAAACATAACGAGAATCAATTTTAAGGCGCAATCGAGGAGCTCAGCACGAATTGGACAAGGATTCTCACGACAAATTTTCGGAAAGGCTTCAATTTTTTTTTCTTTAAAGAATCCTTTTCGCCGGAGATACTATAGAAAAGATATATTGAAGCTGAAATAAGGCTCTATCCATCGATAACCGCTGCCATCAGCTGAAGAACACCTCCGCCGGCATCAACTACTTCCGTGGAATCGAAGATATCGACAGAACGTAAGGATGGCATATGCGATTGTTGAATTCGATTGTTTTGTTGACGCGATGAGCACGAGCAACAGAATTAATTCAATTACATTGCCAGATATGGCAACAGCGCGCGAAACACGTTGTTCATAAAACAATATCTCCTCAAAAATTGATACCCCTAAAGAACCCCGACTTTGAATTTCCACGAAGATTGAGTTTTTAACAAAACTCCGGGACGAGAAAACGGAATGCTGGAATTCGACGCTCTCCATTAGTACGAGAGAGCGCGCGTATAAATTTGTCAAACTGCTCATTCGCCTTCACTTTGAGAGAAAAATGCCCAGCGCATTCCGGCGAGAAGCGTTAATAGCGAACTCGTGAAGCGAACGAGGCATTACTGGCAACGACCGCCAGAACATCTGTTTAAATCGGAGCTGGTGCAGACCACTTAATTTGATTCTCTTGGCTTTCTCATTCAGTTAATCGCGTGTTAATTGAATCGCATTCAATGATTCCTTCATCAACGATCATTCATGGCCATAATGACCATTCTATCTGGTCAATGTTAATGTTCAGTGTCACAATTCCGACGAGCTGGGCCAAGTTCTCTGATGACAACATTCGTCGATCCCAGGCAGAGCGAGCTGCGTCCGCTAAGATGAGGGAGGAAATTGAAAACTGCCTCGCTGAGACTTCCAATCAGATGTGGACACAGGTAAATTTGATGAAAAAAAATCGATCAAAGGACCATAATATATAAAATTTTTTTCTTCAATTTAATCTTTTTATTGTTAGCAAAGTTGATAAATATAATTGATCCGCAAAAAATAGAAATATATCTAATCCTTCCGATTCAAATCGAAAAGTTTTACTCAACAGTGACCTTGAAAACCGCTTTGACAAATTAAAACCCTAACCGGCTTTATGTTCAACGTTGTGTAACGGAAAATTCAGTGGAACCGCGTCAATGTTGCCTTCACCCAGCGAGTGGCGGAACAAGTCGACACCAAGAACAAACTTCAATCTCATCTTAACCGAGTGAGTTACTTTGAACTAGCAGCACCTGGTCAGAACTTAGAGGGATTATTATTTGCCGAACATGTTTTTCAATCAACAAGTTCAAAACTTAGCACCTGTTCTGCTTCTTAGAGCGTCCCAAAATCTTCCGTGAGCAAAAAAAAAAAAACAGGCAACAAAAAAATGAAGCGTCAAAATTACAGTCTCTCAAAATACAAAGCGTGAAGTGGGCTCTTCTTTCACCGTGTGCGCAAAGACAAATGTGCAAAAACCTGCCCGATAATCAGCATAATGAGCACAAGCGTGCTAAGCAATGATTGCTCAAGTGTGCGAAGCAATTACAAAATGTCTTTTTAAAGACTTACTCGAGAATTTCTTGGTTTACGCTTCTTTTCAACAAATGATGATCTTTCGAAGAATACCTTAACTTATGAGAAATGAGTCTTTTCTATAGCAGGGCGCTTATTTTCACTAAAAATGTAACGCCCATTTTAGACTCTTCAAGAAATCCACGATGTCGAAACCACCATCCAGCGACTCCATCGTGCAATCGCTGATAAAGAGCGACCAGTTAAGGTCGCTGAAACCAGACTTGGTAAGATTCACTCTAAAAGGGAGATATCTACGCTTTCAAGGGTACGCCCATCGTTAATAACCCTTGGAACGGTGGATTTAGTCTTGCAATCTCTTCTTGGACCTTCTAGGATGAAGGACTGAGTTAACCTGTTTTTAAGACGAGCGCACGCGACGACCAAACTTGGAACTTTGCCGTGACCCTGCTCAGTTGATGTAAGTTCTACCAGGACGCTAAGATGGTCGCTCGATCGCCCCACTCAGATTACTGATTTATGAGCAGATCGTAAAATCGGATAAGCCAGGCTACTGGCTTCAATTCGTGCGCGAACTTATTGCCCTTCGCCTTTTAGAAGTTTACTTTAGGTTGGTCTCCGAAGTCAAACAACTCCAAGCCACCCTTGCCAACCTTCGCCAGCGATTGGACGAAGAGCAGCAGCAACTGCAGAAGCTCGTGACTACCCGAAGCAATCTGGAGCACGAAATCCGAACCAAGGTAATCCAAGTAGCTTTTATCAAGAAACCCTCCAACGTGACTTTCCTAGGCCAACTCGATCTTCATCGATCAAGACAAATGCATGTCGATGCGAAAGACTTTTCCAACCACGCCAAGATTGGCTGGCTATTCTTACTGAACAGCATACTGTACCGTGGACCGAAGATCTATTTATATAGAAACCGAAAATATATTTTTATATAAAAAAAATAAGAAAATTCGACTTTTCCAAAATTCGAAATCGATTTCTAAAAATATCTAAACCAAAGAAAAATTAAAAATCTCGTTGCGAGAATTCGATATTTTATAATCTGTTAATCTAAGATCACGTTCAAATATCTCATCGTTCAATACTCAAGTTTCTAATACCTAATCAATTAGCTCCGTCATCAAAATTCGATCTTTCAAATTTCCGAAAACCGAATCTATCTGACTCGAAATGAAAATATGTGAAAATGTGTTTATCTTGGTTTGGTAAGGTAATCCAATCAAACGTGTGATTTTGAGGTTTTGCGAAAACGTGTTCCATCTTTCTACTGTTTTTTCCTGAATTTAAAGAAGCTTCTAGCGACAATTTGGCACCCGAAATGACGCAAAAGAAAGGGATGATCCGTTCAATTAACATAAAGATATGGTCAGAGGGAATTTATTTTTAGAATCATTGAATCAACAATCGCGTAACGCTGTGGACGCCTTGGTTAGACTTTAGAAATCAATTGAGTTGACAAACAGCAGTAAACATTTACCCTTTTTCGTTCCATCGATACGTTTTTGGCTGACAATAATTGGGTTTCATTGCGTCATCAAAGAAACATCAATCTCAATACGATCTTCAAAAAGAGTTACAAGAGTTGACGCCCTTAATTTTTTTCGAATCAAAAGAGAAATTCGAAAAAAAATCAAAGTACTCTTGCTTGAAATAAGTTTTATTTAGGGACCTGAAAATCAAGTAATTGAAAAACATGAACTTTTTGGAACTGAGAAAACTGGACTTGTAGATCCTATTTTGGGCCCGCACCCTTCTTCGAAAAAAAATACAATATTTAGAAGTTTCTAACACCTCCTTCAAATCGGATCTGAATTGAAAGGCGCCGTCGTCACCAGCGTTTTTCGCTGTCATTATACTGAATAAAACAAAACCGCGCATTTCATAAGCTCGCTTAGGTCAACCCAATGTCAACAGCGAAATGAACCCAGAAATGGATGAATTTACATTCGCGTGCTTCCAGTTTCTAAAATTATGGAACGGTTGGATAACAAGTATACTTTGCTCGTGAGCTCTTGTTCGTTGAGTTGGCGACATCCGTTGAGGTTTGTCCAAAATGGAGAAATATGCAGTGAGCTGCTAGTCAACGTGCCTCGCTCAACATTCTTAAAAAGGCAATTATTTTTCATCAAATGCTATTTTACAGACTCTAGGACGCCCTGACTTTTCCTCGGTTACGTAGAAAGCCTGAGTCAGATTCTGAAAGAGCTTGAATGGAACGCCGCGTAGCGGCTTTTTTTAGAACGAAGCCGCAAAGCGGCTTCGCAAATACTACCATCTTAATCCATTTAAAAATTTTTGCGAAGCCGCTTCGCGGCTTCGTTTAAAAAAAAACCGCTGCGCGGCTTTTCATTCAAGCTCTTTTAGAACTTGGCTCAGGTTTTCTACAAAGTTTTTCGAGTCCAGGCTGTGGCAACTCAGCAAATGGACTAACCTCCTAGTCGCCCTTCATTTCAAATTGTCACGCATTGGCAAATTCGCAATTACAGTCGCTTGATAGACGTCACGGGTGTTTTCACTGGCGAAGTACTCTAATCAGGTTATTTTGACGATGTCTCGAGCTCCCAGCAACGTTCGCGTCTGCTCCCGCTAATCAAATCATTACTTTCGAAGCTTGAACATGATTAAGCTCATTTCCTTGCAGAAGAAATCTTTGTTGTTTCCTTCCTTTTTGGTATTTTTGTTTGGCGAGTTTAGAGCACTAATGCTTTCACAACAACCCAGCTTGGGTTTTTGGCCAACCTTTTCTCCGTGAACGATTTTGGCTCCAAATCGACAATGTTTAAAAATCGGTTAGAATTTAACATTTTTCACCGATTGATAATTATCCTGTGATTAAAACCGCTGAGTCCGCGGCAGTTCTTCTATTTACATTATCTTTCTTTACTGAAAACAGAAGCTTGTGATTGCTGAAAACATTCATCTATAAGCTGATCTCATTGATAATGATTATCCTACAAATGTTGTTTTACAACGTCACTTTTAAACAAACGGAATATGCTCTTGAGTCCCTTAATTGCTGTTTGACATGAACCACTGCTATCAGAGCCCTCTAAAATCTTTTAGGAATATGTAATACTGCAAAGCACCTTTCATAATAATCGTAGCTTTGTTATGTTATCTACCACGGATCACTCGATTATCTGGACAGTACTGAAGGTCCCTGAATACCAACATGAAAAAAAAACAATTTTAAATTATTAATAAAAAAAAGTTTTTCTTTAAAAAATATTTTCTTAAATTTCGAGTTTATTAACCAATTTTATTGAAAAATCATCAAAAGACAATCAATTGTTAATTGAAAATAAAATCTTTAGATAAAGTTGTTTTGTTTTATTTTGTTGTGTTTGGCGGAGAACAATTGGTGCGCGGTAAGCCTGGGTGCTGTGGCTCTTTGGTCCTCCAATTTGCGAGATGGTGCTCCGAGGCGCCTCAGCACCGCGCGGCTCCTAAGGGTTAGCACCACCACCACCAACGTCAATATCGCCAAAGCGAATATTTTTCCGTACTACTATGAGTCTGTAAATAATATCATAATAGCAATTCATGAACTAAACAGTCACTAATTGACGGCTGTTTTTTTTTATTGACTAAAAACAATTATTATCAAAAGAGAGTAAAAAGAAGAAAGAGATAAAAAAAGAAGATTGAAAGAAAATTAATGATTAAAACGGTATGAATTGATTTTGAAGGAAAAATGAATAGATTTGTTGATAAAAGATTCGCTCTTCTTTTTTGGTAAAATAAAAGGTGATTTCTATAAATCAGTTTTCAGGAAAATCAAAGGTCGATTTTCATACCAACTCGGCAAGTTCAAAGATCACTCGAAAATTAAATTTTCACAGGGAAAAGGGGAGAGTGGTCGCTGCGCTCGGTTTTACGCGACCTCGTAAAAGGTCACGTTCTTCTTTCCAAAAAATATAATTTAGACTTTCGAGGCCAATGAAAGCGCCGAACATAAGTTCGAACAACTCTTGCACGTTTTAAAGTGGTGCTGGTACTAAGTGTAGTGACATTTCGTAATCGCATTTTGGACTGGCACACGTTGAGCTCCCGCTGGTTTTAATTCAATACACAACAGACATATTGAGCCCATATCATCTTGTTACTCCTTGGACTTTGTGATATTGCCATTATCAATTATTATTTCTACGTGGGAGGAGCTTCTTGGAAGATATTTTGATGTTGATGTTTTATAATATTTTCACAATATTAATACTGAATTTTATTTTTAAAAAATTGAATAAAAGATAATCTAACAAGAGTAGACTATTAATACTCTTGAAATATCTAAAATATTATATCTTTGAAAATAATAAAATCTTTATTATTTTGAAGGTTTTGAATTGAAGGTTTTAATTTCTTATTACTAAAATTCATTGCAGCAAAAAACTTCTACGAAAGAAACCCGTTTGCAAAAATGCTCTTTTGAATAAGATTTGACCATGAGAACCCAGGAAAAAACTCCTAGTACCTAGTCGTTCCTCCCTAGTTATGTCATTAGGCTGGTAAACAAGAAGCTCCTCCATTTCTTCCCGACCAATTTGAAGAATCTCTTTCTAAGAAGACTTCTAGCTAATTTCTATTTATCGATAATGAAAGAATTTCATAATTCCTAGATCTATTGCTTCCTAGTAGTGGCGCCTCGCATTCAAATTTTGCGGTTCTGAAATTTTCTCTTTTCAAGATATGCAGAAAAGACTTGAAACTAGGTGAAAACGTGTCGACATTGTCCTTTTTCACCTGTACGCCTTTTTATGAAATTCATAAGAATCCAGCTGGCTGTCGATTTTTTCATTTAAAATACAGATCTTGCAACTGGACAGTTAGAATAAATTGGAAGAATTGGCCTTTCCGAGTGCACCAATCATCCCAGATAAATTTCGGTCGCTTCGATAAGAAAAATATATTTATTATCACGGGGTTCATTTTTAGTTATGTTTGGGGCTCCAGCGAGCTCTATAATGATAAGAAATTAACACAAATATAGTCGGCTTTAGATCCATAGTCTGAAAAAGAGCTTATTAGCAGTTCCGGCACGCGTGGGAAAGTACTCATGTGAGTGATCTTGAGCTTGTTAAACAGGCAGGCTTTGAAATTGACCAAAAACAAAACCAAACAAATTCGTGTGCGATTTTCAGAAATCAAACTTGTACGCCGCGTTTTTTTCTGTTCTATAAAATTTATTAGTTTTCGCTAAAATCTTTCAGGGCCGGCTTTTGCCGAGCCTACTGTTTCTCTGGCTCCGTCCGCCCGAAATACAAGCATTTGATGGGCAGCCATTAACGAGTTGGGCTGAATGGAGCGAATGGTCCCAGTGTGACAGATCATGCGGAAGTGGGTTAAGATCGCGAGTACGTCAGTGCTTGAACGGCTTCCCCGGAGAAGACGGCTGCCAAGGTGCGAATTCCGAGAATGGACACTGCATGTTAGCCGAATCTTGCAAAACTTGCGCCTTCTCGAGTTGGAGTTTCGGAGAAGAAGGAGCGCCCAAAACGCAACTGCTAAAGAGCACGATTTCTTCAGAAAAACAAGAAGTTGTCGGAGACTTTTCCTTTTGCGCCCGAATCAGTCCAACAGCGGATGAACTCTTTGGAAGCCTTGGTGTGTATTCTAATCCCGGAACCAAGGAGCATGTTGTGATCGTATCTGTCCGCCCAGAGCGCAACACAGGCGGGTCAAAGTTCGAGGTACTCTTGGACGGCGACATGAACGTCTACATTTCGGAACAGGCGGCGGAAACTGGATGGATCTGCCTCATCAGAAATGGCGCCAAAGCAACTTTGCGGTACAATGAAGAGGCGCTGGACGTCATTACGAATCCATCTTCTGGATCGAGTATCAAGACCGGCGGGGAACTAGTTTCTGGTCAAGGCTTCCAAGGAACACTCGAGGACGTCTTCATGGTCAACTTCGCCGTAGATTATGAGTCGCTCGAGGAATCAGAGCGCTGCTTTGAAGAGGGTCAACTCTTCGCTGCGCTGCGAATGGAGGACCTAGTCACGAGTTTGGGAGATGTCAATTTCAACGAACGTAAGTCAACAGCACTTGAATTTTACCCCGACACCTCTCTAGAAAAGTTCGAGTTTCATCCTCCCGCTTCTTCCTAACCAATAATCATGTAATTTAGCGTACTTGCTTGAACCAATTCTTTTTTTTCTATTTTTCTTATCAAAAATGAAAATCATTCCTAGAATGGGCTCAATGGGCCGACTGGGGCGAATGCTCAAAAACCTGTGATGGTGGCGAGCGTTTCCGTATCCGCAAATGCATCGGAAGAGATCCAGGAGAAGGTGGATGCTCAGAAGGCCGATTTTGGGAACAAGAGCCTTGTCAAACTCAACAGTGCCCTGCCGGCTGGCGTGAATGGAGCGAGTGGTCGAAATGCTCAAGCAGCTGTGGAGAAGGCGTGAAAACTCGCGTGCGAGAATGCAAAGGTAACGAGTGCTCCTGTGAAACCCCGCGTAAGAGTCGCTTTATTTCGTAAAACGGGGCACTTTGCTAAAAAGCCAACGAAAATGGTTCAAATTAGCGGCGAAATTGAAAATTTCCATATCGGTAATTTTTGATTTTTTGTCTTTCGCTTACCGAGCATTCTGGATAATGAAAAAACCGTTCAGGTTCAAGATGCAATGACGGAGATACAACTGATACTCAAGCGTGTACTCCAACTTCAATCGACCAAAAGGATGTTTTTACTCAAACTGGGAATTTCCAGATGAGCTTTCTATCTCCAACTACGTTCTTTTGAAGAAACAGTTGCCAAACATGGCTGAAGCAACCTTCTGCTACTGGCTGAAGAGCGGCCATGATGGTGTTAATGGGACAATCTTCTCATACGCCCACGGGGAGCAATTCACCGGCAATTCGTTTGCGGTCATGGGCTCGACAACACCCGAACTGGGTCTGAAATTCTTTGCGTTCAGGTAAAAATAGCAGCTCTATTTGCTCAATGCTCTTGATATTCTCGACCATTTTGAGACGATTAAAAATATTCGCCGAGAATTTATTTTCATAACTTCAAACCTGAGATTTTCTTTGCTCTTTCAATAAAATATTCAACATTCAATTTTAGAAAAGACGAGCGACTGATCATAGACAACGATTTCACCACCGCAGGGGAACCTCAACTTCAATGCTTTGTGCTCCACCGTAATTCAGCAAGGGTCGGAATGATGGATTTTTACGTTGATGGAAAATTCAAGAACTCGACGGTTCTTCAAACTGGAGATTTGTACATGATCGAAGAAGGGGGAGAACTTGTAGTGGGACAGGATCAGGACTGTATGCTTGGCTGTTATCAGGTAAGATACTGGCAATCACCATTTTTGATGACTTAGAGATGTGAATTACCGTCTAATTGCCCGTTATTATTAAATTTTAAGGCCGAACAAGCAATGACCGGGAATGTTCTTGACTTCTCGATCTGGGACGCGGCGTTGAGCGAAACGGAAATGGCGGCAATGTCGGAAGCTGGTTTCCCATCGATCGCGCGACAGCCGTTCGTCACTTTGAATAAAGAGAACTCGGAGCGATACGGGCGCATTTCCTACGTCGCACAATGGGCCGAGTGGAACGACTGGACAAAGTGCTCCGTCACGTGTCAATCCGGCTTGCGGACAAGGTCACGTGTGTGCTATGGTGGCAGAGCAGGCGACTACGGCTGCGACGGGGATGAATTGGAAACAAAGGGATGCTACCAGGGGATCTGCGAGGCAATCGTGGAGGAATGCTCCCAATCGACGTGGAATCTTTCGCCTGGCGGGAGTGCTTCTTTCAAGGTAACAAACAATCGCTCTTTTGGCCGCATCTGCTGTCATGAAGTTTTAACAAGGATTGTTAGAGCTTGTTACAGGAGGCTGTTCCCTGTAAGAAAACATTAAAACATCAGTAATTCCAAAACATTGGTTTTCTAAATCCTTATGCAAAAAAAAAGTTTTCATTTATCTCCTGCGAATAGCTGGGGAGATACGTGGTGCTTATCGCATCTTCTGTAATTCTGGATACTTAGAAAGTCTGTGTAGCCGCCATTAACGTGCCCCTCATCTTATCTATTAGCGTTACTCTTTTGGAATGAGTTTATGATGCAATTTCTTAAGGCATTCTTCAACTCGGACAGTTATACCTTCTGCGCTGCTATCTCAATGGATACGTCACCGACTGATAACGTACTCATCAGGTAACTCGTATAATTAACCCTTCCTTCTAACCCGACAATTTGCCGCGCGCTCAAATTGCTAACTACTTTCTCTGTCCTTTCTTAACACCTCAAAGCAAGCTCATTATGTTCGAAAGAGTCTTTTTAAAAAGTGCTGATAAGGAAAGGGTCAGACAAGATTAAAGAGTAGCTCAATAAAGTGACCGGATTTGGTAATTAAAATTTTCGGAAGACAAAAATGGAAAATTCTCTAATAAAGATCAACTGAGTTCAGCTTTAAATAAATTGCTTCAAAATAGAAAAATACACGATTATTTCTAAACGCATCTTTTCTAGTGCGATTTCAAGCGACGACAAACTCATTATCGCCGAAATAGATGAACAATCTGTCGCAGAGTTCTTTTCGCATGAAGTGGATACAGTGACAGCTTGTGTGACATCTTCACAAGAGCACAATACTGTCGAGGTGTATATAGACGGCGAGCTGCTATCCGAGAGCTCATTTCGCGGGGGCATCAGCCGCAACGACGTGTTCACTTTTGGCTCGTCGAGTTTTGGCGGTCAGATTAAGAACTTTGCTGTATGGGATCGATTCTTTACGCCAGCTGAGATTGAGGCGATCTTCGCGTCTAGTTGCCATGCAGGTGCGATCCTATCCGCACGGCCCGATGCGCAGCCCAAGTTGAAGGGACAAATCCGATTTCAAGAGGGTTGGTCCTCGTGGTCGCCGTGGTCGAGCTGTTCCGTTTCATGCGCTGGCAGTGGCTTGCAATCGCGCAAACGCGTGTGTTATGCAGTAGACGTCGAATCTGGCCACTGTTTCGGACCTGACGTAGATACGAAACCCTGTGGACCGTTAATCTGCCCGACATGGTCGAACTGGTCGAGCTGGTCGAGCTGTAGCAAATCTTGCGGCGAAGGATACATTCATCGAAGTCGAGAGTGCTTCCACGGCACTGCTGGAAACCCAGGCTGCGAAGGAAATTCCTCCGAACTCGAACCCTGCGAAGTTGACATCTGTCCAGACCCCTACAATTTTCCCTGGGAGTGTGGGACGGTTACTGCCAAACGAGGAGCTCCTGCTTATCAACGTGTTGTCAACGGGCACACAGAGCAATATGGAGCTGTTCCCTATCTTTGTCAGCTGACGTCTTACGGAGATCACAATTGCGGAACATCGGTTATCTCTCCTAATTGGAATATAGGCAAGGGTTTTTTATTTGTTTTTATGCAAAATCTCCGAATAGGAGAGTAGCCATCAGAAAATCGGATAGCCATCAATGCTATAATTAATTGAACCATTGAAAACCTCGAAAAAGGTGCTGCACATTGCGTCGCCGATTATGACTCTCCCGCTCAATTCCGAATAATCTGCGGCTCCCAGTATCGAAGCCAAATTGACACGTACGAGCAGCAGCGTCAAGTCGAGCGTTACATCAAGCACCCAGGATATGACTCGAACTCGGACTTGGTCGACTACGACATGATGCTGTTCAAAGTGGATCATGCTTGGGAGTTTACAGACTACGTCAAGCCTGCGTGTTTGCCCAAGCGCAACGATTATCCCTCTTCGGGTCAACTTTGTAAAGTGTCTGGATGGGGCTCAACGCAAGCCAAGGACGCAACGCAGTTCTTTTTCGCGCAACTCGAACTCGCCGAAGCTGTACAGTCAGCATATGTGCCCATTACGGAAATGGGAGTATGCGCAGCTGGATATAAGTCGATTACGCGGCGGCAATTCTGCGCTGGCTTTGTAGAAGGTGGCAGAGACGCTTGCCAGGTAATGATTTTCTCTTACGCTTTGTAACGTTTCAGAGATTTGGCGATTTTTCGAATATCAAATAAAATACCACCCATGATTTCTGTGAAAGAAAATGCAATCGTGGGACAAAGACTCAGGATAACAATTATCTGACGTTAGTATTTAGGGAGACTCTGGAGGACCTCTAGCATGTCCTATTGGTAACCGCGGAGTCTATCAACTTACGGGCATTGTTTCGTATGGAATTGGGTGTGGTTCCGCCTCATTTCCTGGCGTCTACACCCGAGTCGAGTCCCTCATTGACTGGATTCTTGATCATATTCGTAAGTGAAGCTCTAAGACTACGTTTTCCATCGTTTATCGTAGTCGATGAAAGCACGCAAGGAGCAGCAACTTGTCAGAAGGACAAAATCGTCGACCTCGAAACTGGAGGTCTCAATTCTCCCAATTTCGATGGAAGATCTGTCTACGACTTTAACCAAGAATGCTCGTGGATTATTAGGTAAACATTTAAACAAATTCAAGAGAGGCCTCCATTAGAATTAGCCAGAACCGCTAAATCGACGTCCAATCGCTTAGCATTCACGAGCCGCGCTTATGTGACTGCGTCGGGTTAAGGAGCCCCTACTGCTAGAATAATACTTGCAGTCTTTTCACGTACCCTGGCGCGTTGATATGTGCTCGCGATTTTCTCGTTACGACCGGGCTCAGATTCTAATCCCTTCCGCGTTGACAATTCCAAAGAGGGAATGCTCGTTTATCTCGATCGGAGATTCGGTTCAAAGGAGGTTAATTGATTTTTCAGCGTTCCAAATGTCAAGTCCTCGCAAAAACTCGTCCTTGACTTTACCCACTTCCACTTGGATGCTGATTCAAACTGCGACAACGATTACGTGGCGATCTACGGCGGTGATCAGTTGACTGAACCGATCGGACGGTACTGCGGACGACAGGAAAGTGGTTTCATAGTGCTCCCGGTAGTTGATTATGACATGCGCGGAAATGCACAGTCAAAACTTCTAAATCGAGGCTGGAGTCATTATTTAATCCCCCTGTGTCTGTTAGAGCGCCAGAAAGAATTCGCGCGAACATAGCTTTACGAATTTCATCCACGCGGATCTATGTCAAGGCTACTAGCATTCCAACTTTGTTTAAAATAGGTCAAAAAATGAAACCATAACTAAAAGGCGCCTCCAGCGATCATTTTTTCTTCCCGCGAAAAACTAAAAATCGTCTTCAAAACTGACGCCGAATCAAGTGCAGAAAAACCAACCGGCTTTGCGGCGAAATTCCACAGGGCGCCGAAGAAATTGGACGAGTCCGGCTGCGGCTCCGCGAAAACGCAAATGGGAATCCCAGAATTGGAGAAGTTTTTGATCGCCAACAATAAGTTCAAAATGTGCGAGTTTTCCATCAAACCGAGAATTGATAAGGGAGTTACTTCCTATCCGGTCATTAGATTAGGGCCTGATACAGATCCAAGTTGCTGCGAAGCTGTCAAGGTAATTATTAATTACTAATTAATAATAATAAGGTTATTACTAATTAACAATTATTTTAATAAAAGAAGAAAGTATAAAAATTTGGCCAAAATTTTATTAATAAAAATCGAACTTATTTCAAACGTAAACTTTAGATTTCTAATCATCCGAAAAAGTTCGACGAGCGCGCTTTGGTAGACAGTTCATCCCTCTGCCGCGGCGAGCCGGCTGTTGGTTTAGACGGCGAGATTAAAATGCGCGTGTACAATGGTCAACGTGATCGGCGCGGACGGAAGTGCAACCTTCAAGTCGGATTTTACTCCGTCACGGATCCGCAAGTTCCTTATCTAAATTATGAGCCCGCTACTGATTCTGGTCAGCTCGCGCCGAGACAAGGTAAAAAGACCAACAATTGGCGTATTTTCTAAAAAGTTGCTTTCAGAAGAAGATAACCTATCGCAATACACATGCTACATGGACTCGATTACGCTGCCTAGGTGGCTTGGAAAATCCTTTCCATTGGACAAGAACGAACGGTTATCATCTTGTATTATTGAAATCCGGCCAAAATCTGCTGCAGTCAGGAACGCTGCTTCTAATCGACCCCCGAAGAGCAAAAATCCCAAGAAGGGGTAAGTCTTTATCGCGTTAAACCCCTCACGATTTAGTTTTCTCTGTGATTCCATTTTTATCGGAACATGTTGATTTCGTTTTTTCATATCAATTAAAGCCAGATTTTGCTTAAAAAAATTAAATCATAAATTGTTATAAAAATAATTATATAAATATTAATCATTGAAGAAACCGTAATGAAAATATACTTGATATATTTAAGTATTTTTTTTTATTTCATTAATATGAATCAAACGTAGCAAGTTCACCCGCATCTGATACACCAGGGATATGTACAATATATATGTGTACTTTAGTAAAACAGAAAGAACAGTTAACTTTTCCTAAAAGAAAAAATATGTGAACCCAAGATTATTATGAGGGTCAAAATTGCTTATTTCAGTCGTGGCATGCTCCAGGACGTCTTCATGATTTCCGGCCAGTTCGGGGAGGAACCCGAAGAGTATGATCACTCCGACCCGGAAGAGGAAGAAGAGGTGGATTTGGAGAGCATGAGCAAAAAAGAACGAGCTCGTTATGAAGAGCAGCAGCGAAATCGGCAAGCTCGTTTGAGCAGGCGAATTGCTGAACGTGAAAAAATCAAAATGCAGCGCAAAGCTGAGAATCTCATCAGAAGGGAGGAAGAAAAAGAAGCGCGCATCGAGGAGCGATTGGAAATGCAAGCACAAGAACGGTAAGAAAGGGCGCTAGAATATTCGGGATGATTTCGTAACACTCTCCAGTCAAGTCACAACACGGAAAATAACAAGATTAAAATGCGATTTTAGATTAAACCGCTTCCACCAGCGGCGGCCTCCCCTGCTTAATCGCGTCCGTCGAGGAGTGAAAAACAAAAAGTCTAAGAAAAACAGCAAAAAACAAAACGGTAAGAAAGGAAGAATTCAACCGACGAAGCGGCCATCAAGGAAAAATCCACCAAGTCGGCCTCAAAAAGGAAATCCGAATGGTCGGGGACCGTCAGGTGGAAATGGAAAAAGCAATATCAGCTCAGGGTTAAAAATAAGTACGCAAATTATCGTAAGCTTTGGGGTCATTCGTGGGGGCTATTTTGAGCCACAAGTATGCATAGGATGCTTTCTAACCCGCATAGTCGTACGAAGCAGAACAACTTCCGCTTATGCACCGCCACGTTGCTTACACCAACAACGCTTATTACAACAGCTGGATGTACTGGCTCCGACGCCAACGTAAGTCTTGAATCCAAAATGCCCCCTCCGTTATCGCGCATTAGCTAACTAAGGTTTATCTAATCTCCTTCCATAAAACCTCTCATGCAAGCGCTCATTACGGGATCCTTTTCAGAACCGTCTCTTTGCCAAAATCGGCATGAGCAATTTCGACCCTCGTGCTCCTACTGATCACGTGCAAACAATTATGATCCGTCGTTGCATTGCTCATCCGAAATACATCCGTGGAGAACCAAACAACGACTTGCAGATTTGCTTCCTTGCCGAGAGCGTCAAGCCGAGCAAGGGCATCATGATTCCTTGTCTCACAGACACGATGCTGCCTCTTAATGATGGAGACATCGTCGTCACAGAATCTCGTACGAATTTCAACAAAGGGAAGACAGAAGGAGTCCCGATGAGAACGCATATTCCCATTTCTGGAAAATACGCTCAAGGAAAAACAAACAAGGAACGCGGTAGTAAAAAATAATCACTTTTTGTTGATACAAAGTAACTCGTTGAGGAGCATTTTTTCACCGCGAAATACAGAACGAGCCAGTGCTAAAGGCAGGATATGCGTTTGGTGACCCGTTATGCATGAAAGAAGTGGGATCGCCAGTGTTCCGCGAGGATGTAAACCAACGCACGCTTGTTGGACTTGTTCAGGGGGCGCTAACGCCTGAGAATCAGTGCCCAACGAGATTGTTTAATATTGTCGACGTAAGTTGAAAATTTTCTGCTTCTTTTGATGATTTTATGAAGCTTCGCGACCACGTGGATTGGATAACTTCGACAACGAAAATGGGTGCCCTGGCGGCGGAACAAGCGGAAAAGCTGGCTCAAAAGACGCACGGTGCCCGTGGAACAAATGACGATCGCTTGATCAAAATGCCAAGGCAATCGGGCGATGAGTCGCGAGAATGCGGACAGGAAGTCATCAGCCTCTGGAATCTCGTGGACGGCGGCAATTGTACTAATAGCATGACGATTAGCTCACCGGGTTACCCTGGGTGGTATCCTGCCAACGCCGACTGTCCCGTTCAAATTCAAGCGCCCGAAGACACCAGGGTATTTTATCGAAAAACTCTTCATTTCTTCTTGTTTTCTAGAGCAATATTAACCGTGTTTTAACCATTCAGGTTCGCGTACGAGTTGTAGAAAAGTTCGATATCGAAGCGTCACCAAACTGTCAAGCGGACAAGATTCATTTGAAGGACGAGACGATGGACTGGAATCTCTGCAACGGGCAACTTCCGGACATGCCAGAGGGAATTGTTGGAACGTCGTCCAAGATGGACGTTAGGTAATTTTTATTCAATATTTTACATAAGTAAAAATCATAAATTCGATCTTAAATGCTCCAATATAGATTTTTGTCCTGTGTACAAAATGAACATCAACTTTAACTAATCGCCTATCGTTACCATAAACACCGCTCTTCATCAGAACCGTCCCGCTAAAGGAAATTCAACTTAATATAGGTTCACTTCCGACGGAACTGTCCAGCGAACCGGCTTTAAACTTCAAGTCGACTGTGTTGATCTTGAGACTGCTGATAAGATCCAAAACTACCGTCGATTCGAAGAACAAGAAGAAGAAAAGGAAAATCGAAAACGCCCTGGAAAAAATCATGCCCAGGTGATTTGGGTCACCGGACGAGATCCCAAAGAGAAAGAACAAAAACGACCATCAAATCAAAAAGGAAAAAATCCGAAGGGCAGACCCCAAAATCAAAACCGACCAAACAACAACAAAAATCGCCCAAACGGAAAAACTAACGATAGGAAGAAGCCTCAAAGGGGCTAAATTACCAGTTTGAAGGACCATTCCCTTCGTCAATCAAAAAACACCTGCTGCTCAACTATTTAACGACCGAAAACTACCTCAGAAAATCATACGATAATTACTTGTATTCATATTTAAATAGCTTTTTTACAAGGTTTTCCATTTTTTACATTAATTCAGCCAACTGTATAAAATGCTTGATATAGTCTCGCATATCATCATTTCTCAACACACACAAAAATCCAAACTGAAACATAAAATGACTTCAGCTTATTGTAAATAATGATCTGTATAATAATAAACAGTGTGCTTCTTTTTTTTCATTCCTTGTTTTTGTCAGCATTCGGATTAGTGAGTAAGGGAGGTTTCTTCTGTTATTATCGGTTGGAAGGATGCAATTAGTCTGGGTCTCAGACCCAGGATTCATTTCAAAAGTGACGCCTGGGTCTCAGACCCAGGATACCCCCTCAGAAGTGACGCCTGGGTCCAATACTCAGGATTCATTTAAAAATGGGCATTTTAGGCAGACTTCGTCGATTGATTCTCTGAAAACTCTCAGATCTATTTGCCCCTTACCACGGGGCTTCGCCCCTTAGGTCCTAAGATGCCGGGGTCTAGTCTAGGGTTACTTAGGGTTACCTTCAGTAACCCTAACTAACCCTAGCCTATCCCCCTCGGGTGAGACTGTTCCGTCATTTTTGCAGGTGCCCCCTAACACTAACCTTAATTATAGTAAATACAAGACTCCTTATCAATAATTCATAGAAGGAAATTGTTTTTTTCTTCTTACAACCCCCATCTCCTAATTTTTGGACCCAGGCGTCACTTCTGAGGGGGTATCCTGGGTCTGAGACCCAGGCGTCACTTTTGAAACGAATCCTGGGTCTGAGACCCAGGCTAATTGTATACTTCCTATCGGTTGCGTTGAAATCATGGAAGAGTTTCCTCTTTGTATAAAATCTATCAAGGAGATTTCAGGCAAATTCGAATCAAAAAAAATTGAATGAATCGAAATCATTTCCTGTTGTCGAATTCCCAGGTTTTACATGACCAACTGCTTGGATTGTAGAGGACGTATTCCAGCCAGTTTGGCTCATTGGAGCACTAACAGGGCTCCTGGAACCGGCGCGCATCGTCAAAAGAACCTGCTCCAGATGATGTCTATTTTGCGCCAGCATGTGATGAGTTTCTGGGCCAGCATGGCGAGCCAACTTTTCATAGAGAATGTCGATCTCGTGTCTGAAAAACAACTGAATTCGGAGTCGGTTTGATGTTGCCTTACTTGCTAATTTCATCAACATTTACTGTGAGATAATTCCGCAAAATTCTAGCACGATCCATCAATGCGAAAATAACTAGAAACGAGTAAAAAAGACGAGAGGATTGAAGAATACCTTGAAGAGTATAAATAAAAAGGCCGGAAAGGTACTTCACCCAAATCAACCATGTCTGACTTGGCTGCTCTGCTAGAAAGTAAAATATCAGCTCCCAGATAAGCTTGATCAGGTATGAAGCAGCGATAAAAGAAGCCAGCCAGATGACGTTAATGTAAATGAAATGGTGATCCTTCCACGACGCTACTAATCCGGTTATGCAGGAGAAAAGCCCAAGACTGAATATTTTTAAGATAAGGCATAAAATTTCAAACAAACATTGTGAAAGTGTAGAAGTACTGTCGATCTTGAAACGTATAGTTTTCGCTGTCAATCCAATCTGCTAAAATCGGCCATGCTGGAATCGATGCAAAAAGCGCTGATTTTTTTATGAAAAGAAAATTTCTCTTTCGTTACCTTCCAAAACAATTCCCAAAAGACAAGTCCCAATCAATCTGAAATTGTTCATCACATCTCAATTATCGTGATAATCTCTTTCTCTGTCTCTGTTTTGGCGATCGACGGAAGCAGCTTACAAAGAATAGTTGTACTCGGGTACCAGATTCTTTACGACTTTTGCCACGGTTTTTGTGTTGCGACAAAAGTGACAAAAGCCAGAAGTGAGCCAATGCTGATTCAGCGCTTCAAAAATCTAAATACTCAAAAAAAGTAAACTCGGTGTAAAATTAAATAAGCAATTGCTCTTCATTCATTTAGTTATTGTTCATGGGCATTTTATATCATTTTCTATAATGTAGTTTAGAAAGGATATTTATGCAGTAGATTTATCATTTTATAATTCAAAGAATAGAGATCAACAATTTGAAATTGTCAATTTCACGGAAAAATATTTTTTGTTATCTTCCTTGATTGCCAATTCGCAATTGCATCCCGAGTAAGATTGTTATTGTCATTTTTTCATCATTTTCTCTGTTGAAGTTTTAATTTTACTAAAAATTGACGCTTTCGTATACTGAGGCGTCTTGTAATACTATTTACTCTCGCTCCTGCTTTATTGACTTTGGGGAAAATGAAAAAGCGCAAAAACCTCGACGCCCTCCTAAAATTCTGTCAATTTGACTTTTTCTCGATAACAACTGACTCTTGCTTCACGACAAAACACTTTCCTGCAATAATATCACTTATTTTTTAAATCTCATTTATTCTTGTGATGAGAAAACATAGAACATTTTAGAATAGAGATAACGTAGGGGTTAATTTTTAAAATGGCTCGCACTCTGAAAAAAGGAAGATATAGCGGTTCATTTTAAATAAAAAGTTATTATGTAAAGCACTTATGAGAATCGAACTATCACAGTGTAAAATCGCTTCATTTTAACTTTCTTGATTTCTCATTTCTCTGATGATCGCCCGTTTGAGTAGGCTATATACAGCGGATCAGCGATAAAATGATGGCGATCTACAGCAATCTCAGCAGGAGACCGAAGTAAGAAACGATCTTTTTTGTCAACGACCCATTTTTTTTTATCAAATGAGAGCATCAAATGACCTCGTACTGATCAAATATCACTGAGAACGACTTTGCTTAGAGATGCCGCCTGATTTTTTCAAAAGAAATGGCAAATTTTCATGCTTCTTCAAATTCATCTTCGAAACTCAAGATCTATATAACCCTATTTATAAACAAGCCTTGAAATTACATGGAAACTTGGAAGTTTATCTTTTTTCACCGTTTAAAAAATTATGGTTGATTGTTTGCACAATTTGGATTGATAAATCTAAACTTGGACCGGCCGGCAGTCAGCAAAAGTCGTCATGGTTGGCCTTGAATGACTAAAAGTTGCGTTGATTTTGATCCGACGTGAGTTCGTTTAGAACGGTAGTGAATAACTTTCCACGTCGGGTGTCTCCTTGATTATTTACAATTCTGAAAAGGGACTATTCTACCCTGGACAGCGCTCTTCATGCAAATTTTTTAGACCGACGATTTCTTATTTTAGATCTTACGTTGGAAGATAACAATCTGAGACATGAATTTATTGCCATTCAAAATAGTGAATATTTGTTGAGAAAATATCCGTTCGTATTCAAAATCTCAAAAATCAAATATGAAATTTCAAATTTTAAAGAAATGCAAATTTGCTTTGTGGAATCGCATTAGTTAGCAAACCATCATTCCAAAAAATTCATTCGAAAAAAAAGTATAAAAGAAGCTGCTGAATGTCGAGCGACTCAGGTTCTCATGAAATAAGTGAAAGCTCACTTGGTGATTACAGAGAAGAAGAGCTACCAGAAAATTCGAACATTTCTCCGTTGACAGCTGCTGAAATAAACATCGCGATTGATGCGAGAATTGCATCAACGTTCCTGGAACTTTGTGGAAGAATAGCTGATCTTGAAAACTCCCATGAAAATCAAAGCCTTTTTATCAAAGAGCTTGAGGCTAACCTAGATGTTATAAAACTAGAAAATGAAAAACTTCGAGAGGAGAAATATATCGAGAAAGAGACTCTCCGAGAGAGACACAGACTTAATGATGAACTGAGCAGTATTCACGGTATTGGACATTTTTATGGTGATGATCGACAAACTGTTCATGGAGGACTGAGAGGTGGAATGTATAAGGCAGATCTTGAACGTCTTACGACATACATAAATAGAGGAATTCAGAAGATGAATTTTAAGGTTTGAAATTCTCTAGTTTTTTGTATATAAAGTTTATATATTTAATATTATTACCATAACAAGTACTTTTTCAGTTTTTTTCGACAAGTGATATTGGTGTTAATCATAATGGGGTGCGTATTGAATTTATTGGTAGTTCTCATGTGCATGATCCAAAGAGAAATGTCTGCTCCCTCCGAATAAAGCAATCAAGTCAGTAATTATCATTTAACGATTATATCATTTAACAAAATAGACAAAGCGAGAAAATTTAAAGCTGTTTTCGAAGAAGTTTGTGGACATACAGGAAGAGTTCTTAGACAGAATGAATACCGAAGTATTCAAGAAGACGGTTTCGAGCGAATTCTTGTGCCTAAGAAAAATAGAAATGTTTCTGATCTTTCATTTACTGATTCAAATGAATCTGAGTATTGCTACTACCGCTTTAACATTACTTTCTTGGAGTAAATATTAATTGTTCACTCCTGTCAAAATAAAAAAAAAACGCATGATGATTGCTTCTTAAAAATTATTTTCTTAAACTTAAGACACGTTCCATAATTGGCTATTGAGCTATTTTGATGCGATAAAGTTCGAAAGAGTTTGGCTTCAAGTGTCAAAAAATAAGCAACATATGATAATCCCTTTTCCGGCGAATGGGGCTTGCCTAAGACGACGTTGTTATGACCATTTCCGAATAATCAAGTTTGAAATTCTTAATTTGAATATTTTTAAAAGGCGCTGTTTAGAAATGACTCGACAGCAATGAGGGACTGTTTGAGCTGATCTCGGCTGGAGAGAGATAAAGGGGACAAGAGCCAATTTGCTGACTAGAACTTGAGCGCATTCGGGAAAAAACTAATTGACCTTAGCAAATATCGTAAATCTTTCCGAGGGTGCTTGATGGTCTGATTTGATAGTTTGAGAATGGGGTCGTGTTCTAAGATTGTGGGAAGAAATCTGGGTAAGATCTCCTGCTGAAAACAGCGACAAGTATTTAAAGCCAGCGCTTCCTTCAATTTAGAAATAAAAGAGAATACTTTGAAATGAAGCTTTTGTGTGTTCTACAGTCGTACTTGTAATTGCGAACACAAAACTAACTGAAACCTTACTGTTATTAGATTACAGTGTTATCTTATTTAACAATCGACCAGTTTTTCCGGTTCTATTTTAAATAGACAATTCGCTTTGCTGTTATAAAAATTTAAAATGAATCATCTTTTTTAACGAGTTTTAAGGTTTATTCTGTGAACTGTAGTCTTCATATCTTGAGTCCTAACCATCTGCAAACATTAAAAAATGAAATAAATTACTTCCAAAAACATAGTTTCCAGTCCATATTTTCAATTTTTCGCCCGAAAAGCCTGATACAAAATATCAATAATATAAAATCTGAAATAATTCTTTCCCCAAGTCTGACTCAACTGGTCTATTTAATAGTTTCTCCTTACGCCATCTCCTTTAGACAGAAGCATAAGCGCTAAAATATTTTCCAAATTATTTGAAAATCTGACAGCGCCGTTTGTTCCGGCTCCGATTGTTATAAAGCTTGTCACGTGAAATGAGAGCTAAGAATACAAACTTACCTAATTCGATCACCCCGGCAGCGTGAATAATCCAAAACTGCTTGTTTTCACGGCACGTATTTCGCAAATTTTTTGCTCCACAAAAATTTAAAAATCCACTTTCAGAAAGAAATCCGCTTTGCCCTAATTTCATTATCTAATGAAAGTTTTATCTGTTTTTTCATTAAACAATTAGGGTATTTTTAATCTTTTTATTAAAAAGAATTCATCAAGATCAGAACGTGATTTACGCAATTTAGCGAATTAATAACTTCCAAGTCCGTTTTCAATAATTTAAACAGAGACAAAGAGGCTTTCTGCGGTTAGATATTGACTGATTTATCAACAATGAGTTACCGTGAAGGTTGCATTTAGAAGTGTTTGGCTATTTTATACAAAGGGACTTAATTTTGTCTAAATAATTGGAATCTCGTCAAGAATTATTTTTAGTTTGGTGAACTCGTATAACGTCAGCTTTTAAATTGCTTGTTGAAAGGATTCAACAAAGGTTTTAATTATTTTTAAAAATAATTCTTTGAGAAAATGAACAGAATATTCTTAGTTCGATGATATTCTTTGATGACTAATATCAAGAATATAACTAATTTTGCCGAAATTCTTAATGAAAAATAAGATTTTACCGAGTTTTTTGGGCGATAAGTTTTTCAATTTTAAACTGAAAAATTACAATTTATTAAATAATTCATGTAATAACTAAATAACAATATTGTTTATGATTGCGTACTCTTCAACTAAATTCTAATGATAATCTCAACTTTCACGAAAATTTCGCGTCGAGCGTAAACTTTGAATGGCGCCCCAAAACGCTGATAACAGCGGTGTTAATCGGAAATCTGGAGCCACCACGCGGCGCGGCGCTCCGTTAAAAGCACCACCATCCGGCGCTTGGAATCATCAAACATTCTCAGAGATAGTAAAAGAGGAAAATGAAGCTTTTCAGTCTTTTCTCGAGCGTTGCTTTTGCACAAACGGTTGAAGTTGATAACGATGTTTGGGACATTTCCATTGATCAGCCGATTGAGTTTAATGTCGAAGATCCAATTTACAAAGGTAAAAAAAAAACTCGATTTACGATTGATTATTTTTTAGAGTTCAAAGCGATGCAAGCAACAGAAACGATCATGGCCCGGGCAATGGTCGGCACAGATGACGATGCCGTCCGAAAGATGAAAATGCGCAAGTTTGATACGCTGAAGAAAATGATCGCCTATTTGGACAACGCTGCTCGACCCGACTTTGGAAAATCTTGCCACTATGGCTGTCACTGCCTTGTTGACGGTAAAAGTGGTATTGAAATTTTCAACTATTGATCTTCCAGGAATGGATGACATCCTTGCTGGCTATGGCCAACCAGTCGATGAAATTGACTCTGCTTGCAAACGATACAAGCAGTGTGTCAAGTGCGCGCTCCAGGACTTTGGAACTGATGTCTGTCCGTGGTACAAGCCGTATAAAATGACAGCCATGGTCGACACCGAAACAGGCGAAAAACACCTTGTTTGCAAGGACAAAGCCAGCGTTAGAAAATGATAAAAAATAGAATTTTGATTCAAGAGCATTATTTTTTAACTCGATGAAAGCTGGATACTGTAAAAATGCGCTTTGCGAATGCGACGCTCAGTTGGCTCGAGATATGGCGGAACACAAAGAATCCTACAACAAAGACTTTCATTCCAGGTATGGCGGATTTAATAGGGAAGACGAGTGCAGAAGCAACAATCACGGCGGTAATGGCGGATCGAGCGGATACAAGCAAGAACGAGAAGAGCAGATTTGTTGTGGAGAATTCCCGCAGAGATTTCCATACTCACGTAAATATCTCCTCTTTTTATCCATAAAAAACGTTTGTTTTAGCTTCAAAATACCAGTGCTGTGATTCGAAGATTTCTTCCCTCGGATCCTGCTAGAATCATTCACATCATCAACCACAACTGTAGATACATGTATAGAATTACGAACTTTTCAATAAACTTATTGTTTGATAAAAAAATCTTTGTTTTTGTGATTCAAATCTTATTTTGGTGCGATTTCGACGATTCAAAAGGAAAGATTGCCATCAAAAATTTAATATTCCTGACCTTTTCGACTTTTAAACGCAATTATCTTGCAAAAAATCGTCAGATATGGATGCAACAGACGAGGAAAAAGACCTTCAGAGACAGATGATTATTGAAAGAGAAAGATTGAGGAACATTAGCGGAACAGTAAGCCAGTTCGAGCAGATACGCCGCGATGCTCTCCTTGAAATCGAGAAGCAGAAAGAGGAGAAACTACATTCTCAGAAAAAACTTGAAGACTATGAAAAGCAGCTGCGAAATTTGATCAGGAAGAAGGATCAAGAAGAATTGAAAAAGCTCGAGGATTTATTGGAGACTTCGCTTTTTGATGAAAAAATGATGTTGAAGAAGTGAAGGCGTTATTCAAAAGGATTTCAAAAAGAAAAAGCACGATCAAGCAACTCAAAAATGATATTCTCAAGAAAAAAAGTCAAATCGATCTTACTTCTACACATGAAATTGTCAAAAATATTTCAATCGCATCGCATCCACATTACACGTCTAAAACGCGGTGCAAACGCAAGGCAGAGTCCATATCACCGAAAAGAGAAATTGAATATGGATACTTGACCTCGCCTTCCACGATTCCTGCCGAGGATAACAATGAGCAAAAAGATTTTTCGATTCCCAAGGCGAAAATTCTAAAGCTCGAGAAAGAGGATGAGACCTTTTCAATGCCGACGAAGCATTCTCCTACAGTTACTTCGAAAGTTTCAACACTTCATATGTCTGGCAAACAGCCATGGCCCATGGATGGATGAAGTCTGGGAATGGTACTCGAGGGAAACGAGAAAGAGGGTTCTTCTCCGCTCTGATGTTCACAATAAAGGTGTCAGTCTCAACATTGGTATGGAAATGTCCAAGTCTTGGGTCAAAGTAAGCTGTCAAGTTGTTTTTTTTTCTTATCTATTCTTTAAAGAATTGGTGCAGGAAGTACAAGGTTAATTTCATGGACCAGAAAGTCTTCCAGGACATTGCAATTATCGAACAGAGAGCGATCGACTGGCTTCTTGAGACAGAAAGGCCAACTATTGGGCGCGACGATCGTATAAGAGTTGAAAGTATCTTGCGAAAGGGTGAGTTTTTTACACACTACTTCATGATGTCGGAATTTTAAGGTGCAGCAGAGCTCGGAATCTCAGACGATTTTATTACGAAAAAATATTTGGAACGGCTTATCAAACGAAAGAGGGTTACCAGACCTAAAACCTTCCTGCAGAAAAAGTTCGGCACGATGACCCTCGAGGATGAAGACGAGTTGTCGTTCTAACAGTTGACATGTATAGAATTAAAAACTTTCCAATAAGCTTCTTCTAAAAACTTGTGCTTTTTTTCGTGATTGATATCTAATTTTTACCGTGGCGCAATTTCAAATTCGGTTTCGAAGAAAAGATAGCAATCGAAATCGTCAAAAAAAGTGGCGAAGTCTATTTTGAAAAAACAGTTAGCTCGCAAAAAACCGAGAATTATGACTGTAACTGACGAGGAGAAAGATCTTGAGAGACAAATGAAGATAGAAAGAGAGCGATTGAGGAACATTAGCGGAACAGTGAGCCAGTTCGAGCAGATACGCCGCGATGCAGTCCTTGAAATCGAGAAGCAGCAAGAAGAGCAACTCCATTCGCAGAAAAAACTTGAAGATTATGAAAAGCAGTTGCGAGATTTGACGACGAAGAGGCAGCAAGAAGAATTGAAAAAGCTCAAGGAAGAGTTGGAAACTTTGCTTGTCGAAGAAAAGAATGATGTTGAAGAAGCCAAGACATTATTTACGAAACTATCGAAAAGAAATGAAATGATCGAGCGAGTCAAGAATAATATTCTCAAGAAGAAACAACAGCTCAAGGACAACAACATCGATGATACGTCCACTGATGAGATTATTAAAAATATCGAGACGACACGAGCAAGAAAATTTTCATTTCTAGTGAGGGTTCGAAACATACACAAATTAATCATCATGTTATAATTTCTAGCGGATTTAAAATTCAAGCTTAGAACCTCAAAGAAAGTGACAAATGCAAAGCTTCTCGAGACATCAAAGAAGCGGGGTGAAAAATTCGTCAGCGACTTTCTGACCAAGTACCAGATCAAGTACGGAAATAAAAACCGAGAGAAGATGGAAGATGGCTTTGATAACCGGCGAAGATCTCTTTCAAATGTTGACTCTGTATTCATCAAACAAGAAATCCGTTTCAGTCCTATGAAACGAGAATAGTTTTTGAAGCCTTTTGAGACCCTGAAAATACACGCAATTAGATTTCTTATAATAATGTCGATTCTTTGCAGGAAGTGGTTTAGCGAGTAAAAAATCTTACTACTTACCGTCATTTTCGGTAGCTGCATACTTTGTTGACGCGGTGTGCCCGTTGGCGTTTGGCGGTGGTGTTGAGTTGCCATTGGCACCAATCTAACTCGGCATTTTCATATTTAGCCCGTATAACTTCATTTTATGAAGTTGTGCTAACAAATTTCGGACAAGAGAGAATGCATCATTAGGAAAATTGTAGGAAATCGACTCTGCCAAAAAATCAACCTTAGAGAATGGATAGGGGCGATAATGCTAGCCAGATGAATGGCGATACGGCTTCAATGGTAATTAGCTACTTAGAAATTAATAAGAAAAATTTATTCTTGAGCAAAATTATTTTTATTATTTATGAAGTGAGAATTTACAGACCTAAGTCGACGATTTTGCACCAGAAAAATCTCAGTGAAGGGATTTTCTTTGATAGAAGTAAGATTTTCGCTCAAGAATAAAGAAAGCAATTAGGTTATTGACAAGTTATTTAATCGGGGAATTTAGTGGTCCCGTGGTGGTAGATCTTCGTCCCAATTCGCCCGGGCACCTCCAGGCGTGGAGGAAAGAGCAAGTTTCTCTCCTCCGCCAGGACTCGTAGGTGGAGCTAGAGACACTTTCAGTCCGCCCGGGGCAAACTCACGTATGTTAGGCACGATGGTGCAAAATCAGCCCCCAGTTTCTTGGCCAGGATCGCAGCTTATCTGCTCCACCAAGCTGGGAAAGATCTCGCATGTCGAGAAATCCGGCTGTTTTTCACCTTCCACGAGGTCAAGGCTCATTTCGAGAAAGCAAGCGATCACAGCGAAATGGTCAGCCTCCTGGCACGTGATCGAAATTATAAAAAAAAAATTTCTTATCAAAATAGTTTTTACAGTAGTAAAGATCATTGATAAAGTTTTCACTCGCATGGATCCAGATGCAGATTCCCGTTCGATGTGGTCATTTTATTCTGGCCCAGAAGATCATCTGCCACGGGGCGGCCAGGTACGAGTTTCATATTTTCTTTCCTAACCCGTACCTGGAGGTGTTAGCTCCTCTTATTTTTCTTATATGATTTTTTATTCAAGACACCGTCTGAACACCTCGCAATGCTGAACCAACAAGTATCTCAAAAAGAAGGCAAATATCCAAAACGCGCTCCATCAGTATCCGGCAACCAGAAAAATGGCGGTGACTACCAACTATCCGGCGTCACTTCCAAACAGCTCAGCTTGGAACGCCAAGTTGTCGAGCTCAACTCACTGAATCAAGAGCTCGAGCGTCGACTTCAAGGCGTTACTGAAAATTTCCGCCAAGCGAGATCTCACCACGAGCAAGAACTCGCTCAGCAACGAGCCTCAAGCCAGGCTATTGAGCTTCAAGCAAGCGAGCACACTGCTCTTGCTCAACAATATCATGCTCAACTGACGGAAATGAGGGGATCGATGGAGCAACTTAGTAAGAATTCAACCACGCTTCAGCAGAATGTGATCGAGATGCAGACTCACCTCCAGGCCAAAGACAAACAATTACAGCAATACCTTCAAGAAGCCCAGCGAGCGGCGCAGGGCAATCCAGTGCTCAACGAAGCCCACATGGGACGAATGCTACGCATGAAAGTCGTTGAGCTCGAGGAGACTGTTTCCGGCCGCGCTAGAATAATCGAAATGCTTCAGCAGGAGCTTTCGTCCAAAGAATCCACCTCGACTAAAATGACGGAAGCAGCGCAGCAGATTCAGGCTCAATTTGCTATGCTCCAAGCTGGAAAAAGCAGTTTGGAACAAAAAATAACGGCTGAAGAGCAGCGCCATCTCCAAGAAAAAGACCAACTCGTTAAAGCTTTGGAAAACTATTCGAAAGAAGCTCAGGATGCGCAGACAAATGCTCAAACAGCATTTGGTGAGAAACAGCGGGAATATGAAATGAAAATTTCTGAAACGATGAAACAACTTGACGTCGTTCAAAATCAAAATGAACAGTTGGAAACATCCAAAGCGGAAGTAGAAAAGCTCTTGGCAGAAAACCAGGAAGAACTTGAAAAAACTCGAGTTCAAGCAAAGAAATTACAGTCCGATTTAGTCGAAACGACTGAAATTCTCCAGCAACAACTAAATCAGGCGACCCGTGAGTTGACTAAAGAATTCAAGGACAAGCAAAATTCTTGGGCTGAGGAACGCAAACGACTCGACAATGCTGTTCAAGAAATGACCGAGAAATCCGCAGATCTTGAAAATCAATTAGGAAAGCAAAACAATGAATACAATCAACAAATCCAAATGTACCAAGATCGAGAAGCTGAGCTGACAAATGCGCTTGCTCAGCATCAAGCTGAACTAGAAAAATCCCAAAAGCAGACGATAGATCTTGCCGAGAGTCTTCGCTTGCTTCAGGTCGATATCAACACCAAAGCGGCTGATTGGGGAGAAGAAAAGCGACAAGTTGAGCTTTTCATTCAAAACGCGAACAAGGATTTTGACGAGCGTGCAAACGAAGCTAGAAGACAACAAGAAGGATGGGAAAGTGCGAAACTAAACTATGAGAATCAGATCGGTCAGCTCACAGCTCAAGTCGAGGAGCTAACGAAATCAATCACTGAGCTCGATGAAATGACAGCAGACGAGCGTGAGCAACTCCAAAGCACTCTTTTGAACAACACCAAGGTCGCTGAGGAGAATATTGGAAAATTGCAACGAGAAAACGAGGATTTTCGAAAAGCGGTGGCGACACTTCAGCAAGAAAATGAAACGATCGAGCGTGGCTGGTCGGATAGATTTGTTCAGATGGAGCAAGACTGGAACGATAGACTCCAACGAGCAGTTCGAGAAAGTGAACGAAGCCGAGGAGAATACGATCAACTCGGCAAGGACAACGCCAAGCGAATGGAAGTCATCGAGAAGACCTTTGCCGAGGAGCGCTCAAGCATGGAAGCTCGAATCAAGCAACTTCAGGCGGAGATTGAACGCGAGCGAGAGACTCAAGACAAAATCCGTGAGGAAAATCGAACGCTAAGAATCGACCTGGAGCAGAGTAACAGTAAAGGAGAAAGTGCGAATCGATCTTTCCAGCGACAGAAAGAAGCTCTTGAAAAGGAGAAAGAAGATGCAAACAAGCTTCGAGAGAAAGAAAAGGAGCAATTTGTTGCAGAGCGTGCTCAATTAGAAAACTACCTTCGTTCAGTCTCTGAACATGTCAAAGCTCTACAAGACTCATCGACAGCTGCGGCAGAACGATTCAGCGCGGAGAGAACAAAGCTCGAAGAAGAAATAAACTCTACGCAGGAAGAATCGAAGGAAAAGCAAAATGAGTTGAGAAAAGAACGGGATGAGCTTCAGATCGAAATTGCTCGATTCAAGTCGCACTCTAAACAAGAACTCGAGCAAAAACTCGAAGAGATCAGTATCGCTCAGTCGAAAATAGCTCGCCTCGAGAAGAACAGAGATGAGCTTGAAAACCAGCTAGAACAACTCGCAAAGACTCATAATCTTTCTGAGCAGCAGCTCGCCGAAGCAACAGAAAATTCAATGAGCATTGAATCAAGATCGAAGCAAGAGCGCGAAGAATTCGAAAAAATGCAATCATCACTCGAAGAAACCATCAAGGGAAAAAACCGACAAGTCGAGGAACTTACAGCTCAACTTCTTCAAAGCCAGCTTCAAACGGAAAACATCAAGAAAGACTCGTCTGATTTGGTTGCGCAAAAGGATGCAAGCTTTGCAAAGCTGAAAAAGGAGCTCGAAGAAGCTCAGATTGCCTTCGAGAATTTCAAGAAAGAATCCCAACTGAAGGAAGAATCAATGATTGAAGAACAGCGTGATGAACTTCAGAAAGTTCAGCGAGAAAATGCAAGAAAACTCAACGAGATCACTTCGATGATGCAACTATCAACAGCAGAAAAGGAAAAGATCGAGGCGGAAATGAGCGAAAAATTGGCAAAAACTGAGGCAGAAATGGCTGAAAAGCTTCAAAAGACTTCCCAGGAGTCGGAAATTGCGGAACAAAAAGCTAAGCAAGAATTGCTAACTGAAAAGGTACCTCATTTTTTAAGAGATAAAGGATTAACTTATATTCAGAATCAATTCGATGTTCAAATGTCGTCTCTCTCGCAGCACATCCAAGCTCTTACCCTTGACGGAACCCAAAAAGCCGAAGCAATCCAGTCTCTCCAAGCAGCAAAGGCCGAAGTTGAGCTCCACCTCGCACAGGCCATTCAAAATCAAGAACAGCTCACGAGCCAGCTCAAGAATCACCATGAACAGGCTGAGCTTGCTCTAAAGCAGTACAAGACGGAGCTTGCTAATAAAGAAAATGAAATTTCTCAAAAGATGAGTTTGATTGATGCGAAACAAAAAGAAATAATCGGCCTTGAGCAACAGAATATTACTCAAGAAGGACAGATTAACAAGTTGAAAAATGAAGTTCAGAAAATGCATGATGATTGGAAAATGCACGAGCAAATGCTTGCGGCTTCCGGTAAGGGTCTTTTTTGTCCTTGGTAAAAATTTGAATAGCAACGAATCTCAAATCTCAATATGAAAATCTCGCATCCGATGCTTCTTCCAAAATTTCCGAGCGAGATGGCGCCATCAATGAGCTCAAGAAGGAAAAGCTTTCTTTCTCTCAAATGGTTGAAGAATCCAACCGCTCGGTCCATCAGCTCAAGCTGGTAAGTTCACAAATAAAAATTGTATATTTGAACTTCTGCGTGGGATCAGACGTGATCCGATGCTTATCACCGCAGCATTGTCATGATTTAACCTGCCCACTGGGTGTCTTTATATGATATCAACGCCCAACGCCGACAAAATTTTCAAGTACCTCCTCACCCAAAATCTGAAACAAACAGTTGCTTTTCTTATCGCCCATTTTTTCAGAACTTGGAGCGCGTAACAAACGAAAACTCAACTCTTGCTGCGGAAATCGAGGAAGCGAAGTTAAAATATAAAGGTACAGTTATGCGGTTATTCAAAAAGAGTAGAACAGGGATTGAGACGTGAGGAACAAGACAGGAGTGAATTTTATTTGTTATTTACAATAAGCATCGCTAAAGGGCACGAAAGCGCTCTGTCAACGTGTCTCCTTGATCATTCCTAAGGAAGGGACAGTTTGATTTTACCTTATTCTTTCTAGCGTTGCTGAAAGACAGTATCCAGCAAAAAGAAACGATCTCAGAGCGAGATCTTGCGCTAGAAAAGTCGAAGAAGGAGCTTGATCGAGCTAAAGAGGAAGTTAAATTTGCAGCCGCCGACGTTGAGCAAGTCACTCAAAGCAGTCTCTCGAATAGTCACTTGGTCAATAAAACTAAATATTTTGAATATTCCGAAATTTTATATTGCTGAGCTGTCAATTCTAGGACTTGACTTGACCAAAGGGAAGAAAACTTTTCCAAGCGGAGAAAGACCGATTAGAGGAGTTGGTTTCAGACCTTCGAACTCAGTTGAAGCAAAAAGAGCAGAGAATCTTTTCTGCCGAAGAGGAAATATCTGTTCTTCGGGACAAGTCTGGTGGTGCTACTAAGGCCCTTTCAAAGGTTTCTAGTGATAAGAATCTCATTTCATAAAAACGCTTTTAGGAGAAAAAGCGGCTTGAAGAAGTTGAGGACTCCCTCCAACAAGCGCTTCTAGCCGGAAAACAACGAGAAGCTCAACTCAACTCAGAAATCGAGAGCAAGGAAGAGTTCATTCATAAACTTGAACGGAAGAACGCTGAAATGGTCAGACGACTTCATCAATTTGACCTTGAGAAGGTAACACAATCTCTGATTTTGCAAAATTACCGAGTTTGTTAGGACGAAATGGTCGAGCGAGAGGAACGGCTAAACAATCTTTTGTCAGAAGGAAATGAAACCTACGGAGCTCTTCAAAACGAGATGGAATCTCTTAAAAACCAGTACGAGCGAAGATTGAGAACATGTGATGAGACAAAGAGAGAAAACGAAGCAACCATTCATTCTCTCGAGGTCGACATTGAAAATATGAGGGCGCGGCTACTCGATGCTGAGAAAACATCTGAAAGGCTCAAAGCAGATGTTGATAACAAAGGTAAATGAAACTTTTTCACACTTGACAATTATTAATCGCTTAATAAGAACGCGAAATAACACGTGAACGACAGCAGCATAAGCTCAAGGATAGCGAGGCAAATGAACGAATCGAAGGTCTCCAGCACGACCTCAAAATCCAGCAGAAAACACTTCAAGCAGTCACAATGGATCTTGAGTCCCAAGCAGCCGAAGAGACTGGTCGACTGGAAAGACAAATTGACATGCTCAAGATGGAAGTTGAAAGCAAAGACAATGAGCTTAATATAGTCAGACACGAAAAGGAAAGGGTTAAAAGTATTGATCATAAATTATGGCTCAATTCGAAAATTGTTTCTCTAACCCTGTAAAGGACATCTTGGATCAATCTGCGAGTGATCTTCGTGGCGAATTAGAAGTTATCGTTGCCCAACTTGACCAGACTCGCCAAGAAAAGAACTCACTCACTGTTCGACTTCGAGAACAAGAAGTCATCGACGACGAACTTAATTCAAATCTGAGCGAGGTTCAGCAGATGAAACAAGAGCGAGAGAAACTAAAATCTGTTCTCAACGAGAAATCCAAAGAAATCGACAGTTTGACGATCCAACTCCAGCGCTCGGATAAACGAGTGGAACAAGTAGAATCCGAAATGAAACAGAAATCCGTCGAAAGCACTGAAGCTGCCGAGCGAGTTGAAGACGCTAGAAAGCTTATTCAAGATCTTCGACGAGAAAAAGATGAACTAGTGTCTATGATTGGCCAACGATCAAGCGACCAAAAGTGAGTCCTCGTTGATTTCAGTGATTAACTTGTGTCCCTAGCTTGAAATTTACACAGAAAATCGAAAAACTTCGCGAAGAAAATCGCGATTTGCAGAAGAAGCTTGATGATGTCAGACGAGAAAGTCGATTGGAAGCTAAGACACTCTCTGAAGCTTCGAACATCAAACAAGTTCTCAGAGAGAAGCAACACTACCAGGAGCTCTCAGAGGATCTCAAAGTTGAAATTCAAAAACTCAAGAATCAAATGAACGAAAAGACTCGATACTATTCAACATCTTCGAGCAACAATGAAGTCACAAAAATGCTTGAGAAAGAAAATCAAGAGCTCAAGGCTGAAATCAGAGTTCTTCAACAGGAGTCGAGGCAAAATCGTCAAAGAAGTTGGTCAAGATCAAGCGCTCTTAACTCTTCAACTGCTTCTGCTCAAGGTCACGAGACGACCGAAGAAAGAAGACTCAAGGCTGAGAATTCTTTGCTTGTCAATCGCCTTCGAGATCTGACAGACGAATGCCGAAACATGCAAAAACAAAGGTAAAATCTCTAAATCAAAAAATCATATTTAAAATTCGATAGAAGTATGAGCAGAGATGAGCCCAACATGTCCGGAGTCATCGAAGAGCGAGATCAACTCAGAGGAGCAATTCAAAAGATCGCTTCTCTTAGAAAAATGGAGCTTCAACAAATTGACCAGTATAAACAAAAAATCGCAGACTCTGAAAATTTGGAAAAAGAACTCAACGACCTAAAAGTCAAAAATACAAGCCAAGCTGAAATGGTCAAAGTGGTACGTTTCAAAACCGGTTTTAGATGCAAAAATAAATTCTTGTTCAGATCACCATCGAACGCGAGCGACTTTTGACCGAGAAAACGATGCTTCTTCAAGAACGAGACCGAATCCTTGAAGAAAGAAGCTCTATTCTCAAGTTTGCCAAGAGCGGAGAAGGCAGCACTGGCGAGCTCTGCAGACATCTTGAAGTTGTCATCAACCAGAAACAAGAGCTCCACAACGAGAACAACAAGCTCAGAGCCGATAACGATCTGTTGAAGAAAGACAAGCAGCGGTTGGTTGAAGAACGGGACGCAGCTCAATTCCGAGTTGGCTGCCTCGAAGCCGAGATCGCTCATCCATTCCCAGAAAAGGACAGCGACGGCTTCAAGAACCAACTGGCCGCTTCCGCTTTGGTCGTCGAGCAGCTCCGCGAGGACGTAGCCCGACTAACGGCCGAGAACCAGAAGCTAAAAGGCAAGTTTAGCGCAAAACTACCTGTCTGAAATCTCCATCTCTGTGACCAGTTTCCCTATGCTGCCCATAATATCTAATTTATCTATTCATTGTTAAATAGGACCCGAATTGAATGTATTGTATAACTTTCAGTATCGCTATTATTATAATTATTATCATTAATTAACGAAAGAGTATTTCAGTAGCCTTATGGAAACTTTGCACAGAACATTTGAAATAAAAAAGAAAATAAAACTGATTTTAGATGAAAATTCAAACCTGAAACCTAACCAAGCGATAGGAAAGTTAGACAATCATTAAAATAATAATTAAGTTTAGTACCTTCTGCCAATATAAAATATTTAATTTATTTCAACTTTTATTCTGTAAAATGATTTTATATCAACGTGCGTTTCTCCTTGTTCAAAGTCTTTGTAGTGCAATTTATCGAACAAAAATAAAGTTATTAATATTATACAAAAAACAATGATTGTCTAACTTTGAAAAAGAAGAAGATCTTTCGCCAGAATCGCAGGCAGAACTGTCGAAAAAATACGAAAACTTGAAGCTTCAGTTCGATAAAATTAACAAAAAGCTCGAGGATCAAATTAAAAACAACTTGCACTTGGCGGACGAGCTCAAGCGGAATCTGATTGATTCGCAAAAAGAAGTTGAGTCGCATCAAAAAGCGATGCGAAGTGAGCAGGAGCAGAAGCAAAGCTGGATTGATCAGTACAATCAACTGGCTAGCTGGGCGCAAGAAGTCCAAGCGCAAATGCAACACAAAGATTCAAAAATTTCTGAACTTGCGGATGAGCTTCAAAGCCGATCTACATCGAGAAACACATCGATTCAAATGGACTCTGCCTCAGCCGCGGAGCTAGAAGAACAACTCACTGGAACAAGACGAGATATCGAAGGCTTCCGAAAACTTCTTGACATGGCGAAAGAGCGCGAAGGAAACCTCAAAAACGAGCTAAACAAACTTGTCGAAAAACTTGAAGATGCAGAGGAAAAGATCTCAAACATGGAGGAAATTAAAAATGAACTTGCTCAACGAAAAGAAGAAATTAACGACTTGAATCATCAAAAAATGATTCTCGAGGGAATCTTGAAAAATGAACAGGCTGAGATTGAACGCTCGAACGAGCAGTTACTTGAGCTCAACGAAGAAATTGAAGATTATCAAAGAAAGGTTGAGCAATTAGAAGCCGATCGCGCTGTTTTGACGCAAGAAAACGATCATCACTCTGACAACGTTCTTGAAATCAACGGAAAACTCGAAGAAATGAATGCTACTGTAGCTCGATTGCGAGAACTACTGGAGCAAGCGCAAGACGAAGCGAATTTGTTCAAACGCAAATCTCAAGAATACGAAGAGGAATATGAAATCGCTACTCAGAAATTGAAAGAAATTGAAACGGAAAAGGCCGAAAAACACAACCAAATCGGTCAATTAATTCAAGCATTGAAAGCATCACAGACTGAAGTGTCCCAAGCCAAAGACAATGAGCGCCTTCATTCGGAAAAGATCTCAGTCCTGTCTTCCGAGATCACAGAACTGCGCCAACAATTAGCTTCGTTGGAGGAAGAACTCAAGCAGAAGCAAAATCTGCTTTCGGAGGCAAAACATCAATGCCAGATAAAAGACGATCTTCTTCAAAGTTCTTCGTCTCAAATCAGTTCCGAGAGAGAAGACCGTCTTAAGCTCTCTGTCGCTCAAGCCCACGCTGAAGAGCGGGTTAAAACGCTGACGGAAGAAATTGACGATCTTCAAGGAAAACTTACAGAAGTAGGCGAAGCACTCGTTCAGTCAAATCTTGAAGTTTCAAGGCTGCTGCAGGAGAATATCAGGGTGAAAGAAGAGTCCGCGCGAGAGCTTCAACAAAGCGATAAAAATGCTCAAGTGAGACTTGAATCTTTGAAGAAAGAGTTGGAATTAGCAAGAGATCAGCTAGAGCAATTACAAAAGATGTCAGCGAAAGAAAAGAGTAATCAAAATAACGAATTACAATCGCTTCAAGGGGAAATTGCTACGAGAGAAGCGCAGTTTGAATTTGAAAAGAAACAAGCTAAAATTGAGTTTGAGTCTGAAATTCAAAAGTTGACCCTGCAAATTTCAAACCTGCAATCTCAAAGAGAAAATTTCGAAGCCTCGATTGCCCGTTCTTCCGAGAAAATCGAGAGCTTGGAACTTCTCCTTAGTCAGCATGCGAGATCATTAGAGGACCAACAAATCGATTCTTCGTCACAAATTGAAAAAATAACTCTCAAGCTCAGTCAAAAGTCAGCTGAAATGGCTGAACTAGAGGAAAATCACGTCCAAGTAAAGAACAAGTCGAAGAAACTGTTGCTTTCTCAAAAACAGCTTTTGACCGAAAACAAGCAATTGAAGGACAAAGTCAGTTCACTTACAAAAATGCAGCAAGGTACGTGTTTTATTCATCTTCATTATTTATGTTTTAATCAATCTTAGACTCGATCGCCGCCTCATCTTCAGTGAATGAGGAAAAAAGCGCTTTGCTATCTCAAAACAGCGAGTATAGCGAAGTGATCAGAAGCCAAACCGAGCAACTGGCGGCATTATCGACCCAATATACCGAAATGGAATCGTCAAAATGCGCCTTGGAGAAGCAGAAATCAAAACTTGACGAGGAACTGGCCCTTGTTTTTGAGAGATTGAAAATGGGAGAGAGTCAATTGCTTGAGCTCAGTGAAAAATGCAAAATTTATGAAAACACCAATGCTCAATTACAGTAAGAAAATTGCCCAAGGCTTAATTTAACGAAATTCTAGATCATCTTTCGACGCAGATTCTGCTCAAAGAGACGAGGAAAAGTCCAATTTGCTGGGCCAAATATCTTTATTGAAGCAAGAAAATGAAGAAAATCGCCGGCAAATTCACGCGATTCAGCAAGAACGAGATTCAACTGTATCTAAAATGAGACAGGAAATCGAACAGCTGCATTTGGTGTCGTATGAAAGCAAGGAGCTGGCAGATAGACTCGGCGTTTTGGAAAATCAGCTTCAAGCGCAGGTTTGGGACTTTTCCACGGAAAAATTAATAGTAATTTTTCATTCAAGACATCAAAAATGGAACTTGAAAAGAACGATTTCGAGAAGACACGGCAAGAACTTGAAGTGCGAGTCCAAACATTAACTCTTCAAAATGAAGAACTGCTCAAATCTCAGCAACCCAGCTCGACGCCTGTAGATCCAGTATTACAATCGAAATTGATTGAGTTGCAAAGTCAGAACCAGTTCTTCGAGGGAAAGATTAATGAGCTCACTGACCTCATTGATTCGCAAAAGGCGCAAATAAGCTACATCAACGATGAAAAGAACAACATTCAAGATGAACTTGCCCAATTATCCGCTGCCAAGGCCGCGGCTGATCAGTAAGCATATTTTGAAAGAACAGTTTATTAAAATGTTTTAATTAAGATTGCTGAGCTCGCAGCATGCAGAAATTGTACGGCTCAGCGACGAACAGACGGAGAATGCGGAATTCATGGATGAACGTGAACTGTTAACGCGAAAGCTTGCAGAACAAAATGATATCCTCGTCAAACTTCAATATGCCATCACTTCAGAAATTGGCCAAGACTTACAGTCTGACTCTAGGTGAAAGTCTTTCTTGATTTCAATTGTTGAATAATCATTTAGTTTCCGCGATGATCCCTCTTCGCCAATAATTGATCGAATTCAAGCAGCTATTTCGGCATATTTCCGTCACCAGCAAAACACCACGATTGAGCTGGAATCTGCAACTGAGAGTCTCAAAAAATTAACTCTAGAGCGTGACCGAATCCAAAAAGAATACCGCGAAGTTTCTGAACAACTGGTAGATCTCCAAAAAGAACGCGAGTCTTCGGGCGGTCAGTTCATCCCTTCGCAACGAGATTATTTCTACTCTGAGTCTTCGCAAGGAAATCAAGGAGACGCTGGATTTAGTGAGGCTTTAGAAGAAGCGATCCACCATGAACGACAGAAATTTATCGGCGAGAAAGAATCTCTTCAGCATCGAGTCAAATCGTTAGAAGCACAAGTCAACAACCTTGAAAACTTACTCGAAGAAGCGGACAAAGAACAAAGTCGAAATCAATCACAAAATCAGTCGTATTCAAACAATATTCATTACGAGCAGCAGAAGCAAGAAAATATAAATTCTAATAACAACAACTTTTACTCACATCAAGAACCCCAAGAAAACAACAATAAAAATCAGCCCGAGGAAATTCAGAGTTTCAGAGGATTTGAAGATGCTCCAAGTTCAAACTTTTTCACTCCTGATACAAACCCCGAGCTCAAGGACAATCAATTCGATAGCTTCGAAGAGCAGGATACCTCAACTGTTCAAAGTTTCTTTAAGCCCACCGACGAACCTCCGCAAGAAATTGCTCCGACTCAACAACCGACCGATAGTTTTGCTGAAACAACTGCGGAACAGCCCAATTTCTTTACTCCAAATGTCGACTCCAGTCATCAAGAGACTCAACAATTCGAGTCATCGCACGCTCCAGCGCAAACAGTTTTCACACCGGCTGAAAATGTCAAAAAAGAACTCCAAGGATCAAGCTTCTTTACTCCAAATGTCGAAGAACCGTCTATGCCGGCATTTTCACAAGCTCCTGAAACTGTTGAAAACAGTTTTTTCCCGAGTCAATCCGAAAATAATACCGGAAATTTCTTCGTCCCTAACTCTAGCGATCAAGACAAATTAAACAACAACTTCATCCAAGAACCAGCTGCAGCGCAATTTCACCCAGTCACTGATAGCTTCCACGAAAATCAAAATACACCGAGTTTTTTTACGCCAACCATGGAAACACCACCATCTGTTCAACCAACCGAGCCTCCCAGCTTCTTTGTTCCGAATTCCGCTCAAGAACCGGCCGCTCCCCCTCCTCAAGAAAATTTCAGCGGATTCCTGAGCTTTCCGGAAGAACAGACTTCTCAAGACCAAATGAGTTTCTTCAAACCAAACGTTGAACAATCTTTTGATGCTCAAGGTCAAAATCAATCATCGGCATTCGATAGTTTCTCCGAATCAACTCCTCAAAATTCTAATTCTATGGTAAATAATAAGCGTTTACTTGAAAAGTAAAATATTTTTAGGTCGAAGAAGAAAGCAGTTTCAGTTCGGCAAGCAAATTCTTTAGCTAACATGTTAGATTAAAATTATTGTCTTCTCAAAGCTTCAAAAAACCTTCCATCCCTTTCGAACAAATGCTCAAATTTTCCCTGTGCAAAATTATTTATACATATAAAAATAGAAAAAAAAAGATTAAAGCGTTCTTACTGAATTTGTTGGCAAGCGAGGTGTCGATAAGCCTCTGTGGGATGGCTTTCCTTTCGTTAGTTTAGTTCTGATAGCGAGAAACAAACTTAACCTATTATGCATGTTCGGATTAAATGCAGAGATAAAACAATAGAAGAGGATGCAGCTCATTTTCAACGATTGTCAAAATGTAAAAATTCGTCTAAAACGCTGAAATCATAATGTTCAGTTTTGAGCTTGTGCGTTTCAAAGCAGAAGGAAACAAAATGGAAAATTCTTCATTTCCCGCATCTTTTATCAGAATCGTTCCAGAATGTCTTTCATCGGAGCCCAGGAGACTTGAAACGGGTCGAAACATCATTCAAATAACCGATTTTATGCAAAAATATTGACCTAAGAAAGTAGACGTTCTCAGAAGCTGTCAGGTGTTTGATGCTTCTCCAATGTCTGCCGCGAGATCAAGATTATTTCGCAGAGTACGAAGAGCTCTTGTTGAACGTACTACCAAAACTTATCGATGCAGCCAGTTTTGATGAAGTGGTTCTGGCAGACCATGTTCTAGCGCTTTCCTGCCTGCATTATCCTGATTTGGATTTGACATAAAAACTTCCTGAAATGCAGGTTTTCAAAAATATCTCATTTTAAAATCCAATAGAAAAGAAGCTCAACGAATAATCGAGCAATTGATGGAAGGCTACAACAGAGAAGAATTCATGGCAATTTTTGGACTATTCCTCGGAGAAACGATCGATTTTCGAAAACTCATCGACCAGCCAGAGCTATTTGCCTCGTCCATACTCACGACGAAAATCAGAAACACGTTCTCAAACACAACTTTAACAAATTTACGCGCAAACAGTATTCTGGCAGAGCGTAAACATGTTAGACTAGTTGGGCAAAAAATAGTTGGGAACCAAATTTAGACTCAAATATCCCCTTGCATCGACCAACCAACAAGACCAACAGAATCATATCTATGAGTTCTACGAAATCATCAAAGAAATCGAGCTACAATATTTCGGAAGCTGCGTTCACATCTGGAACGATGTCAAAATCTCGTGGTCCATTATCGAGTTTACAAGTGGTTACGAAACCAGTGGACGATTAGGGCGTTTGAGCAAAGACGGGTTAAATGATTTCGTGGGCTTGTGTGGAGGAATTCAAAGGATTTCAATTCCAAGAAGCGGATGGTACGAAATTTTTGCAAAAGGAGCGGACAATTATACCCATTCCATCAGGAACTGATCATGATTATGAGAATTATGAAATTGCTATCTACAGAAAATGAGCATTGAAAAGAGGAGATAGCGCGTGCGCAATATTCCACCTAGAAAAAGATGAGCCTATTGATGTCTTAGTGGGTCAAGCTGGCACCTCGCGGCTGAGAGGATCAGGAGGGACGTTCGTGACCGCTGGCGAGAATCCCGTCCCGCTGGTAATTGCCGGAGGCGCAGGCGCCGATTATATGGGCAGATCATCCGATCAGAGTCAAGCCTCTCTAGCTCATTGCTCTTTCAACGATGGAGCCGGGTTTTTAAATTCAAAGGCTTCGGAGATCTTGCTCTTAGTCAGGCATTCCATCAGTTTAATAAATGAAGAGATATTTAACAAATTGTTTGGAATTCTCGCGAAAGAAAACGAATATCTAAACAACATCGATGCATTAGATTCAGGGTTCAAAATAAATCATTTAACGATAATGGAATTTTCCGGTAAGGCTTATTCCTTGCTTTAGTTGAACTCTTTAAAGCGCCTCAAAGCTACCTCGAAGGAGGCAAGGGATCACTAGGAGCTGGCGGCAGCGAAGGTGGTTTCGGTGGCGGAGGAGGCGTCAATGGAAATGGTGGTGGTGGTGGATACATCGGTGGGAAAGGAAGCGACAATTATGTTGATCCTGGTCAGAATGGAACATCATATATTGACAAAAAAGGAAGACAGCAAAAGTTCAATCCAGATTTGAGTTTGATAGCATTATATTTTATAATCCTTCTCTTTAAAATCCCACTTTCACAACTCAAAAACAGACCATGTTCCGACGTGTCACGCTGGCCTTGTCCGCATCACTTTGATAAGTTGTGAATAAATCATCTTTTTTAGATTTATGTTTTCGACCAGTTTCCTCGAGTTTCATTTACGCAAAACAATAAATCTAAGATCGCTTACAAATAAAAGGTACCAAGCAGCGGCTTCAAAGAACATGGTTTATCTTTGAAAAAATAGGCATTCTGACGAATCATTCAAAGCGGGTAGTCTATCGCAAATCGGAATAAGCTCATCACATTTAAAGCTCATATAAATCTGTCTGGCTTTGATATAAAATTGAATCATTTTTGATTCTCTAATTGATGGTACTCATCAAAACCGAGAGTGCGGATCAGCTGCTGTCATAAATGGTTCTTCAAAGTCGGAATTTTGGCTTCTCTCAAAACGATACATATTAAAGTCGTTAACGTTTTTTACCTACAGCTAATTGTCAATTAGACAGTACGACTTTTTCGAAATTCGTAATAATCGTCAACGATTTCGCATTTTTCTCAGCGACAGAGTGTCTTTCCATTAATTCTTAACCTTCTTCGAAACTACAACCGACATTTGATGTAACTTCGACGCGTCTTATCCTGTCAAAAACATAGCCTTTTAGGATTTCCTCTGTCTCCTTCGAAATGTAACTTGTGGATTTACGGTCAATTTCTATGCTCAGACTTTATGTGGCGCCAATTTGGGCGGCAGCGGAAGCGAAAATCGCTCTGATCTTGCTTTTTATGGGGTCCTTGATGAAAAACACCTCTTTGGAGAGTTTCATTGAGCAATTTCAAAAGCACACACGAATAAAAGTATAAAAGTGAGTCTTATTTGCGGGTACTTTATGGCTCGGCGGCCGCGCTTGAAGAATGACTGTAATTAGAGAAATCGAACAACAAGGCTTTTTCACGAATTAAAGTTGGTTTGAATGTATTTCGTTTATATATTTGTACAATAAGGTTATAATACAGTGTGGAAGAAAATGGAAGAACGGAAGCGCCAAAATATCTGCGGCCAGTATAAATAATAGTAGTTTTTGTGAAAACAGGGAAATCAAATCATGCCAAGAAGTTGAATGTTGTCATCACGAGGTGGGGCCAATCGTCGAATGCGTCGCTTCTTGGCCTCCTTGAGCGGGCTGCCGCTGGGCTTGTGCTGGCGGACGCGTCTTCGGCGGCTAATTTGTCGCTTATGATCCTCCGAGTCCGACTCTGATTCCGAAGATGTAATCGAGGTCACCGGGGAGGTCACATTGAGGTGAGACTTGTCCGACGAGTTCGTTGTCGACGAGTCAGAAAAGAACCACAAGTAGTTCCAGTCCAACTGGCCGTTTCGGTACTGTGGCACTTGTCCCTTGTAGACTTTCTTGATCTGTTGAGCAGTGGTGACGGGCTTGGGACCAGCGACGGGACTGTAGCAGGCGGGAATGTTGAGCGGCTGTGAGGGCGACTGATGAGCTGATTGAACTTGTTTCTTGACTTCGGAGATGACCTTCCGCCGCCGGCTTTGATGACGCGACTTTCTGGCGGCCTCGGCTGGGTCGACGCGCTTTGACCTTCGCGATTTCCTCGTCGATTCGGGCGTCACGATCTTCTGACTCACGGGCGATCCGATGGTGATACCAGTAGGAGGAACTGCAGCTCGTCTAGCTTGTTTCTCAGTACTGCTTCCTTCAGTCATCTCTGTAAGTCGCTGGAGAGAGGCTTCGGCAATCATGTGAAGTGAAAAGTCCTCGGGCTGAGTGGGATTTTCAGACTCGGACATGATTTTCTGGATAATCTGGCTTTCCAACATTGCCTTATCTTTTTCGCTCTTGGTGAGCTCGGCCAGTGACACGCGCATTCTATTCAAGCCGCTTCCGGTTTTGGACTTGAGAGAGGAAAGGATCTTCTTGGCTAAGCCAGAGGACTTCTGATTCTTCATTCCTGGGTAAAGGAGATCCTCGATGTTTTGCGAAGTGTTTGAGATGTTTGGGATAATCGCCGGGTTGAGGAAATCAGGAGGCAGGATTTCGCTTTGTTTGGGGATCACAGGCGATTGTGGCTGCTCGGTGGGAAGCTTAGACGGCGATCCAGATGGAGTCGACGTGCGTGGAGCAGCAGTGGGTACTGGCGTCAATCGCTCATCGGAAGAGGAGTCGTTGGAGGAAGAAACGGGAGTGAGAGCACCGCTGGAATTGACGAGAACGGAGGAGACGCCAAGTCGCGGAAATCGCCGTCTGGGCTGGGGTACGGGCGGCGAAGAGCTGCTTGTTTGAGGAGTGGGGGTCGAAGCGTCGTCAGAATTGCCAGACGATTCTTCAATCGCCCGAGTTGGACTCATTGACGTGCCCAAACCGGAGTCGTTTGATGAGCATCGGTCAAGCCTGAATAATGTTGTTATGGAAAAATGCAAGAATAGTTGCGGAAAGGTGTGAAAACTAGCAGGTGGAAATATTTTTCGAGCGGCGCGAAAATGGAATGTTTAGAGTTTCAGAAAGGTTCTGTTATGAAAACCGCTGGGGTTAATCTAATTGTGTTGTGGGTCGTGGCCAAAGCTGTTAGAGGGGAATTCCGAAGTATATTTTCACTGCTTACCGAGTCAGGTCCTCCTTGAGTTCCTTGAAGGGGAGAGTTTGGATTTCCGTAAAAGAGGCTTTAGGCGGCAAGCTGGTCTGTGGAGAGGTGTGGTAGGTGAAATAGTCGTGGACAGTTTCTGAGCCCGAGTTGATGTCATCGAGGTATTCAAGCTGCTTGTCGAGCGCTGCTTCCGCCGACCTCAACTCTTCTTCGTGATATCTGAGTTCAGCTTGAGTCGGAGGAGGCATTGACCCTCGCGCGTCCAGGATTTCGTCTTCCATTGGAACCTCGTAACCTGAAGGAAATGGTTATGCTACGTCCGGATATGAGCATTTTTATAGCATTTTATGGGTGTCAACGGCACTCGAGAGGGGTGTAAGGTTATAGCCTCTTATGTCTATTGCAAAAATGCGAAAGAATGCCTTTGTCTTTGTCTTGTGCCCAAATACTAGAAGGGGCGGCCTCGCAAGTGTCCGATTCCCACTTGACGCCCGCTGAGTGTGCCCAAATCCGGCAAGGCCAATTAGGAAGTGAAATATACATCCAAAGGTCGCCTACTTGAGTGAAACTAATCAACATAAATGGACACTTCTTTGATGAACAAACACATGGCCTATGGGAAAAGGGTTGATGATGTCCTCTGAGAGGTCACGAACGCTTTGATAAATTAACGTCTAATAGGAGTGAAAGCCACAAGACGCCGCTACTTGTGGGAAGGGTAGACAACCGCTAACGGGCCGCATTTGCATACTGATGGGGAAAAATTTAGGTTAGGCCCTAAGCCCGTACGTCACGTGAGGCAGGGAGAGATAACCCGAAACGGAAATAACCTGTCACCTGACGGTGCCCGGCCCAAAATTCATCCCCTAAGAAACTCCCACTCTGTTGTGTGTTTTCGAACATTATTTTTATCGACGTGGACGAAAATTTTAAACATTTGCACGATAATGGTAATCAAACTTGGACGGACATTTTGCGAATTTGACGAAATTTAGGGTTTTGGAAAAAATTAGGTGGCCAGCCGAGCGTGTGTTTAACCCCAGCCACGGCCCGGTTGGTAAACACTTGAGAAAAAGCGGACGAAACCGGGTCACGCAAATCGAAATATTTACCAAAAACCAACACCGTAACTTATTTTTCCCATTGCCGACGAAAAAAAAGGTTGAATCTAAGGCTTACCGGTTTCGATTTGAAGGGATGAAACAAGTCGAGCAATTTCTTCGTTGTAATGTTCTAACGAAAGCATTTTTGTTGTTTTCTTTTTGTTTCTTTTTGACGTTTTCTGAGGTTGTTTTCTTGACGATCTCTGTTTCGGAAATGTTCAAGCTCTCATAATAACGAAAAGTGATTAATGTGAAGTGAAGGGTTGTTTCACAATCGAACTCGATCTGAGTCCGATAAAATATGACAATTTTTTTAGAATGGAGCTGCGAGAAATAAGCGGGGAGTATGCGCCGGAGTAAGGGCGCGCCGGAGCTCGCTGCGCGCGACAACGAGGGCGCCCGCGTCTCATGGTTAGCCCCAAGTTGGTAGCTCGGGCTTGGTGCTGCGCGCGATCGAAATCGGCCACTGAGATTGAGGTCGCCTGGTCATGGATTCTTATCTGATAGTGATCAGGATTTTCGCAAGCAGGCCTGAAGAGCAGGTCCTTCCGAGTTGGAATTGTTTTGGATTAGGGAGGAATGTTACGCTTTTCCATCAAATCCGTTATCGTGGGATTTAGGATTTAGGGAGGGATGGGTTTCATGCTTTTGTGGATTCAGTCGTTAGTTTAGAAATGCAGGGACTTTCCATCGATTTCACGAATAAAATACTTTCGGCTGCAGTAACTCAAATCTCATGAGAATTAAATTAGATAAAAATAAAAAAAAAACGGATAAGAGCGATCATAAAGTTCCACATACCAGAAGTCTAAAAATAGATTATCTTATTTGTAATAATAAAAAGACAATTTTCGCGCAAATAATTACTGAGCCAGGTTCAAGATTTGCGCCCTTTTGATGGGCCGATTTTCGGCGGAGAGCGGGGCGTTTGAGATTTTTAACACCTCTCAGACGAGCGAGGCTTCAAATAAAACTCGTCTAATTTTCGGCATCGTGAAAAACGATGTCCAATTCATTCGTAAAAGATGAACTACTGTATGGCAGCATTGAACCTGCCCACTGATTTTGGATTCTTGTGATTCACGGTAAATGGTGATTATGCAGAGTAAGAGTCATTCTTTTTGACGAAAGGGGTTAAGAACCTCCCTTTGCCATAAAATATTATGAAAAGTAACTTTCGAAAATGTTATTTTTGCGTGGTGAAATTAGGCCATCATCACCTAGTTTGCCATTCTTGGCGATTTTCAGTAGGGGATCACGACTCGGTGGGAGTTCGCCACTCACACTCGCCCGAATCCAACTGGGGAGCAAAAGTGATTCTTTCTGTGTGTTTGGACAGTTGCCAGAGTGTGGACAGAGGATATTCATGCTTCATTATTCTAATCTGATTTGGCAAAAAATTTTCAAATACGGAACCAAGCTCTTTCTCATTGTTTGGCTGCTCGCGTTTCCTGTTTATTCCTCCTCCATCTCAGGTGCTCTAATTTGGATCTTGCAGCCGGCTCTCTTTTCCTCAACAAATTGCAGAATTAGTAAAGAAGGAAGAGAATGAAGTAAGAGCTGCGTGGAATTTATTTACAATATAGATTTTTTCGGCGGTGTTTATTGTTTAATGGTTTTAGAAAAAAATCCCTCCGAGAAATTATGAAAACAGGGGCTTTGAACTGAAGGGACTGACCTTTTTAACTTTCGCGTTCACTTCCGGGCTGTGTCACTTGGACGGTGCTGAGGCACACGTGATTTACGCAGGACCGGCCGCCTGTTGGCAGACAGGGGAAGTACTTATCTCGGGCCAGAGTCGAGCTTTGATGTGACCTCCTGGGGAAAATCGGCCCTCATTTGCCCGGATTACGGTCAAGCGCTGAAAGTTGCCTCTGAAGAACCCGTTAACAAATTTTATGCTCAATTACTTTTTCCTCTAAAGTTAATTTCATCAAGAAATAAGGGGCTCATACCGTTTATGACGCCTTTCTTTGAACTGGAACTAGTACAGTTACCCCCTTAATTTGCCGCTACCCCGGTCTGAAGAAAATCTCCTTCTTCAGAAAAAGGCAATTCTCACATATATCAATACTGGGAAATATACGAATTTCCTCAGCTGTATGTGTGGTAGAGCTCGATTATTGTAATTTTATGATGTGCCAATGGGTCGATATAAAAAGATTTTCTTGGCAGATCGGCGAATTCATCTTGGCTGGGCGATTTTGCATCGATTTATGGCGCTCAGCTGAGTGATTGAATTCGGATACTTGGAGCACAGGACTGATCAATTGATTAGCAATCGTAAAATTCCATCTTTTTCATAATTTTTAGATAGATGGCATTCTTTTTTTTATGGGCCACAGTAGTTTAGGAAGTAGATTTCTTTTCGTGACAAGATTGAAAGAACCAAAAAAGGGGATGAAAATATACGACACTTGGGAAGAAACAAAAGGTGCGAGAGCGGCCATCATAATTGTTTTGAATAAAAAGCCCTTTAGAAAAACCTATTTGTTTTTTGATTGCGAATTGTTTATCTGGCCATTTGGGACTTCCGCCCTTTCTGTCAAATCTAGGAAATTGGAATCTGTCGTCGCTTTTTCTTTGTCGCTTTCAAATTCCTCGAATTCGAATAGTTCGCGCATGAGCGTGAAATTCGTCCCCTTCCACGCATACTTCCTAAAGCAAAGTCCCAGGTGACACTCTAGAAAGTGGAAAATTGAGCCGGAAAATTGTCATTCAGCCTTTTGAATCTGCTAATGAGCAAATTCTATGGGCGAGGTTGGGGGTCCATTTTTAAATGAGGGTTGATTCGCAAGTTCTATTCAGCAAGTGTCACGTGGGGTGATTTTTCAGAATGAGCTGGATATCAATTGATTGCTTCATTAACTCGTTTTGCTGAGCTTCTTTTTCTTCTCGCGTTTTCTAATTTTTAATGCTAGCTTTTATCAGGTGCCCAGCCGAGTCTACGTAATATTTGCACGAGCAAAGTGCCTTGCTCAAGCGAATTCTAGCTCAAGCGAAAAGTTCATCTTGCTGACCTCAACGGAAAGTTTAAAGAAGTTGAGTATCTGAAAAGTTGAAATTCTGGGCCTCGGAAAAAAGATGCTCCATTCTTTTTGGTCCTTAAATCCATCCAGAGAAAAGGCACTGGACGTGTTCCAGTGTTCATTTGTTTAAAACGCGTCATAAAAAAGCTCATAATTAACTTTTTCACGCGCGGATTTTGTAACTCTTTAAAATGACGTTGATTCGGGATTGCCTCTTTTGATCTGCGTAATTTTAAAAGTAAATTTTCTTTCTATCGATTTGGATTACTGTAGTAGCTTTTGGTGATCCAGGGTTAAGTCTGCGAGCTGATCCAAAATCAATGCTGAGTTAGATTCTTTAGGTACTTGTTTCCGATAATTCTCACTGTAGCTCGCCAGTTGACACGATTTATTGGCTTCTGGCCGACCTTCTGACCCAATGTTCGATGTGTGACTCGTTCGTCTGGGGCAATTTGGGCCGCTGCCCTAGGGCAAGTTTCCAAATTGAAGCCAAGTCTGAGTCCTGATTTATGAAACAAATAACTTAGCCTGGGCAAACGAGTGTCAGTTGTGACATCAAGCACGATCCGGGTGGCGGGGCTCCAACGGCGCATTTACAGTAGCAAATTATTGAATCTACAGTTAGATCAACAAACAGTTGCGGGGATAAACTTTAAGCCCTTTGATTTGCTCAGCTATTTCCGATTGATCGACACTGTAAGTTTCTCTTACAGACGGTTCTTGCCTTGGATCAAGTTTAAAACTAAGATTATCTTCTTTTAGGGTTGTATTTCGACCATTTTTAGGAAAAAAATATGGGCCTTTGTCGATTTCGTAAGAAACAATGGTTGAAAGTTTAGACTTGTAAATAAGTTGGAATGATGTTATTTTTGTTGATACAAGAGCATTTCCCTGAGAACTGTCTTGTGTAGGTCAATGGAACAAAAGCTGCATGAACATGAAAAACAAGAATGGAACACTAGAATGGAACTGTTCCTCTTTTGAGCAGCTGTGTTTGGATCGCTTCTGGACAAGTTCAACTGGCTTGCGTTGAACAGGTGCTTGGTTAAGGGAGTTGCTCCTCTTTTGTGGCCCCTTCTTTTTCCCGTGCTCGTTAGAGCGTGCCAAAGTCAACGCAGCGTCGATCGCCTGTTCTGATTACGTAAGCGTGACCGAGCACACGTGACCTTGAATGCGAAAATCAAGAATACAATGTGAATGGAACATGTACCCTCGATTTAATACTTTCAAACTTTTTCACGCTCAGGTGGCCAGCTTTACCCGCGATACGCGTTACCCATGATCAGTTATCGTGGGAGATAGTTACGCGTAAATATTTATACATAAAATGAACGTTTTTATGGACCTATAAAATTTACTTTCGTTCCCACTCTCCCAGTACCAGACATCTTCCCGAGGGTTTTCAGCCGATCTTGGACCTTCGATGACGATTTTTGCCGACAATTTTGGGTTTTAGGACACTTGATTAGGTGATTGAGTGTATTGCGTGTCAACCCTTGAGAGTCCGGTCAAGAATAGAACCCTTGTGTACCCATAGTCCATGGAAGACCACAGAAAGAATCTCACTAATCCGTCTCAGCTGGGATCATCAGCCGAGGGTCAAAACTGGAGATTATCCACTTGGCAAGTTTGCGCGCGAGTTTGTTGCCTTGGGAAGCCAACAGCTGGAGGGTATTTTACCTTTTCCGTATGGACAAATTGAGTATTTTGGGATAAGCTCCCCCTCGAACATTGATAAGCAAACGGCTTATGGGAAAACGACGGGCTTTCCCAGGTCCTGCCAGCTGGATTCTAGTTTTTTTTAGAGAGAAGGGCTTTTATAGATAAAGGCTTTCGAGTTGCTTTTATCGGGCCGCGAGATACTTAGCTACAGTAACGAACATAAATAAGATCGATCCTTTTTTTTTTGCTTTTTCATTCCCCTAATAGGGGATGGATAATCGAGGAAGAGGAAAATTTACGAATCTTATGTACTCATGATGTCTTCCCGAGAGACGCTCATCAGAGCCCGGTTAGCTCAGTCGGTAGAGCGTTGGACTTTTAATCCAACGGTCGTGGGTTCGAGTCCCACATCGGGCGCAGCTTTTTGCCTTTTGAGGAGAGGCTTTTTAGCT